AATACTGAGGTGCTCAAGAACCAGAGTGTTGTTACAGACCACAACATGCAAGTATCCGCTTTTCACTCAAACTTCCTGCGGATAGAAATATTTCCTTTTTTTTTTCAAAGATCACTTTATTATGTAGTATAAATATGTTCTAAAGATACTCATAAAAATTGTCTTTTGAATGTTGCTCAAAAGAGCATGAAACTCATCCTCTCTTGATGTTGCTGTCATGTGAGTAATACCTATATACGCATTGGTACTTGAAAGAAATAGTTACTAATCATCCGTTTGACAATTCTTTGAAAGGGAACTTTAAGGCTATTCAACTTTGTGTGATTTTATAGTGGCTCTGAGCCTAATCCATACACGTATCTAAAACTATTTGCATAAAACTGCGTCTGAATCAGTTCATCGTTATTCGAAAAGAAAAATTGTGAACGAGGGTCACTTCTGGTTATAGGAGCTCGAAGAACATTAACGGTTGTTTGTGAAAAATAATTCCGTTGCTATTGTAACTTAATGCGGGCTTTCATTTCCAACTTTTGCAAACCAAAGACTTTGTGAAGTTTTTCAAGTCATCCTATTTTTGCATCCGATTATTTCACCTATCCTACACTTTTAACATTATGTACAAAGCGATACCTTATATATTATGTGAAAGAAAGAGAACCAAAATATTGCAAGTAATGCAACACAACATTGTCTACTTCCATATCGCCCGTGTGCTCAGTAAAAATGATGTAGATAGTTTTTAATGCTCTAAGAAGCCAAACTCTTCACATCAACTTTACCAAACTATTGTTATCTTTTAAAGTTTTAGGATATGCAAATACAAACAGGCAAAACTACATCTTATTTGGTGGGCTTATTTTCCTACTATCAGCTGATGATTGAACCTTCCAGTAACATTTTGATGCCTACTTTTTAAGATAGTTCCTAACAGATATACACATTTTATTAACTATACCAAGTGCTGTATTTAACGCTCCAGTGATATATCTGCATCTTAATTGCCCCTTCTCGTCGCAAACAACGAACAAACGAACTTTTGGGTTCCCTTCAAACTTAATTTTTGTATTTTTAACAATCTCTTGAGGCATTTCAAAACCCTTAAGATGAAACTGTACATCCTCGTTTGCAAAAGATACCTTCCCGTAACGGACAAGCGTACTCAGCATCAAAGTTTCATTGTCAAGAATCTTTACTCCCTCTCCTTCTGGGTCTTCAGCGCTCCTTATTTCGACGATATATCTCAGGTAGCCAGAAGTGTCTATAAAGAATTTAACGGAGGCCAGTGGAAAGGTGATATATTTCGGTAAAAGATTTGCATAGATGAAATCTACGACTTTGAAATTATGAATCTCTTTTAAAAAATTTAAATGAGGTTGGGAAATCTGTCCGTAGCGAAGCTCACACTCTACAACAGTTTCTTGATGGGCTCGTTCTGTGGTGGCAAGGTAATTTGCTGTTGCTCCTTGTGGCTGCTGTGTTTTAACTTGTCTGTTCCTTTCACCTCGCAATCCCCAATCTGGAGAATTTCCCTGATTTAGACCTCTTCGCGTTACATCTGAAGTCACAGTCAAAAATTGACACAATGCATCTAGTTCTAGATTGAATATTCCACGTCTCAACCAACCAATGACGATCTTTTCCGTTCCCTTTACGAAGTCTTTAACAACTTTCGCGACCTTTACTTCGTCTTGTTTGGACAGGAATGGAGAGCCGCAAATCAATACGAGAGCTTGTGCATCTGGACAGGAAAAAAATATCGCAGAAGTTACCTCAAAAATAGGCTGACAATTATTGTTTTATCACCTTAGTCAGTTGATAATTTAAATTGGCCACCGTTAAGTTTCAAAGCTGGCGTTTCAAGCGTTCGCCCCTCGTCAGAGCGAATGGGGGAATTGTGGGTGGTGTGTGTTTATATGCAGAAAATGGAGCTACGCTATTGGTGGGAACATGGTGACGAGAAAAACAAGAACAAATTAGAAAGAAATAAGAGAGATGGTAAGTTTTGAGCTCAGTAAAGAAATAAAGAAAGATGTTTTTCGTAGAGCATCGGAGCGCGAAATCCGAAGGTCTGAGGTTCGATTCCTCGTGGGGACTCAGAATTTTTTTCTTTGTCCCACGTTCGTGACAAGACGAAAAACATCTTTCTTTAAGAATAAATTAGTTGACTAAAAAGCGTTCGTTGAAATCGTGCCTATTAACAGTGTCGATTTAAAAGATAAAATTTTGTTACAGCCAACACGCACTTGAGTGCGTTTACACGTAAGACAAATTATTGAAAGATAGGTTACGAAATCAATGAGGTTTACATAGATAAAGCACAGCATGACAAATTTTCCTTTCAACAAAACCTACGCATCAATTTCACCCTATGCAAACTTTTATAAAATTAAACGGTTGTAACACAACAGCTCCATATGCTGCGAGGCGAGGGAGACGTTTCGCATATTCAAATTTTTGCGCGTACTTGCAAAGGTGATACATCTCTTTTTTTTTTTTTTGCATATTTCTTCCACCAACGAAAAAATTGAAATTGTCCGTCCTCTTTTAGTGAGACTTGGTCACCTGTGAGTTAGATTGATATGTTTGCGAACAGCGAAGATATTGGTATTTTGATTAACATAATTTTTGAAATAGGAAACTACTTTAGGAAATGATTTGGAGGTCCGGGAAAACAGTCGACCTATCCCGGCCAACCCCCTGTTTTCCCTCTCTGCCCATTCAGAGAGCTAAATTTCAGTCTTGCCTACAGACACTCACCGAGATTGCACACAAAGGTTCCATCGTATGGATTAAAATCATGGATAACGACGAATATCCGACAAAGGATTGATGGAGGTCTTAAACTAGAGACGGCGATTAAAAAGTCGGCAACCATCACTGAATTTTCAAATGAACATAATAGGGCATAGTGATAGGCCTCTCAAGGTAATGAGGTTAAACTTTGTCTAAAATTCCTCGAGTTTGTCTACTTAGGATAACACTTCTTATGAGAGTTAGTCGAATCTTACCTACATGATTTGCCACTATTTCGAAAAGTTGTCGGTAATTCCTGCTTTCTTCTGGCTGATGTTCACGATCAGATTTAATTCGATCGGCGCTAATCACCAACACGCAGAACCTGAGATGATTTTCCATCAAATAGTCCTTCACTTTAGGGACTGATTGAAGGTTTTGCATGGGTAGGGATTCTGAAAGGTTCAGCTTTGGAGCAATATGTAGAAAAGCTTTCTTAACATCCTCCATGGAGCGTTCTGTCAAAGAAACACCAAGAACTGCTACGTCTAAAAAGAATAAAAGTAAATCACAAGTTTCTAAATTTATGCCATCCGCGACTAAAACATTTACTGTTAACATAATAAATTTGATCATCTTAAAAGCTATTTTCAGTGTTTTCATTCAAAACTAAATAATTAAAAAGTGCTAACACCAGAGTAGTAATACTTTCTGCTAATAATAATTTTAGATCTAATTACTGATACGAATGTATTTCACTAACCTTTGGGTCTTTCAAGACCTGGGGAAAGATTTTTCTCAAGCGTGGTTCCTTGGCTATTGAAATATGATGACTTTCTCTCACTGGTCGTTTCAAAATCATGAGCAGTGAAACCTTCTCGTCTCCCTCCACTTTTTTTCTCGAGCCTTTGTTCAGCCAAACGCTGGTCTTTAGGTAAGGGACCAATCGCACTCGATGACAGTTCTGACTCGTCTTTCAATTGCGCATTTTTCACTTCAGGGTGTGTTTTGAAACATTTTTCATCGGGGCGGTACACAATAGAGGCCTCATTCAATCTCTGTGAAGGAGCAGCAGTAACTGACGATTCTATCCTGCTTGGTGAAGCTGCAAATGTTATATAATGTATTTCAAATGAGAAAGATGTTCAGTTTTCGTCTTGTCACAAGCGTAGGACAAATAAAGAAATCAGAGTCCTCATGTATTTCAAATGAGAAAGATGTTCAGTTTTCGTCTTGTCACAAGCGTGGGACAAATAAAGAAATCAGAGTCCTCATGTGGAATTGAACAACAGACCATCGGATTTTACGTTTCGACGCTCTACCACCTTGTCACAGAGACTGAGCTACCAGTTCAATAACAGCATAACGAAAACCTTTTGAAATAAAATGGGGCATCGGGTAAGTTAGCTTATTTTTGCAGCCAAACCTCAAATCACAATTACCGTGACAAGAATGATTTACAGGAGATGTACTGAAAAGTGCTTACCTTTAGCGAGGTTGACCATCTTTTCCACAAGATCCTTGCATTGACTCTCCCAGATGTACTTCTTGCCATAGCTTTCCCGTAGAGTTTGACATTCTGCAATTGCTGCTTGGCGACCCTTTTCTCGGACACTTTTAATCGCTTCAGCCCACTTCTCTGATTCCTCAGAATCTACAACCCAGGGGGTGTTCTGAGGAAGAGCATCTTGCAGAGCCTCTCCAAATCCACTGGTTTGCGTGACAAGAAAAGGCCGACCGGCAGATAACACTTCCAAGGCGGTTAAACCAAATCCTTCCGATCTTGAAGGTATAATTGCAAGATCTGCTGTAGATAGCAGGGTGGCAAGATCTTTCCGATTTTCAAGAAATGGTTTCACAATCAGCTGATTTTTCCTTAAGCCGTACCCAAGCAGTTTCTCTGCCACTTGTTTCTCGTTTCCAATTGGTGCACCCACAAAGACGAGCTGGTAACTTGTGTCATTCAGTTGAGCGACTGCTTTAGCCGCAATGTCGAAACCCTTCAGTTCAAAATCTTCTGAGTCGCCTCGTCCAAACAACAGAACATTGAACCTCTTACCTTCAACTATGGAAAGCTTTAACGAGGATAATTCAGAGAAGATGCCTGGCGTAAGATTGAATACATGTTTTCCGGATGAGCTAAGGTAACGTGAGTAAGACTCCCAAAGCCTTGGTCCAACAGTCACCACTAGATCAGCACGCTCGCACAGTTTGATTTCATTCCACTGTTTTTCGTCACCCTTAGCTATGGCATTGTCACAATCTGACTACGTTTTCAACATGGAAAGTTCCTCAGGGGCAGTATGTACAACTTGAACCCACTTACACTGATGGCTTTTCTTAATTATTTGAGCGTGTTTACCAAGTTTTACACCATGGCCAATGATTATGTCTATAGAGAGATCATCCGGTGGAAAACTTAATAGATCGACCGGATTGAATACATAATGCTCCTGTGCTTTAACGATATGCACGTTACAAGCACTACTTTCATTTTTGTCGTCTTCAGTGCATTCCGGGACTAAGAAAGTAACTGACACATTGGGATGTTCAGCCAAATGTATGGCCAATTCTCGATTTATGGTCGACAGGCCTCCTTTGGAAGATTTCCATTCGTCCGCGAGGAGAGTAACTTGTAATTTGCTATTGGACATGTTCCTGGAAATGTAATTCAGCAAAAAACAGACGTGACTTTTATGTTCACAAGCTCGTGTTACTCATTGATTTTTGTTGGCCTTGTTATTGACATGTACAGGAAAAAATCGATACACATTGCAATGTTGTCTGGGGGTCTCAATAGGGTGATGGCTTTCACGGCTAATTGTTGAAAATTTGGCCACTGTTACGGCTAACGGTTAATTGTTAATTATTTTTTAACGCTTTACTCCGGCTTTAACGGCAAAAAGTTAAAATTTATCAGTTTTTATGCCTTAAGGCTAAATCTTTTGGCCGTTTTACGGCTAACAGATGACCCCATTGAGACCCTCTTATTATGAATTGAAAATTATTCAGAAGCTCGTGTTACTCATTGAGTTTGGTTGGCCTTGTTTTTGACATATAGAGAAAAAATTGATAGAAATTGTAATGTTATCTGAGGGTCTAGATGGGGTGATGGCTTTCATGGCTCATGGTTAAAATTTTAGCCAATTTACGGCCAACGCTTAATATCTTTCCGTTGTGGTCACCAGAAATATTTTTAACGATTAACTATTTTACAACTAACGGTTATAATTTATGAATTTTACGACTGAATTTAACGGCTGAATTTTTTGGCCGTTTTACGGCTAACGGTTAACCCCATTGAGACTCTCTTATTCCGTATTAATTACTGCACTAAGATGAAAATTGCTCCATACACCGCTTAAGTGAATGATGTTGAGAGTATTGGGGTGAAGAAAATGCCTGATGTCAAATATAATATATTATAATATAGATGACTTTTCATTTAAAAGAAGGCGAAACACCAAGAATTATGATTAGAAAAAAGCTAACGTAAAATAAAATTGTTTAACTTCCCAACATTATTTCTTATCCCGTCACGCTAAGAATGTAGTTGTCACGCAAGGAAATTTTTCAGGCATCCCTTCAAAGTAATTCACTTTAGCTTCGTTCGTTCAGGACCTGAGGGAGCGTACACGATTACATTAGCTTTGCTTGGCGAGATTACCGTTGTGCAGCTTGCCTAAGCAGAAATGTTCTTTCAAGTATTCCAAGAAAACCATGCACGAATAATTAAGTATGATAACATAAAATACTTATTGCAAATGGATACTTTTTCATTTTGAAGGTTACTCTCGAAGCAATGCGATTTCATAAGCACTCTTCAAGCCAATTCTCTCCAGAAATTTTTCAATCACGGGTAGATCAAACCATAGTTCCCGTTATTAACTATGATCAAATACCTATGGGGGAAGCCAACTGCTCGCAAACTCAAGATTAAAATCCACCTTCGCAGGCGTGCTGAGCACATTGGTAGAGGCGAGTGGATTGGCTCCCTTATGGAGGAACTACGATCTGAAATAAAGTTTCCTTTTCACTGGAAATAGTGTCTTAACTTTATGTTGATCAAAAGCACCTGGCGGTATTTGTAGACTACATTTAGAATTTCTTGAACTTAGTAACGACATAACCCGCTTCGCCCGAACTTATTTCGCTGGATTTCAATACTCCCTCGTGAATCCTATAGCCAGCGATTCCTTTACGAACAAAGAACTAGTGTTTCAAGTCTACAACTTGTGAAAATATGAAGATAAACTTACATTCTTACGGTTACATGTATGACGCACTTACCCTGCCAGTGATTTTTGATTCCTCTCAAGCGGAAGCAGCATTCAATCGCCAAAATAGATTTGCCATCGTCCGAGGGACCAGCATATCATGATGTAAAACATGCAAGAACTAAACTGTGCTCGAGGAGACTTAATGTAATCGAAATAGTGGCTCAATCTCGACAAGAAGTATCAATCGTGCGATTCAAAAGCCTACGCCTCTCGTACATGACAAAAAATGAAATTGAGTCTTCGCATCATTGAACAATCCTGTTGCAAAGGATCTTGGGATATCAAGATTGTCACGCTACAAAACAAAACAATTGTATTGTCTGGAAAATTATGTGTGGTTCTTAAAAATGGTATACAGGCCAAGTGCTCTTTCTTACTATTCCCATACGGCAATAATTCACTTATCTTAAGAGACATATTGTGGAAAAAGGTCAAGGAGCAAAACGGGAGATAATCATTATTGAGACCGTACAATAGATGTAATACTCATATCTATCAGTTGGATTGTTATACTAAAGTTCCTCAAAATGGTATGTATTAAATAATCTTTTTGGTGCTTTTTCATGCTTACAGTACATGTGGAACCCACTGAAGATAGCTTTTCTTTGGACTTAATGTTGAGGACTGTAAATATTAATTATTTGAAGGGCTTGGAAAAATATTATGCAAATCACAAAATATCAGCACGACTATTATAAGTTAAAACATTGAATAATTTGAAGTGTTTATTTAGGAAGGTGAATGGTGATCTTCCATATTTCAGTAGCTCAGTGGCAACTTTATTTTGCCTCCATGTTTTTGCTATAACTGGCTCTTTTTTTATGTGGTTTTCTGTGGGACTTTTTTTGGAACACTTTCTTGAAGTTGGCTGACCACTCAATAATTGCTTCATTTATTTCCTTGTATTTCTTTAGAACTTGTACTTGAATGTGTGCCAGGTGATTTAAGAAGTGTTCTTTGTGGTATCTTGAGCTTGAATTTTTTTTGCATTTTTTTAAAGTTTTTCATATAACATAATATCTTCGGTTGTGCCAAGAATCTCTGAAAGAGCTTTTGCTGTTTTGCTGGATGGTATAAAATCTTCAGATAATTTTGGTTTCTTAGCCAGTGGTTCACCTGTCTCATTTTGCACTGTTTCACTCAGCTGCTGTGGTTCTGGAATCTGATTATTTTCTAGGTTTTCACTACTCTCTTCTTCATCAATTAACAGAGTTGTATCTTCAGCTTCTTCTTCACATTCACCATCACTCTCAAATGACTGATCTTGAACTGGCAGATTCTGTTGCATGCATTCTTCTCCATCATGGTTTTCTTCATTGGGAATTCTGGTAGCTGGGATTTTGATTCTGCTTTGAATGCATTCTTCCCAGCAGTGTTGAAGGAAAATTTTCTCCATTCTGATATTGGAGGAGCGAAGGTGGTGAAGGGAAGGTCCTTGCTCCCTGAATTCAATTTCCTCAGGACCATCAAAGAACTCAATACAGTCTTCATCCTCAATTTCTCTCCACCAAACTCCTTCTCCCGGTACGAGGAAGTCAGCAATAGACTGAAGGTGAGCCTCCCAGTGCCTAGCAAGTGTGTTGATGACATCTTTGGGTAAAACTGTGTTTCCCAGCTTTGGTAGGGCTTTGCTGATGTTGCTGATTTCCTTTTCTTGCCTGATAATGCAGGTCACAGCTATGTTTCCTCCTTAATAATATACATGGAAAAAGATAAAAAAGATAAATGCAGTTTTCAGGTAATTCAGTGCAGAAGAGAGTTAATTCAGTGCAGAAGAGGGTTAATTCAGTGCAAAGAAAGAAACAAATCAGACAAGTAATTTAGTGTTAACAACTGGGTTGAAAACGTAAATTAGCCACCGTAAAGAGTAAAAGAGCTGACGTTTTGAGCGTTAGCCCTTCGTCAGAGCGATTGAATCGCTCTGACGAAGGACTAAGGCTCGAAACGTCAGCTTTTTTACTCTTTACGGTGGCTAATTTACGTTTTCAACCCAGTTGTTAACACTAAATTACCTGCTATACTCTCCCACCGACGCAGCACCACAGTTTCTTTAGAAACTTACCCCTTTTATCAACAAATCAGACAGTCTGATTGGTCAATAATCAAAGAAACTCACAGATAGCCAATCAAATGCGAGCCTTGGATGTCGCAACAAAATTTGAAAATTTGAAAATTTGCGAGCAAAACAATGGCTGGCATTTTAAGTAGGTTTTCTTTCGCCACTGCAGCTGAAAAACACCTTAAACAATGAAAACAATGTAAAAGGCGCTGCTTTTTGGTTGTTGGTTTAACATGAGGCTAGAGAAATGATAAAAACCCATGAAAGTATTAAAGGGTCACATATTCATCATTAACTTGACTTAGACTGTTGTATGCTTTCTTATTACTTCAGGCCTACTTCTTCTAATGTTTTTCCTTATTTGTACTCTAATTAAACTGATGAAAATGATAATTAGCAGTATTGCTAGTACTTCTAAATTCTAAATTCTAAATTTTAACTCTTAAAACTCGCTGTTCTTTAATTAATAAATCAAATTTTGTTCAATCCTAATACACAATTTCTTTCGCCTATAAATGATATTGCAGAGATGTAACTCTCCACTGTCGGCTTAGTTACAAATTTACTACTTTTTTTTACCTGTAAGGCCATCCTCTGAATTGAGATGCACTTCTGATGGGGGCTTAAATCGGGCAATGTCTACTTTTTTTTACTTTAAAAAGGTTTTGACTAATTGCCCTCCATTGCCAGGTGTCGAATCACTTCCCTTGGTTTTGATGTTGTACATTTTGGCTTTTTCTTCAACCAGTTTGGAGGACCACCAGGCCATGACTCTACATCTGCTAGTAGCTGGTCCAACTTTCCTTCTATGTTAGCAGGTGAAGCTGGGTGGGATCGTTCCCTGACCTTTGGTGGGGTCGTTTTTGCTCTCTCCTTGGCCTCTTCAAAGGTTTCAAAGGACAGGGCCATTCTTTGGACTTGTCTTGAACTGTAAGACTATCGACTGACATTTTGGTCTCTAGTTCTTTTTTTGTTTGCCTTTGCTCATTTCTCTTCATTTTTTTCTTTTCAGCAGGTGAAGGCTTCTTTTGAAGACCCGCTTCAGGGACAAGCACAAGAATGCCACTGAGTGATTTTTGAAAGTTATCCTGGCATTTTTCATTGTAAGTGGCATATATTGCTTCCCCAATGCTTTTTAATTTCCTTTTTGTGACCTTAGGTTCTCTCTGACATTGTCTCTTGACATTTGTGTTAAGTTCAGTCAGAGGTCCTTTCCTAGCCCCTCTGCAAAACTTACTTATAGGGAAGGTAGATTGTAATTGAGAGTTGAATAAAAGGCAGGCCTGGCAGCTGGTCAATGAGTGATCTTTTTTCCCTTCTTTACTCATTACTTTGCCCTCATTCTTGTTCATTGAGGAAAATGCAGTTAGGTATGCTTCTTTTTCGGTTTTACTTCTCCAGTTGTAAAATTTTTCATCAATGGTTCTGTAATGCCGCATGAAGTCTTCCCGTTTTATATGTAGCCCAGGGTATTCTTGAAAATGTTCATTGAAAGTTTTAAATCTATCTTGCAGCAATGTAGTAGCAAACTTTGCATTTCCTTCACCGGTCAGTTTCGCTTAAACTTTTAGTTTCTCTAAGAAACACTCTTGCCCAAGCACAGACAATCTTCAAAGACATCTTTGTTGCCTTGGCAGAGGATATGGGATTTGATATTGTGTTCTAATTAAACACAAGTTGGAACTCTCCACGCTGCTACTCGAACAAGCTAACTGCTCGAAATTTAAGACAAATTGCGCGCCAAAAACTAAGGAGCTCATGTAATGTGTAACACGAGCCGCGTTTGCGGACCACTTTATTCATCCATGAACTAATATAAAGTCTACAAAGGTTTGAATGGACCATTGCCATTCTTCATCGATTTTTTTATCAAAGAATTACGGAAATATTAAGAAAACACTACCTTGAAATGTATTTTGTAGCCTAGAAGAACACTGTAAATAGCTGTTAAGCACCCTAAAGTTAAAAACGACCCGATCTAATCTTAATTCGAGAGCTCGAAGAATCCTCTCCTTCGACCGCCATCTTGAAGTCTGCTTTCTAGTCCATAGTTCATTTCACCATATCCCCCAGAAAAAGGGCATAAATACAATTAAATTCTTCCTTAGGGGAGAGGGATTCGAAGTTTCTGTTTCAGTCTCCCAACGGCCGTGAAACAAAATGGCGTCCGAATCGGAACATTGTCGAGTGACGACCTATTTTGCGCCATGGGGGAAGGAAAATCGATTCAAATGTGAAAAGTTTTAACATACTTTAGTTCTACTGAACTTCTTCTTCTTGTTTTAGCCTTGCAATGTTGACCTCAATGCTCGTAACCATTAAGAATTTAACGTAAAGACCCTCCAAACTGCTGCCGTGACGATTTCCTAAATTTTACCTATTCATCCACGGACATATGGCCGATGCCGACGCCTTTGCAGGGCTAACTCTTATGAATTAACTATTCCTCAATACGGTTTGGGCGAACTTGATTCAAGTCTTGAGGATTTGGTTTGCCCCATTTCGATTCAAAGTAAGGTAATTAATTTGGGCGTCGTCAAGGGTGACTATAATTTAATTATGGTTGCTATGGCAATGGTATTGCATGGAATGATAGATAATTTCTATAGTAATAACCTCGCCGAAATTTGTTAAATTTGATCTACAACGACCTGGAATGAAAAAATAATTTTTTTGCCTCGTTTTCACGTTGTAACCATGCCTTAACGTGCCTGAGTTTAGCTTGTAGATCTGTCCTGTAAAACCTTTATGAGCCCCTCTGTTTAATTTATATTCGCTTGTGTTGTAAACTGCTGAGAGAAAGTGTTGTAAATTGGTAATAGCAAAAACTTGTGCTTATTTGTATTGGCTTGTTTCGTAAATTGGTTACCACTGAAGGTTGTGTTATGATTGTGTTCATATTTTGGTTGTTTTGTATATTGGTTATTGCCAAAGACTTGTTTATTATTTACTTGGCTTGTGTTGTACATGTTGTTGGCTTGTTGTTTGCCTCCCACTGGAAAATATACATTGATTTTAAAACATCAACAATCAATTTCTATTTTGTAGAAAAAAAAAATGACATCCTTAAAAAATAAAGCCAATGGATTGAAAATAACATTATTCTTTGGGGTATGCTAACAGAAAATACATGTGTGGATAAATAAATGAATAAATATTGTGTGAATGAATAAACCTTTGGTGTTGTGTACATATTTCGTGGAAGGCTTGTTGTTGTATGATGTCTTTACTGATGTTTCTTGGCTTTTTCATCCACAATATCACAAGTATTTACCATTTTTTATGACTGCCTTATCTGCTCATGTTGCACTTTCAGTCCTTTATTCTACTTTCCCAACCTTGTCAAAACTGACTTACTCTACATACTCCTTCAAAATTCTATGAGGAGAGATGAACTTGTTCTCATAGGGCATATCAAACAGTGTTCCTCAATTTACATCCGGTAGTTGTAACCGTGGTAATCACTCTGTCGTTGTCTTTTCTTTTACCACAACACAAAGAAATATTTAAAAAAAACACATTGAACAAAGGCACACCTTACATTTTAGTTCAGCCTTGCCATTTACATTTCTATTAACTGCCCTGATATTTTGGGAAAGTTTTATACAGGACTTGCCTTACCCTGTAACCCCTAAGACTGATTAGTATCTGATAACCCCCTACAATATCACCCCTTAATCAAAAATTTAGGTCACATGGATAAAGCAAATGATCATGGATGAAAGGTCTTGATGGTTAAGAAAATAATTAATTATCATCATCAGCACCCTAATTAAGGAAAGGTATGGGGAACAGTATGGAGAATATGTATACTGTATGATTTAACCAGCTAGGTGTAAAGGGTTAAGGAAATGTTTAAGGTCTGTGCAACATTAAATCTCTCTACTTGAGGTGCTCTTTACTTCTTGATGTTATCACTTTGAAATTTGTTTTTCTTTCCTTGAAACAGTAGATAAAAATATGTTAAATACAAAGCCACTGTTCATACGTTCACTTATGAATCACTTTTGGAGTTTAACTTCAAAAATTTTTTCTTTCCAGCCTGATGACCAACTGCTTTTTCTTCATTGAATGTTGTTAAATTTTGTGTGCAACTCAACATCACTTGATATTGGAAATTGTGTACTATGCTGCTCATGTTTGCCGGGTGTTTATGCTATTAGTTAGACCGCATCTTGCAGGCCTGCCATACTCTGCATGTGTCCACATATGCTGTACAGATGAAAGGAAAAAGCTTCGATGTTGGCTCAAAACACTCTTTAGGAAATACTAGTCTATTGTATCTTTGTTTTGGGTTGTTGTTATGTTATCAATGTGCAAAACTAGTTGAGTTACACAATCCAGGTTTTCTATTCAGCATGATGATTAGGTTAAAAAAGTTGGCACCAACCATGTATTTTTTTGACATGATACGCAAAGTCCATATATTTTCTTTATTGATTGCAACAGATTTGATATCTCGAGTACAGAGTTAATTTAGCATAACATATATGTGATTTGTCTTTGTTATCATGTGGTGGCAAACCTTGATGTCACAATCTACCTTTGATTGAAATTTTTCATGAAAGGTTGATTGGAGCTATACAATAAGGCTGTTTGAAGGGTTGTAAAAATGAGGCCGGATCTCAACATTTTTCAGAATGAAATAAAATACACCCCTTATGACTAGCAATCTGATCTTGAAATTCTCAATAATTTAAGAACATATGATAAACATTATGAAAGTCTACTATTCAAGGGACTTAATCTTGCAAAGAGTAAAAGTTCTCTGAGATCATGTGGTGATGCTCAGCAAGGATTTCTAAGGACGTAACTCCTTGCATTGTGACATTTTCACACTGTACCATTGAGGATTGCCTTGCCAGCGAAGTTCCCTGCGTACAAACAAACGAAAATTTATTTCAAATTTATTCAATTATCAAGACTGGTTGACAAATAGAGAAGCCTTGACTGTACTCTGTTCTGTTGGAAAGCACACCGGAAGCAGAAAAACATTAGGTACAAACACAGGCATGCGTATCATGCAAGAGTTATTTTTTAACTGGGTGTGTTGCGGTAGGACACTTTGTGAACCTATTGTTTTCATTTTGGAACAGAAAAAGAGCATAACTTAAAAAAGAACGAAAATATTGTGTTACTTCACCTTAAGGAAAGAAAAAAAGGCTAATTTATCTAAACTCTCACAGGTTCTTTGTGGTCTATTGTCTTTATTGTCTAAATACTTCTGGGTGAAAATGAAATGCATCATTGCCACGCCTACTGTAGTCTCCTTCGCAACCATTGTCTGGTCTTGCCACATAACGCCCTCTCTTCCCCATTGGTAAGAGAGTGCGTTGCGCAACGAGACCAAATAACGTTTGCAAAAGAGTCGACTAACTGCCTTTTTTCCTAACAGAGAGAAAATAAAAATTATTCGTCTACAGTTGGCTGCCTCAAAATATGATTCCACCTAATTTAACTACGAAAAGCAAACTAAAACTCTGTGTTATCTTCAATAGACCTAGCCAAACATATGTTGCAAATAAATGAATTAAGATACACTGAGCAAGAGAAAGATACTCTAATGCCCAAAGTGTGTGATCTGATTGGTGCGAGCAACATACCGCACTACACGCTAACATAGTTATTTTTTGATTAAAAAAATAACTCAAAAAACCCGCCGAGATGCCATCCTTATTCTATAAATGGTCTATAATCAAGCTGTCCACCAGTAGAGCTTTTAATTCATTTCCATGGTCTCTCTTTTCCGTTTTCCTTTTCTATAATGTTTTTTTCTTCATCTAAATAAAACCGATTCTTTATCGCTATCTCTCATCAAACAAAATTACAACACAACATGAGCCCATGAGCGAATATACTCTTTGAACGGTCTAAACCACGATATTTTTGTCACATTTCAAACCTTTCGAAGAAATGGATTTCGGTTTTCGCTTGCATCGAGACGTCCGCCATCACGTCAACTTGGATGAGCATCGCAACCGAAAAGAACTATTTCTGGAGGTTAAGAGTCAAAAGGAAGACATCAATTTAGTTCTCGTCCTTCGTTATCGGCCAGTTTCCTTATACAATGAAGTAAATTTTTACCAGTTCCTTTAACCTATATGTTGCTACGCCCCAAAGAACGAAACCCAAATGCTTCTTTTGCTGTTTTTAGTGCTCTTTCCGTTGTTTGTTTGATAGCCTTTGCAGCAGCATTAGCAGCAGCATTAGCAGCAGCATTAGCAGCTTGCTCTATTTTTCCACTTTCTTTTATAATAGCTTCAAATTTGTCTGAGTCATGTAAACTGATGTACAAGTCACCATCAGCCTTCCTCTTTTGTAGATCATCGATAATGCGTTCAGGGATACAGTTATTTCTATATTTATACTTTACACTGTTGTCTTCAAACGATACCTTTCCGTTGCGAACACGAGTTTTTAATAAAAGCTTTTTTCCAGTATCAAGCTGTATTTCCCCATCCAACGTAAATTGTTTCAAATTTTGATCAACGTAACACTCAGTTGACCCATTACTGAGCTTAATGACTCTTATTCCAACAAGAGGTTTGTTCCGGAATCTGTATAACAGCTTCCCTAGGATGTCATCCGGAACTTGAAATTCAGGGTCCCATATTTGAAGGTCCTCTTGCCGATAAGATATCTCTCCGTGACGAACGAAACTTCTTAGGACAACAACAGGAGGGGGTCTTTTTGAGAACTGTGTCCCCAGGACCAGCTGCTGACTATTTTGAGCACTCATCTCATCAATACTTTTCCTTTCTGAGGAATTCCTTTGAAGATAGTTTTCGCTTAAGTTGTATGAATATGTGGACAACGAGTAAGCGTGTACATCCTGTTCTTGAGAGATAAACTGTGTATTTGGCGTAGAACATGTCATTGGAAGATTCAAAACTTGGCTGCACAAAATATCTGTGGATCCATAGCCAGCTTTCCATTGTTTACTGTTGCAACAAACGTTTTCTCTAGTTTATTGATTTGCCCAATAAACTCATTGTATGTATTTGTTGTTGATTGCCCATTGCAAACCAAGATAATGACTTTTTCAACTGTGAAGAGAAAACAGAAAAAATCTCAAATGGGGACTGCTGTGTTCATTTCTTCACACCGATTGAGCCGTAATTCAATTACAATTATAAGGATTTTGTTTCAAGAATTGAGCTGAGTTGTTCGAACACTATCAGTACCAGCACCCTTTCTGTCACTGTATTAGTTGAAAACTAACGTGACAGAAAGTCTATAAACAGCTAACAAAGCATTAGTATTACTCGTGTTTCGAAGAACCATGGCCGATTCAGGTTCCATGGTCCAAAGAGGGCTTAGAGCTACCTCAAATATTTGTTACTATGCCTGTGTTTATAGCAGTTCAGTGAATGCAAAAAGGTGATCTACCTTTACGAAAAAATAATCTCAGTACAAAATTCAGAGGAGGAGCCGCTCACGATCGGATGTAATCACTATGCACTTTTTGTAAACTACATAAAACTACAGTGGGATGATCATCCCTTTCCTAGACCTCCTCTACCCGCTCTCCAAGAAAATGATTTATCAACTCAAGCATTCAGCGGTAAGATTGTCTTTTTGTCAGACGAAGAGAATGTTTTTGATTAAATGCACCGAAAAGGAACTAAATTATTGACAACGAAATAATTCAAGGGGTTAAAAGTATGGTAATGATAAAAAAACGTGGTATGAAGGATTTTTATGAGAGTAACTTATCAGTGCAATCGGAAGACTTACCGACTTGATCCACTGCAAGTCTTACAAGTCGCTGTAATTCCTTTGATCTTTGATCGTCACAACCATCCCTCACAGTATAACCGTCCACCATCAACACAGAGAATCTGAAGTGATAGTCCCTCAAATATTCTTCAACTTTGGTGATTGGCAGGTTGCCAACGAAAGGATCCTTTGACAAGCGAAGGCTGGGAAGAACTCTTGCAAAAACTTTTTTCGCATCATCCACAGACTCACATGACACATTACAGCCAAGAATCGACAATTCTAAAGAGAGAGAGAGACGGAAAGTCGTACACTTAAAGATTATCTTGAGGAAGAAGTATGCATATTGAGATTCCAGTGAGTAACTCAACCTGGCTAAATGTGCTTAAAACTCGAACATAAACGCCGTCATTTTGAAACTAACAAAGTTAGCTGGCCACACGAGCAAAACCACCACGAAAAAACAATTTCTTTTAGATAATTTATTTTCGAGTGGCTCTTGATTAATCGAACAGATCTCCATGAGATGAAGAGAAAAGAATCGATATTTGTAACTGAGAAAGGTGGTCGGCCAGGTTGCTGGGCAAGGTTAAAAAATGGCAAGCGTCCATAATCAACTATAAGCTCAGTTGAAGACAATTGTTTTAAGTTAGGATACTGTCGATGGTAAAGATAAAAATTAGATGGTTTTTGGAGCATGATTCTCCTTTAACCGTGTGTGCATGGCTGCCAAATAATGGCGGTCAGTGCGTTGGAACCAACAGACTTCCTTCTGTTAGTAAATGAGAAGCCGACACAGCGACAAAGAAACTCCCACGAGAAAAATTCTGCAAACCAGAAATTGGAATTTAGAATTAGCTGAAACAAGACGCTAATAGTTTTCATGGGTAAACGATTAGCAAAAGTCTTCTCGGTGAAAATCTTCATAAAGTTTCCGATATGAATCAAAGAGTTGAAACATATGGGCAATTGACCTCAGCACTTAAAAAGGCACCATTTGGCCATGCCCCTAGCAGAGGTAGAAGTTTAGCAGTTCACTTCCTACTACCTTCTCAAATCTACATACCTTGGAGACTTCAAGTGGGCAAAACGACAAGAGTTACCGAGGAATTGTGCTTTCGTCGGCTTTATCACCTCTCAGATAATGCGCAGATTAATTCGGAGCTTCAACATCCGCCCCGGGCAACCCGCGGTAATTTGACCGTCATCCTTATCAGGGGTGGGGAATTTGAACATTTTTTGGCTGAGATGGGGAATTTCAACCGAATAAAAGTTTTTATTTTTAAAAATAGGGAGAGTTTGAAGGTATAGAGTTCACTTTCGCGGGCGAATTCCTCAGAAGGAAAGGTCTGCAAGGTCTAGTTTTTAAAGCTTGGTAAATGAGTAGAAAGTCGCGGTCGCTGATTCCGCCTTTTACAAAAAAAAAATTCACCATCAATTCCGCCACTTGGGGAGGGCATTTGGAAATAATTTTGGGCCCGGAACAAGAATTTTAACATGCCAATCTTCAAAAGTTTAAATCCACAGGGGGCTTCCTGGATGTTGAAGCTTCCGATTGATCGACGCATAAGTGGGTAAGGTGCCTAAATATTTTCCTGTAAATCTGTTTTTAAGATTTTATTCTAACCAATAGTTTCTCCGGTACGTGGACGAAAAATTTCCTCAGACCCGGCTCCTTGATTATTAGCGGTTGTTGTGCTTGCCTTCTTCCTCGAAATATTGCTGCCCTCGGCTCTACTATCAAGAGTCTACCATTCTTTGATCTCCCTTGCACCAGTTACAGCTTCATAGTGACGCAGGGAACTTTCTGGTTTAAGTGGCGGCTCTGATTCATATTGTTGTTCGCCTGACAAGGAAAAACACCTACGAAACGGATGTATTACCTCCTCCAATCTTGATGGCGGTGGTGTTGCTGCCTCTGGTTGTTCCTTTCGCTGATCCGGCTGATATTCGAACTTTAGTCCGTTCTTGTTTGGGTCAAAGTGATGCAACAGAGCTTGTTCGTGAATCTCTCGATGTTTTTTGTTCCAAGAAAAGATGAAGCTCTTTCTGCCATCAAGATACTCTTCGCTGAACTGTGAGAAAACTTTCCTTTTCGCCCAACGTGAAATAACCTCACGTTCCTCTTCGTCTTCGCCCTTGTATTTGTTATCTCCCCCGATAACGATGATGACATCTCCACCTGATAATAAAGCAGATTCAAATGTAAAAAGGCGTAACAGTACATATCTCCACACGATATGCAATTTCCAATGTTTTGTTGTTGGCCAGTGTGTTTGTATCTCCCATGTCAGACACACTTAATCAAATTCCTTCCTAATGACCAGATGTAAAATATGAAACAATGCGCCCCTTTGACTGAGCACCTGGTGTTACCGCCCTGCCGATATTTTTAATTGTAGCAATGATTTTTGTACGTTTAGTTTTTTATATATATATGTATTTTTTTTTTTGTTTCTGTTTTTTTAATTGTATTTTGCTTACTTTCATACGTCTTATACATGAGCCTCAGGCTCGAATACACAGGGCAACCTGATCCCACGCATTAACATTAATATTGATACATGTACATGTATAATCCGTATTGCACGAAAGAGACCTGACATATACTATTTGATTAACGAAGTGTTTATGCAAAGGCCCTTGAGACGTCTTCGGAATCTCATTTGGTTACTATTTTTGTACATTTTATTTGTGCTCGTGAAAATGAAACAAAGTATCTCGTTTCTAACAAAGAGCACATAAAATTTAAGAGCTAATGTCAACATGCATCAGACAAACAGCAACAAGTCACCCAAAATTTGCTTACAATCCTACTTTCATATTTTGTAGCCCAATATGTCCTAGTGTTGATGCTACTTTTCGACATAGGGAAAGCATGTCGGACAAAACTATTCACCAAAAAATAACTACTTCTTTGCCAGCTTCAATAACGACAGGGGATTAAGTTTAGATGATAAAACAAAGGATTATGTCGATAGAAATACCGGTTGTTTAGCATATTCGTTACATGAGGTCACACAACTCGGGTAATATTCACGGTTAAAATTTGCATATTTGAGCGGTCGAACGAAAAAAACTATTTCTCGAAAACTAAAATATGTTTTCACAAAAAACTACACCACAATTATTCGAACATATTGGGCTAAAAAATATGAAAGTAGGAGAGAAAACGAATTTTGGGCGACTTTCCAAAATATTTCAAATTTGTTCGATGGATGCTGACATCCTCTCCCAACATGTCATCGAAATAACACTATGTTTCTTGGTTTATCTATGGTAATCGGAGCTCCATTTCTTGTTACCCACAAAATTTCCTTTCATAATTCGAACGATTATTCAAATTAATTTCATTTGCTTTGAAAAAGCGTTTTGAACCCATGTCAGTGGTATAGATAACTGCTGATAGCTGACAAATGTTCACCTTTCCAATTCGGTTTCAATGGTAAACTGTTTTATCATATCAATTCTGCGTAGGAATATTCCTTGGCTGCTCAAAATCAGTATCCGAAGAGAGGCGCCTCTGATTTGTTCAGCATTCATCATTATGAGGAATTAATTCAATGTTCTCTTAGCCGTTATCCATTGAGGCAAAATGGCTTTTAAATATAAATTTGCTTTCAATCTTTAACTCATACAATCCTGAAGGTCCCTGACGGTCTCACTTACAGTTGTTGATTTTCTTACACCCAACTTGAAAGAGTTGCATGCAAATGAAAATGTAAATAAATTACGGTATTCCCGGACTCTATGCGTTTTTTATTACTTTTCAGAGCAAATACGAACAATCTTCAGAATTAAATGACAAGCAATGAGTCATGTAAATCTTATATCTTAGTGGTTTGAACGATCGACGTTAAACCACGTATTCAAGCCGACACATACGCACACGCAAATTGGGTTTAACCTGAAAAAACGAATTAAAATTGTCCCAAGATTCTTGGAAACAGTTCCTTTTGTCTAATTTGTCTTATCATAAGCATTCGCCGGAAGTTTGCTTCCGTCTTCATTTAGGAAAGGAAAAAATAAAATCAACATTTATAAAATAAATGGGAGTACATTACCTTACATTGCCTAAAATTTTGATCGCCAACAAAAGAAGGAAAACAGATTATCGGAAACGGTTTTAGTCGCTTCCGCTTAAATCGTCCGCCGCTTTATCCACCGAATCACATCGCGTTAGTTTTATACAGTCGATTACTTTTCTTAGTTGCCAAATTAATCATACAAGGAAGAGATTTTTCCTTTCTTGCTCGGCAGCAAATAAAAACGGGTTCACAACTGAATAAAAAGACACAAACAACCCAGTCTCAAGCCGGTTATCTGTTGCCTTCATTAAACCATTGTGTACCTTGTTCCAAGTTATTGTCAAGAGGCATTCGAGTGCATTTTTTTTCCTCAGCGTAGGTATCTCAAACAAAGTGAAATTGTATTTCTGTACCGAGAATTCGAAGCCGGGTTTCGATTTCCTCGCTCGTAACAGATCCTCGACGACGCATGAAACAACTAGTCGCACTTTACCAATTTCCAGAGCAAGTGCCGAGAACTTCCAACCTCGATGTACATCTACGCTAATTTACTTTCGCTTTCGACTCATATGTCTAATAGGCCTTTGTTAGGGAAAATGTACAACAGTTCCGCAGTAAATTTGATAAACTTGCCATTGCTTTTGTCAAAGAAATCGCTGCCTGCTGAACAACGCATTATTAAGCAAAATTAAATGTGTTTGTGACAAACACAATTAAATAATGATAAATAATGATAAAAAAACTGAAAATGTTTCAGCTCCTTACCCGTTGCTTTTAGTAAAGCCCGGTATATTTTGGCGTAGCCAAATCCCGCGCCTTCCTCGTTTATCGAGAGCACACATTCATGTGCATGAACCACGAAAAAGGCCATATCCATCGCTAAGATGGGAATTCTGTCGACCATTTCAGACATTTTAGGAAGTCTGAAATAGTGCTTCTCAACAAGTTCAACATCGATGCCACATTTCTCCAACAATTTTTCAACAGGCTCTAGCTTGTATGTGTTATCACAGTTGAAAAGATGAATTCGCTTTTTGAACTGAGACATCTTAGCTTTTTTGAATGTAGTTGTCGATAAAACCTGGCACAATTCGCTGAAATGGAAGGAGGAAATTCAACTACGTAACATTGCAAGGAAACCCGACACTATCTTTGATTGACTTTTATCACACGAAAACATCACGCAACAGACTGGAAACGCATAACGCCAATGCCAAACGCTTTCAAAGGCATTCAAAGGCATTCAAAGTCCAAGGTTCCTTGCTAAGCCGGTCAGCGGTACTAAGGCTGTGCATATTTAGTGCAAAGATAAATTCGTCACTATTCTGTGATTTTGCTCATCCATCCTTTTAAGGTTTAATTTGTTACTTCATGGAATTGTATTGAGTAGTGGTGAACCAAGTGTATGTATCTATTTCATTAGCTCATGTTATAAAGCGCTTGGTGAGCGCTAAATACTTTTGATCAGTGTCACACTTGCTGCCTATTGTTTTAAAACTGTCTGTTTATTTTTTTGGCTTGTAGATCTGTGCTGTAAACTCTTTATGAGCCCCTCTGTTTAATTTATATTCGCTTGTGTTGTAAACTGCTGAGAGAAAGTGTTGTAAATTGGTGACAGGAAAAAATTGTGCTTATTTGTACTGTCGTAAATTGGTTACCATTGAAGGTTGTGTTTCGATTGTGTTCATATTTTGGTTGTTTTGTATATTGGTTATTGCCAAAGAGTTGTTTATTATTTACTTGGCTTGTGTTGCACGTGTTGTTGGCTCGTTGTTTGCCTCTCATTGGAAAATATACATTGATTTTAAAACATCAACAATCAATTTCTATTTTGTAGAAAAAAAATGACATCCTTAAAAAATAAAGCCAATGGATTGAAAATAACATTATTCTTTGGGGTATGCTAACAGAAAATACATGTGTGGATAAATAAATGAATAAATAATGTGTGAATGAATAAACCTTTGGTGTTGTGTACATATTTCGTAGAAGGCTTGTTGTATGATGTCTTTATTGATGTTTCTTGACTTTTTCATCCACAATATCACAAGTATTTACCATTTTTTTACGACTGCCTTATCTGCTCATGTTGTACTTTCAGTCATTTATTCTGCTTTCCCAACCTTGTCAAAACTGACTTATTCTACATACTCCTTCAAAATTATATGAGGAGAGATGAACTTGTTCTCATAGGGCATATCAAACAGAGTGTTCCTCAATTTACATCCGTAGTTGTAACTGTGGTAATCACTCTGTCATTGTCTTTTCTTTTACCACAACACAAAGTAAGATTAAAAAAAAAAACACATTGAGCAGAGGCTCACCGTACATTTTATTTCAGCCTTCCCGTTTACATTTCGGTTAACTGCCCTGATATTTTGGGAAAGTTTTATACAGGATTTGCCTTACCCTGTAACCCCTAAGAGGGATTAGTATCTAATAACCCCCCTACAATATCATCCCTTAATCAAAAATTTAGGTCACACGAATAAAGCAAATGATCATGGATGAAAGGTCTTGATTATTAAGAAAATAATTAATTATCATCATCAGCACCTTAATAGGAAATGCATGGGGAAGAGTATGGAGAAGGTGCATACTGTATGATGTAACCAGCTGGGTGTAAAGGGTTAAGGAAATGTTTAAGTTCTGTGCAACATTAAATCTCTCAACTTGAGGTGCTCTTTACTTCTTGATGTTATCACTTTGAAATTTGTTTTTCTTTCCTTGAAACAGTAGATAAAAATATGTTAAATACAAAGCCACTGCTCATATGTTCACTTATGAATCACTTTTGGAGTTTAAATTCTAAAATTTTTTCTTTCCAGCCTGATGACCAACTGCTTTTTCTTCATTGAATGTTGTTAAAATTGTGTGCAACTCTATATCACTTGATATTAGAAATTGTGTATTATGCTGCTCATGTTTATCAGGTGTTTATGCTACTAGTTAGACCGCATCTTGCAGGCCTGCCATACTCTGCATGTGTCCACATATGCTGTACAGATGAAAGGAAAAAGCTTCGATGTTGGCTCAAAACACTCTTTAGGAAATACCAGTCTATTTTATCTTTGTTTTGGGTTGTTGTTATGTTATCCATGTGCAAAACTAGTTGAGTTACACAATCCAGGTTTTCTATTCAGCATGATGATTAGGTCAAAAAAGTTGGCACCAACCATGTATTTTTTTGACATGATACGCAAAGTCCATATATTTTCTTTATTGATTGCAACAGATTTGATATCTCGAGTACAGAGTTAATTTAGCATAACATATATGTGATTTGTCTTTGTTATCATGTGGTGGCAAACCTTGATGTCACAATCTACCTTTGATTGAAATTTTTCATGAAAGGTTGATTGGAGCTATACAATAAGGCTGTTTGAAGGATTGTAAAAATGAGGCAGGATCTCAACATTTTTCAGCATGAAATAAAATACACCCCTTATGACTAGCATTCTGATCTTGAAATTCTCAATAATTTAAGAACATATGATAAACATTATGATAGTCTACTATTCAAGGGACTTAATCTTGCAAAGAGTAAAAGTTCTCTGAGATCATGTGGTGATGCCCAGCAAGGATTTCTGAGAACGTAACTCCTTGCATTGTGACATTTTCACACTGTACCATTGAGGATTGCCTTGCCAGCGAAGTTCCCTGCGTACAGGCAAACGAAAATTTATTTCAAATTTATTCAATTATCAAGACTGGTTGACAAATAGAGAGGCCTTGAATGTACTCTGTTCTGTTGGAAAGCACACCGGAAGCAGAAAAACATTAGGTACAAACACAGGCATGCGTATCATGCAAGAGTTATTTTTTAACTGGGTGTGTTGCGGTAGGACACTTTGTGAACCTATTGTTTTCATTTTGGAACAGAAAAAGAGCATAACTTAAAAAAGAACGAAAATATTGTGTTACTTCACCTTAAGGAAAGAAAAAAAGGCTAATTTATCTAAACTCTCACAGGTTCTTTGTGGTCTATTGTCTTTATTGTCTAAATACTTCTCAGTAAAAATGAAATGCATCATTACCACGCCTACTGTAGTCTCCTTCGCAGCCATTGTCCGGTCTTGCCACACAACGCCCTCTCTTCCCCATTGGAAAGAGAGTGCGTTGCGTAACGAGACCAAATAACGTTTGCGAAAGAGTCGACTTACTTCCGTTTTTCCTAAAAGAGAGAAAATAAAAATGATTCGTCTACAGCTGGCTGCCTCAAAATATGATTCCACGTAATTTAACTACGAAAAGCAAACTAAAACTCTGTGTTAATCTTCAATAGACCTAGCCAAACATATATTACAAATAAATGAATTAAGATACACTGAGCAAGAGAAAGATATTCTAATGCCCAAAATGTGTGATCTGATGGTGCGAGCAACATACCGCTCTACACGCAAACATAGTTCTCTTTTTGATTAAAAAAATAATTCAAAAAACCCGCCGAGATGCCATCCTTATTCTATAAATGGTCTATAATCAAGCTGTCCACCAGTAGAGCTTTTAATTCATTTCCATGGTCTCTCTCTTCCGTTTTCCTTTTCTATAATGTTTTTTTCTTCATCTAAGTAAAACCGATTCTTTATCGCTCTCTCATCAAACAAAATTACAACACAACATGAGCCCATGAGCGAATATACTCTTTGAACGGTCTAAACCACGATATTTTTGTCACATTTCAAACCTTTCGAAGAAATGGATTTCGGTTTTCGCTTGCATCGAGACGTCTGCCATCACGTCAACTTGGATGAGCATCGCAACCGAAAAGAACTATTTCTGGAGGTTAAGAGTCAAAAGGAAGACATCAATTTAGTTCTCGTCCTTCGTTATCAGCCAGTTTCCTTATACAATGAAGTAAATTTTTACCAGTTCCTTTAACCTATATGTTGCTAAAAAAAGCTTCTTTTAACTTAAACGGTTAAAAGACTCCTATTTCCGTTCCAAAAACTCGGTCATTCTATCCATTACTCCACTTTTTACAACGGATCGAAATCGTCCAGCGACATCCAAAATGACGTAGAAGTCAACATACGGCTTCCCTCTGGATTCTGTTTTTAAACGAGCAATAATTATTAATTGCCATTAATTTTAGAAATGACCCTTTTATGTCCTCTTTCAATCGCCAACTCTACGTGAAGCTCAGACAATTACGCAAGAGGCTGAAAATTATTGCATTAACAAGCTTCATTTGCGTATTTCTTTGTCTTGTGTCTAATCGAACTCAAGATGAATGCAGTCAAGTTACCCTGCTTTATACCGGAGAGAAATGAACGAAAACGAAGGGGATAAGTTTCGAATGTCATAATTGCCTCCCTTTAAATTTTCCTGCAGAAGGACAATTTATTGACGCTGTTGATTTGAATACAGAGCTATCAGGATTAAACCTCACAGAAATAAAGGCCAAGGCTTTCGGCGAAGAAAAAAAATCTGTACGCATTCATTTGCAGCTTCTCGTCACTGAAAGTCATACTGATCGTTGTCATCCATTCACAAAGCTTCCTCAGTATGCTGGTCTCGTCATCTTCTTCTGATCTTGAAATGAGCTTAGGTCCTTGTTATCTAATGGGATCAGGGGAAACGGGTTATGCCATTGCAAACTGAGTTAGGAAAAGGGAAAAATAATGAAAGGAAGGAAGTACACCACAACCAACTTTAGACTAAAGCTGAAAAACATTATACGGATCTGAAGTTAATTTTCCACCTTCAACCAGTATCAGTCGCTCTCGTCTAAATTCCCTGACACCACCATAGCCGTGCGTGACAACAACAGAAAACACATACATATTTGCCATCGCGTGCTCACTGGAGGCCGCACGACATGTTTATTGAATAAAACTAACGCAGCAACATTTTGTTAACCCATTCAATTTCAAAACATAGCTATCAGGACTAGACTTCACTGAAATATATAAAGGCCGAGATTTTAAGCAGAATTGTGCACGCGTTCATTTACAGCTTGTCGTCGTTGACAGCCAGAGTGATAATCGTCATACATATATTTACTCCAGAACTCCGTTGTCTTGGATCGGATGTAACGCAATCGACTTTCATCATTTTATATGAATCGCTTGGAAATACCGTCGCTACATCCTGGATTCGTTGTAATTTATGCCATAGTATTCCCGAAAACTGATTTTGATGGCCCAGTTTAATGTCTGTTGAAGACTATGCGATTTCTTGTCGATAAAAAATGATTCCTCCAAAGTTTATTTTCAGTTCATCCGTACGTTATTAGTGATTACTGAGATACTAGGAGTAGGTCAGTTTCATAAACTCACCCTTATCGCTGTCGAAGATGTATCCACTCGGACGAATTTACGAACCTACATTTATTTATTTAAAGAGTAATTATAAACCTATTCTAAAATAACTTTAATGAAACTTGATCTTCAAAAAAAAGGTGCAACCGTTACTTGGACAGTCTATAGTACATAAAATCACAAATCTTCTGTTCCTTGCAAATGGAATCATGCAAACTCTGTAAACATATGTAAACACATAAACTTATTTATGAAATATTACACATACATTTATAAACAGCACAGAATTTTTTCAAATTAGATTTTTTTCTGATAGCTACGATCATTTCTTGTGAATATCGACAGTGGACTGGCTGTTACACATTCAGAAGCAGTCATTTGACATTTTTCTCAGTCCTTTGAATTACGCCCCAGAGAACTAAATCCAAACGCTTTTTTTGTTTTTTCTAGCGCTTTTTCCGTTGTTTGTTTGATAGCATTAGCAGCAGCTTTAGCAGCAGCATTAGCAGCTTGCTCTATTTTTCCACTTTCTTTTATAATAGCTTCAAATTTGTCTGAGTCATGTAAACTGATGTACAAGTCACCATCAGCCTTCCTCATTTGTAGATCATCGATAATGTATTCAGGGATACAGTTATTTCTATATTTATACTTTACATCGTTGTCTTCAAACGATACCTTTCCGTTGCGAACACGAGTTTTTAATAAAAGCTTTTTTCCAGTATCAAGCTGTATTTCCTCATCCAACGTAAATTGTTTCAAATTGCGATCAACGTAACACTCAGTTGACCCATTACTGAGCTTAATGACTCTTATTCGAACAAGAGGTTTGTTCCGGAAACTGTGAAACAGCCTCTCTTGGATGTCACTAGGAACTTGAAATTCAGGGTCCCATATTTGAAGGTCCTCTTGCCGATAAGATATCTCTCCGTGACGAACGAAACTTCTTAGGACAACGACAGGAGGGGTTCCTTCTGAGAACTGTGTCCCCAGGACCAGCTGCTGACTATTTTGAGCACTCATCTCATCAATACTTTTCCTTTCTGAGGAATTCCTTTGAAGATAGTTTTCGCTTAAGTTGTATGAATATGTGGACAACGAGTAAGCGTTTACATCTTGTTCTTGAGAGATAAACTGTGTATTTGGCGTAGAACATGTCATTGGAAGATTCAAAACTTGGCTGCAAAAAATATCTGGATCCATAGCCAGCTTTTCATTGTTTACCTGCGCAACGAACGTTTTCTCTAGTTTATTGATTTGCCCAATAAACTCATTGTATGTATTTGTTGTTGATTGCCCATTGCAAACCAAGATAATGACTTTTTCAACTGTGAAAAGAAAACAGAAAAAATCTCAAGTTGAGACTGCTGTGTTCATCTCTTTACACCGATTGAGCCGTAATTCAATTACAATCATAAGGATTTTGCTTCAAGAATTGAGCGGAGTTGTTCGAACACTATCAGTACCAGTACCCTTTCTGTCGCTGTATTAGTTGAAAACTAACGTAGTGACAGAAAGTCTATAAACAGCTAACAAAGCATTAGTATTACTCGTGTTTCGAAGAACCATGGCCGATTCAGGTTCCATGGTCTAAAGGGGGCTTAGAGCTACCTCAAATATTTGTTACTATGCCTGTGTTTACAGCAGTTCAGTGAATGCAAAAAGGTGATCTACCTTTACGAAAAAATAATCTCAGTACAAAATTCAGAGGAGGAGCCGCTCACGATCGGATGTAATCACTATGCACTTTTTGTAAACTACATAAAACTGCAGTAGGATGATCATCCCTTTCCTACCCGCTCTCCAAGAAAATGATTTATCAACTCAAGCATTCAGCGGTAAGATTGTCTTTTTGTCAGACGAAGAGAATGTTTTTGATTAAATGCACCGAAAAGGAACTAAATTATTGACAACGAAATAATTCAAGGGGTTAAAAGTATGGTAATGAGAAAAAAACGTGGTATGAAGGATTTTTATGAGAGTAACTTATCAGTTCAATTTGAAGACTTACCGACTTTATCCACTGCAATTCTTACAAGTCGCTGTAATTCCTTTGATCTTTGATCATCACAACCATCCCTCACGGTATAACCGTCCACCACCAACACAGAGAATCTGAAGAGATAGTCCCTCAAATACTCTTCAACTTGGGTGATTGGAAGGTTGCCAACAAGAGGATCCTTTGACAAATGAAGGCTGGGAAGAACTTTTGCAAAAACTTTTTTCGCATCATTCACAGACTCACGTGACACATTACAGCCAAGAATCGACAATTCTAAAGAGTGAGAGACGGAAAGTCGTACACTTAAAGATTATCTTAGGGAAGAAGTATGCAGATTGAGATCCCAATGAGTAACCCAACCTGGCTAAATGTGCTTAAAACTCGAACATGAACGCCGTCATTTTGAAACTAACAAAGTTAGCTGGCCACACACGGAAAACCACCACGAAAAAACAAATTTTTTTAACAATTTATTTTCGTGTGGCTCTTGATTAATCGAACAGATCTCCATGAGATGAAAAGAAGAGAATCGAAACTTGGAACCGAGAAAGGTGGTCGGCCAGGTTGTTGGGCAAGGTTAAAAAATGGCAAGCGTCCATAATCAACTATAAGCTCATTTGAAGACAATTGTTTAAAGTTAGGATACTGTCGATGGTAAAGATGAAAATTAGATGAATTTCGGAGCATGATTCTCCTTCAACCGTGTGTGCATGGCTGCCAAAAATGGCGGTCAGTGCGTTGGAACCAAGTTCAACAGACTTCCTTCTGTCAATAAATGAGAAGCCGACACAGCGACAAAGAAAGTCCCACGAGAAAAATTCTGCAAACCAGAAATTGTAATTTAGAATAAGCTGAAACAAGACGCTAATAATTTTCATGGGCAAACGATTAGTAAAAATTTGCTCGGTGAAAATCTTCATAAAGTTTTCGATATGGATCAAAGAGTTGAAAACACATGGGCAATTGACCTCAGCAATTAAAAAGGCACCATTTGGCCATGCCCACAGCAGAGGTAGAAGTTTAGCAGTCCACTTCCTAGTGCCTCCTCAAATCTATATACTTTGGATACCTTAAGTGGGCAAAAAGACAAGAGTTACCGAGCAACTGTGCTTTCGTCGGCTTTATCACCTTTCAGATAATGCGCAGATTAATTCGGAGCTTCAACATTCCCCCCGGGGCAACCCATTTACCAAGCTTTAAAACTAGACCTTATAGACCTTTCCTTCTGAGGAATTCGCCCGCGAATTGAACTCTATACCTTCAAACTTTCCCTATCTTTAAAAATAAAAACTTTTATTCCGGTTGAAATTCCCCATCTCAGCCAAGAAATGTTCAAATTCCCCACCCCTGATTTAAAAATAATTTTGGGCCCGGAACGGGAATTTGAACATACCAATCTTCAAAAGTTTAAATCCACAGGAGGCTTCCTGGATGTTGAAGCTTCCGATTGATCGACGCATAAGTGGGGAAGGTACCTAAATATTTTCCTTTAAATCTGTTTTTAAGATTTTATTCTAACCTATGGTTTCTCCGATACGTGGACGAATAATTTCCTTAGACCCAGCTCCTTAATTAATGACAGTTGTTGTGCTTGCCTTCTTCCTCGAAATATTGCTGCCCTCGGCTCTACTATCAAGAGTTTTCCATTCTTTGATCTCCCTTGCTCCAGTTACAGCTTCATAGTGACGCAGGGAACTTTCTGGTTTAAGTGGCGGCTCCGAGTCATATTGTCGTTCGCCTGACACAGAAAAACATCTACGAAACGGAGGTATCACCTCTTTCGATCTTGACGGCGGTGGTGTTGCTGCCTTTCGTTGTTCCTTTCGCTGATCTGGTTGATATTCGAACTTTTGTCCTTTCTTCCTTGAGTCAAAGTGATGCAGTAGAGCTTGTTCGTGAATTTCTCGATGTTGTCTGTTCCAAGAAAAGATGAAGCTGTTTCTGCCATCGAGACACTCTTCACTGAACTGTGAGGAAACTTTCCTTTTCGCCCAAACTGAAATAACCCCACGTTCCTCTTCGTCGTCGCCCTCGTATTTATTATCTCCCCCGATAACGATAATGACATTTCCACCTGATAATAAAGCAGATTCAAATGTAAAGAGGCGTAACAGTACATAATTTCACACGTGATATGCAATTTCCGATGTCTTTTTTTTTTTGGCCGGTATGTTTGTATCTCCCATGTCAGACAGACTTAATCTAATGCCAGATGTAAAATATAGAACAATGCGCCCCTTTGATTGAGCACCTGGTGTTATCGCCCTACCGATAGTTCTAATTAAAGCATTTCTTTTTGTAGGTTTAGTTTTTTATTTTTTTGTTTTTGTTTTTTTGTTTTTTAATTTTATGTTGCTTACTGTCCTACGTCGTATACACGAGCCTCTGGCTTGGATACACGAGGCAACCTGATCCCAAGCATTAGCATTAATATTAAATTGATTGATACATGTTTAATCCGTATTGCACGAAAGGGACATGATTTATGCTGTTTGATTAACGAAGTGTTTATGCAAAGGCCCGTAAGACGTCTTTGGAGTCACATTTATTTATTATTTCTGTAAATTTTATTTGGGCTTGTGGAAATAAGGCGGCATAGGGTAAAATATGGACGGGACCATTAGGCCTTAGGAAGATTTTTTGGACGATTTTTTCGCCGATTATTTGACCAATTTTTGGACCAATTAATCAGGGGAAGAGGCAGACCATTAGTACTTAGGAAGGGGTTGGACGCAATTTACCGGTACTACTCAGGGAGGGGTGGGAGGTAGACTTGCTATTGAGGGAGGGGTGGAAGACGAACTATTAGTACGCAGGGAGGGGTCGAAGGTGGTTGTATTAGTAAGTGTTACTGATTAATAGTTTTTAATGGATCATTCAAATTATTTTGAGCGGTTTTTCGACTGACTATTTTTTTCCTTTTTTTGCATAACATTTTGATCTGGCTTGCAATTAGCAGACAATTATCAACTTTGACTGTTTCAGAAATTGGAAAGAGATTTCATGCTCTCTCGAGTCATTGTGAAATATAGAAGTCGTTTTGTCATGAAGGCTCGCTGTAATTATGCGAAACAAAACGGAATGAAAAAATGTCATTTGCGAGATTAACTTAAATCGATAATTTGCCAAGGAAATTCGTAATTTGTGAATTGCAAATCCGAAATTTTCGAAAAAGGTAATTCTGTAATTTGCACTTGTGTGAACTTAATGAATCAATGTATCGCCTATGTGAAAGAACAATTATGCCATTTCGCCATAAAAGAGAGTCTCCAATAGGTTTTTCGTGATCCGGGATTGGACTTATTTAAAGGCCGGGATCCGGGAATTTAAAGTAAGAAGGGAACGAGATGCAGGATTCCAATATTGAAGGGGACACAGGAATCGGCGATTTTGAGGAGCTGGATTCGGGAAATAATCACTTAAACGAACCAAGAACCGAGATGTCCGTTGACGAGAATTTATGAAGAAATTGCTCTTCTCAGTCCATGAAAAGCACCAGGTGCACAGACTCTCTAGCATTCAAGAGGCGGTCGGGATGCTCAGCGACACTCTTCAGTTATTGCGCGGGAATGAAAATTAAACCTCCAGCAAGTCTCAGAATTATACCTTCAGACAGGAAACAACGATGGCAAGAGCTGGAACTTCCTCGTCGTACTTCTATTAGAGAGAAATTCAGTCAGTCGAACCGGTCAGCCTCGAACGCTCTGACTTCGAGGAGCAGCAAGAAAATAGCGGGAAACGAGACGAAAAGGAAGATGGAATATTAGAGTATGATTCCCCGACTGATGATGACGACTTTCCATCTTTGAAAGGAGAGGCTGATTTTTACTCGAAAGAAGTATTCGCTTCAACAGCAGAATTGTGTTGAGTTAATTTTTCTTAATCTCCGTTGTTATGGAACCATGGGATTGCCTTAAACTTTTGTGTTTCGTGCACTTGTTGAAATTGTTATTCGCTTCTTTGATACTGACATGTCTGTACCCATATGTTTGTCCGTGATCGAAGTTTAATGAAAGGAAGTCATCACCGTGAATAGCGTACTTTATTCGAGCAAAACTTTGAAAACTTCAAAATTGAACGATGTCATCATTTGATGAAGAGAGATAAACTTACTGACCATAGACTTCTACGGATCAATGCTGGTTGAGAAAATAATCCCCCACCAAAAAGGCCCTCCTAAGTTTAGGAAATGGACTAAGACAGAATTGTTAGATTGGGATCGGGATTGGCCGGTATAAACCGTCGGGATCACGGGATTGAGAGAACATTTTAGTCGGGATCGCGGGATTGAAGAATTCTTTTGGGGACCTTCATAAAATGCAAACGTGTTATTTAAAAAATGATCCAGCGCTGAAGCTGTGCTGTTTTAAACGTCACTTATAAAGTGAAAGGCGTGACATGACACTCAAATTCAAGCGTGACTTGAGTGTATCTAATAGGGGAAAACTATGTATATGAAAAGAGAGAAGATTGCTTTGTACGAAACTACCAACGATTTTTTTATAGCTAAGGTGTAAACGTTAAAATTACGATGCGCTTGTGACCGGAAATTCCGTGATCTTAGCCGTATGATAAGATCAATGACAAAAGGAAGGTGGATAAATTTAATAATGATATGCTGTGTTCACAAAAGAAAACGTGAAGCATCTGGTGGATGATTCATGCTAACCAGTGAGTATCATTAAGAGCTGGCACAAGTCGACTTAAAAGGCACACCCGTGACCTAACAGTAGTGGATCGGAACGGGAATTGGCGATATTTTCAATAACAATTTTAGTGCAGTGTCTAGACATATATATATATATCTCATTGTATACTCTTGTATACTCTCATTGTATTTATCATTGTAAATCATGTTATGTTAACTTATTTTTTATGTAAACAGTGTGAAATAATAAAACTTGAAAACTTGAAACTAGGTGCCAGTTTTGCATTCGCTTGACAAAAAATAAATAAAGGCTTCGAACCAGCGCAAAATTTTGACATGAAAATAGTCAGTCGAAAAACCGTTCAAAATAATTGGAATGATCTATTGAAAACAACATCAATCAGTAACATTTACTGATACAACCACCCCCACCCCTCCCTAAGTTCGTCTTCCACCCCTCCCTGAGTAAGAACAGTTTGCCTTCCACCCCTCCCTAAGTACTTATGGTCTACCTCCCCTCGATAAATTGGTCCAAGAGAAGGGCCAAAAATAGTCCAAAATTAGTCTAGTGGTTCAATGGTCCAGTCAATATTTTACCTTATGCCAAATAAAGCAAAATATCACGTTTCTGACGTGATATGAAACAGCAAATAAAATTTAGCATGTCATCGAAATAACATCATGTTACTTGGTTCATGTATGGTAATTGGAGGTCCGTTTCTTCTCACCAAAAAGATTTCCTAACGTAATTCGAATGATTATTCAAATTAAATTGAATTGCTTTGAAAGCGTTTTGAACCGATTTAAGAGAGTGTCTCTGTAAGAGCGGTCCGGTCGATTTTGCTTGAGACACAGATTTCGCTCGTTTCTCGTGTGTTGTAAGACATTCATGTACCTATACTAAAACCACAATCAGTTTGATCGGATCTCTTTATTTTTCAGAGTTTTACGGAAATTAAATTTCACTCGAGCGAAGGCTTGTCGTGACACTTTTCAAGACTTTAATTTCATACAACTTTGGAGGACAATTTACAAAAAACTGCGGAACTCAGCAAAAAACAAATACCACAGCCATGTATATTAACTCTATCTTATCTATCGAGGTGACTTTCGTAAACATCACGTGTCAATCAAGGAAACAGGGAGACTTGAATGACACCTTATCGGTTCGCCTAAATCACACACGCCAAAACCGATCAAATTCAAGGTAAATTTTTGAAAAAGTGAGGCGTTCTTAACTGATCCAACTAACATAGCTAGGAAGTAGGTGCCATAGAAAAGGTAACTACAGAAAAAAACTTTGCGGCCCGACCTTTACGAGAACTTTATAACTCCGTGAACTTACCTAATTTTCGGCAATCTCCAAGTTTGGCCGCCATTTTGAGGGACTTGTTTACATGAAGCGTAACCGATATAAATCAAGCAGGTAGATCTAAAACCGTCAGAAATACATACGAAAGCAATTCAAATGAACTTTACTTTCAATTCAAGCGGCAAAACTTGAAATTGTTCGTTAAACTTACCATCCCCATGCGACCATTTATCCCAACAATTCAAACACTACAACTAGTGTTCGAATTCCCCTCGTCGATTCCACCGCAAGAAATAACCTGTGCCACTCAAGCTTTGACTCGAATGTGAAGTACGAATCAAGTAGCATAACCGCTTCATCTTCGCGGCAATATCACGCTGGTATTTTGATTTTCCGATCGACAAGAACGGTGATCAGGAATCGATCGGTTTGTTTACCTCATAAACGTGACCGCTGACCAGCCGCTAAGTGAAAACAGTATAGCGCGGGGTGGGGTGGGTGGTGGGCTTATCGTCATAAGATATTCGAACACATGCTCAAAAAGCTCTTGGACTATCAGTCTAAACAGTGAGGGCATGCTTCGTGGTACAGACAACTTTTATTGTATTCTCATAACTTTCTCCTTTAAATTAGAGCTGGTATTAATAGAGTTATCAATATATTTTTAACCGGGTGCCCATATAACCTTTTTGCTTGTCATCAGTGGTATAAAATAAGGTGTCTTTTCCACCAGAACCTTTTATTTATGCCCCATTGCAAGGAATGAACACTATACTTAGAATGTTTGCTCTAAGTAATTTTTTCTGTTCCCAAGAATGTATGCAAAGTGATAGAGATTTGATTCATTCCGCTGACACGTTCTTTTAAGTTATGGCGCGTGCAGGTTTTTTCTATCAAAAGTCGCGCATGCAACACACCGGAATTGAAAATTCGTCGTAAAATCGCACGAACCTTAGATTGAGTGTAGGCGACTTTGACTTCTGGCGAGATTAAGTGGATTGTTCAAAGGACCCCCTGAGATTTTTTCAGGACTATAACTGAGATTTGTTAATAACTATGATGATCGTCATCATTAGCGGACGGTGTTTTTTGCCCATTGTTGTCATCATTATCGTTATCACGCCGGAAGAAGTATAAAGCCGGCATGTCGCCTTACCTAGCTACACAGAAAGTTGTTCTCTCTTTTGCTCCCCTTGGATCCTGGAAACTGTTGCTATTAAGACGATCAACAAGAAAGCCTTTATAATTAGTGAAACTTTTGATTAACAGAATGTAAGTAAAAAATCGGTGGGGAGAGTTTTTCGGGTATCTTATAATCTGAACGATAGTTTTAAATAAAACAAATAACACTTAATTCAATTTACCTTAGTTGTCTCGTGTTTAATAGTGGCGTTTCTGGGGACCGTAGATTCTTCTCTGATTCTTCTTGTCTCAGCCAAGACTCACTATCATCAACTTTTTTCTTGTGCTTCTTATGGCATGGGACACAGAGAGCTGAGGTAAGCGATTGCAAATTTCTCAGTTAAAGTAAAGCCCACTAGCATCCATCAGGAATTAAAAACCGACATGCACGGTTTACTTTTATTATTCTCAATCAAATAAGGGGTCTTTTAGTCTGCAAATTTAATCATACTGGTTAATGAGAATCATACAAACTGAGGAAAACTGACCGCAAATAATTGTGAACCGTACGCATGAGTAGGTATATTGCGTTGTCAGGTGATTTGATCTTCCACAAAAACATTATTGATTATCAACCGAGCAACATTGTACATATTTCCATCTGTAATTAAAAGCACTTACACATTAATCTATTTTTTTTCAACGTGATGTGTACTTAAGTACCCTTTATCTAATAAAGAATTTCTTCTCTTTTCGAGCAGATATGTCACGTGACAAAAATAGATAACAGAAAATGTTACTGAAGACTACCTGATTCCACTGGAATAATAACTCCAAACAGCTTTTGAATGTCCTGAGACATATGCAAGGTAATTACATCTCTGCCTTGGATACGCTTCCTGATACCATCATGATCAGGATACTGACATGTTACCTTTGCACTTCTCCAAAACTTCCCCAGAGTGTGGCGATGCCTATGGCAAATCCACATTTTTTTGTTTATCCTCCTGAGCGAGGTGAAATAGGCCAATCTTTGCCAAGATTAGCTCATTTTCACTTAAAAACCTCTTTAGACAGGTGGCAGCTTATCAAATGATGTTTTACTTCGTCATTGCATTCAGACAGTCGTACCAAACCACTTAAGCCACACGATGAACCAAAGTTTTTTCCATCTTTGCTATTCAAAAAGGAGTCCTGAGACATAATGAACGTCTCGCTAATGAACGACTTCTTCCTGTACTTGTAATTGTTTCCAACGCGATACAAGTTCGGGAGATCTAAAGGAACTCACTATAACTTTGTATATTCGATACGATTTCAATTTCCGCGTCAAAGGAGAAGCCTATTGTAATTCGTGAGTGGTCAGTGGTTACGCTCGTGAGGTAAAGAATGGGTTTGTGACTTTCTCACTCAATTGAAAGACTCGCGTCACTCTTATGAAATGGTTGAACGGAATACAGACTTCGAGCAGTCTCTTACTTTTCTTAAAGATAGTGAGGCCACGCGTATCCTGTGAGCATGGAGAAGCCGCTCCACGCGAGACTCGTATCTCGCGTCTTTGCCGCTCCACGCTCTCAGAGTTGGGCAAAGACAAGACACGTTATTTCCGGTGCGATATAATAGGTTCAATGGTTATCTCGATTATCTAAACACATTTATTTACGTGGTAAAGATTTGTTTTTAAATCTATGAACTGATGCTAGTCCTATTTGGAACGAAATGTATTTGAAATAAAAAAGAATACTAAGTAAAATAAAAGTTGTCTGCAACACGAAGCATGCCTTCGCATTAAGACTGAGAATCCTAATGTTTATCATGATACTTTAATGCATATGTTCAAATGTTCCCAAAAATATTTTGATAATCTGCCCGCACCCACCCCTCACCCCGCCCCTCGCCGCTGAACTGTACTGTTTTCACTCAGCAGCTGGTCAGCGGTCACGTTTATGAGGTAAACAAACCGATCGATTCTTGATCACCGTTCTTGTCGATCGGAAAATCAAAATACCAGCGTGATATTGCCGCGAAGATGAAGCAGCTATGTTATTTGATTCGTACTTCACATTCGAGTCGAAGCTTGAGTGGCATAGGTTATTTCTTGCGGTGGAATCGACGAGGGGAATTCAGAAAGTTGTAGTGTTTGAATTGTTGGGATAAACGGTCGCATGGGGATGGTAAGTTTAACGAACAATTTCAAGTTTTGCCGCTTGAATTGAAAGTAAAGTTCATTTGAATTGCTTTCGTATGTATTTCTGACAGTTTTAGATCTACCTGCTTGATTTATATCGGTTACGCTTCATGTAAACAAGTCCCTCAAAATGGCGGCCAAACTTGGAGATTGCCGAAAATTAGGTAAGTTCACGGAGTTATAAAGTTCTCGTAAAGGTCGGGCCGCAAAGTTTTTTTCTGTAGTTACCTTTTCTATGGCACCTACTTCCTAGCTATGTTAGTTGGATCAGTTAAGAACGCCTCACTTTTTCAAAAATTTACCTTGAATTTGATCGGTTTTGGCGTGTGTGATTTAGGCGAACCAATAAGGTGTCATTCAAGTCTCCCTGTTTCCTTGATTGACACGTGATGTTTACGAAAGTCACCTCGATAGATAAGATAGAGTTAATATACATGGCTGTGGTATTTGTTTTTGGCTGAGTTCCGTAGTTTTTTGTAAATTGTCCTCCAAAGTTGTATGAAATTAAAGTCTTGAAAAGTGTCACGACAAGCCTTCGCTCGAGTGAAATTTAATTTCCGTAAAACTCTGAAAAATAAAGAAATCCGATCAAACTGATTGTGGTTTTAGTATAGGTACATGAATGTCTTACAACACACGAGAAACGAGCGAAATCTGTGTCTCAAGAAAAATCGACCGGACCGCTCTTACAGAGACACTCTCTTAAGTGCTATATATAACTGCTGACAGCTGACAAATGCGCACCTTTTCAATTCGGTTTCAATGGCAAAGTGTTAAATCATCACGTACAAATTTCCGTAGAAATATCCCTTGACCACTCAAAACCAGTATCCGAGGAGAAGTACCTCTGATATGTTTAGCATTCATCATTGTGAGTAATTAAATCAATGTTCCCTTAGCCGTTACTTATTGAAGCAAAATGGCTTTTAAATATAAATTTGCTTTCACTTTTACTCATTTAATCCTGACAGTCCCTGACGGTTTCACTTGCAATTGCATGTAGTTGATATAGTTTACTTGCACCCAACCTGAATGAGTGGCAAATAAATTACAGTATTCCTGCACTCTAGAAGTTTTTCAATACCTTTCGGTGCAAATACTTATAACTTTCAAAATTCATTGACAAGCAATGAGTCACGGAATCTTATATCTTTGTGGTCTGAATGACGCATTGCATGAATCTAAAGGTCAACATTAAACCATATATTCCGGCCAACACATAATAACAAAGTCAAGTGTGACTTTTCTTTTCCCTTTTACCTAACGATAAAGCCACGCGCATTTTTTAAACCTCTATTAACGGTTGAAATTGTCGCAAGATTCATGGAAACACTTCCTCTTGTCTTGTCTTATCGGATAACGATGATAACATTTCCGCCTGTAAAAACATGAAACGGTTTATTTGCAATGCAAAACCAGTTACACTTGCCACCGTGACGGAATTTGTGCACGCTCTTCCATGGAAAGCAATAGGCGGCCGTCAGTTAAAAGTCGATTATCTACTTTAATTATTTTTAGAGGGCACGGTAACGAATCCTGCAATCTGATTGGTTCTTTACCCGGTCAGTATTTCCTATCTCGGCCCACGGGCCACGGTGACGCTTTCGTGAATCGCCGAGTACATCCCAACTTTCGTTGCCATTTTTCATAAATATATCTCGTTTTTCCGGCTGGGCAGTATCTTTTAGGAAACACGTCGGTCACTACCTCAAGCCGATAAATAACTTATGAATCCTCTGTTTTCTCTCTCTCAAATCACTTTGGTTGACAGAAAAATATTGCTGTCAGAATGAATTTGTTTAAGCAATGGTTGGTCCGTCGGATGAAAACCAAATTACTTGCGTGGCTCTAAAGAATCCCGAATCGTATAAATAGAATTTTATTCGATCTGAAACAATAAATAAATAAGATTTCTAAACAACAGAACCTAACCAAAATAAGAGACCTAAGCACAACATATAATCTTCAAAACACGAACAGATTTAACCGCTAATTACATGCGGTCTTACAGAAATTACACTAACAGAAATCAACGCGAATAATTGAATGTAACAAAGCCTAAGGAAACCAAAAACGACTTAAAACAACTGACTTACTTCGTGACGGGATTCCAGAGTTAAACTAAACTGTATAATCATCAAAAACGGGAAAGCTATCCTGATTCATGCCTCCGACACGACACGTGTAAAACCTAACTAAAAACCATCAACTTACTCATATTTCAGTGTCAATCAAGGTGATCAATAAGTGAAAAGAAAAGGTGAAATATTAAACTAAATAAACTTTTAAACGTAACGCAAATGTCACGCGAGCAATGTTCTTCTCGAAACAATGGTGTCACTACGTTGGTTGACAAGCGGCCTAAAAACCGTATGCAATTAATTTCAATCGTTCACAAAAAGTACCTAGAAAGTTAAATGTGAGGTATTTGGTTACAGTTAAACTGATCGATGGTACTTTCATTCATTTAATATCTGAATTTTCTCAAACGATTTGTTCGTAGTGAAAGAGCGAGCGAAGTTTTAAATTCAGTTCTACGACAAATATACGCTCTCGGTGAGTCTTTCTGAGTCCGTTCAATTCGGACTCGTACCGTAAATTGCACAACAGAAACTGAAGGAGTTTATTGAGAAAAGGCCCTAATAAATCCTTGTGTCTCGTTGGAGTGTGTTGTTCAATTTTAGTTTTTGTGGAGGAAAGACCAGATTTACATACGCCATTGCAGCAAACAAACGAGCAAACTCTCACAACCTCAAAATATAAAAATTGAATTTACTCACAATTACTTTCCTCGCCGTTTACTAAATGAACAGAGGTAAATCTTCGTACATGAATGACTCGTCGATGAGAGTCAATTATACTTTCCGTTAGATCATTGACTGTTTTTGAAGAAAACATTGTCGTGGCAGTCCTTGCCAAACTAGCTCTGTTGTTTTTCAAATCTTCTTGCGCTTTTTTTTCCCTTGCGCGCTCTCTAATTGACGGGTGTCAGATTGTGACAGATACTTGAAAAAATAATGTTTAAAAGTTTGTTAAGAAGCCTTTTAAATCACCTTTATCGTTACGCAAATGAATATGTTTCGGTGAGGCATCTCTCTTGAATTTGCATCACCTCTATTTTAACTACCATTTACTCGCTCAAAAATTGTTCAGTTTATGGAAGATCTTGCCGTACAGCCCTAAATCATTCGGGCTCTTTCGGAAAGAATTTTATCAAGTTTAAAAAAAATAAAGATGTTATTTACCGGCTAAGGGTCGGTCCGTATAGTAAAAAACTGTGACCTCGGTCTTGAATATTTTCAAGACCTCAGTCACCGTTTTTCACCATACGGACCTCCCAGCCGGCAAATAACATATATGTATTATTTCAAATATCTTTACAAATTTCGTCAACCATTAAATTTTGGTCGTGGCCTGGCAACATCCCACTCGTAAAAACATATTAAACAGAACGTTATGTTTAACATCTTTTTATTACATTACCGCCGACAAAAGTCCATAGAACCTCGAAGCCGAATAAACATTCTAGGCTTGTAGGTTTTTTTTTTTTTTTTCAGCGAGGATTCTGGGTGCACATTAATTACTGACCATGACTGTTCTTCCGCCGGTGATATACCTTGATTGGTAGTCGATAGATGACGTTAGCTGACCAATGATCAACTTGAACGAGAAGCCAGGTATCTCGAAATTAAACTAAGAAATTTCACGATTATAATCAGTAGTCCCAGTATTAATTATGATATTGGAACGTATGTTCGGAAGCTGTGTCACCGTTTCCTTCAGCGCAGACAAGGTATTTTATCAGGGTTGAACTTCTCCCTAAAAATTTACGTCAAACGCTGGTATATAAGATTCGAGTAAGCGGAAAAATACTGTGCGCGGCCGCCCAAAAAAATTGGCGTAGTTTCCACTTTTTCCATCCGTAAGACGAGCGACAGTTATTTTCACTTTCAGTCTTTTGCCTGATGGAGCTTAGTTGGTAGATAATGTCCAAAATTTTGCATTAAATTTCCAGCAAATTTTAGGGGGAAATCTACAGAGTGAAAGTGCTTTTCTTACCCGTTGCTTGTAGTAGAGCTCTGTATATCTTGGTGTAACCGATTCCACAGTTGTCCTCGTTGATTGACGGCCAAGATTCGTGTGCATGGACAACAAAAACAGCCATATCCATCGCCAGAGTTGAAATTTGGTCAATTACTTCAGACATTTTAGTAAGTTTAAATGAGTGCTTCACCACACACATATGGTGGCCATCGATATCTGCGACTTTATTCAGTAAGTTCTCGACAGGCTCCAACTTGTATTTGTTATCACAGTTGAAAAGATGGACTCGGTTTATTGACTGCGAGATCCCTTCGCTGAACTGTGAGGGAACATTCCCCATCTCCCAGCGTGAAATAAAGTCTTGATCCTCTTCGCCATCCTCCTTGGAATTGTCATCACCGCCGATAACATTGATAACATTTCCCCCTGTGGAAACATGGAACGGTATATTTCTTAGAATGATGACAAATGATCTGAAACCTTAACAATCAAACACAGCCAGCAGTACTTACCGTGACGGAATGTATTTAGAATTTACGCCCGCTCTTTCAATGAATGACAAAAGTGGAGTGTATGTATATATATCTTATTTCGAATTTCTTTACAAATGGCTCGATAGTTTTCAAAAAATGGAGAATCTGATCTGAACTGTACGCACAGCTTTTTGAACCTTTGAAGAAAAATTTTTTTTTTACATCGTTGTTACGATAACCCTAATTTTTGCTACGTAGGAAAATTAACAAACTTAATAAGAAATATTTGAGCATTTCTCTCATATCAATTTAAAGGAACACAATAGAAAAGTGTGGAGGCTTGGAACCATCAAAGAATTGGTGTGTTTTAAAATACTGAAAGCATTAGGAGTCGTCTTAAGAGCAAAAAACGCTGCTCATGGCAATGAAGTTGTTTCGAGAAAGATTGTCGGAAAAAGAACAAAAGTGCACGGGACGATATCGAAAGATTATCTGAGTATCTGGTAATCAATGAATTTTAATAAATTACTACATTAATCAAACCCGCTTTGCCTTGTCTTCCTTGTCAGGAAGGAGCCAATGGGATCAATCGTTAGCCGTAAAACAACAAAACAAATTGACATATTTGTGCCATTAGTCGTGAAAAATTTACCGTAAATTATATCTATTAACCATACAGGAAAGAAATGTGACGCTTCCTCAGTTTCCCCTGAAAAGGAACCATAACCTGAAAACTACCCAGGATACATTTCGGGGTTGTTGCACCTACTTTTATGCTTTTTTTCCGACAATCTTTCTCGAAACAGCTGAGTGCGCTAAGTCACTGGATTCAATACTTCGGTTCAGGAAAATTACCTTCGTCGACTCCCACAAAGTGTTCTGGTCTATTTTCTTGGAGTTTCTGGCACTGTTCAGATTTTGATGAAGCGACTGATTGTTTTCCATCTATCTCTGATATCACAACAGAGGCCTCATTCAAACTCTGAGGGGGAGCAGCAGTAACTGACGATTTCATCTTGCTTCCTGAAGCTGCAAATGTTATATAATGTATTTCAAATGAGAATGGTGTTCAGCTTTCGTTATCTCACAAGCGTGGGAAAAATTAAGATATCAGGGTTCCCATGTGGAATTGAACAACAGACCATCGGATCTAATTATCTGGGTAAATGTAAAGCCTCCTTTCTAATATTGTTCATTCAAAACGAAATAAAATGCTAAGACCAGAGTAGTAATGCTTTATTTTAGTAATAATTTTAGAGTTAATTACTGATACGAATGTAATTCTCTAACCTTTTGGTATTTCAAGACTTGGGAAAAGATTTTTTTCAGGCGTGGTTCCTTGACTACAAGAATATGATGACTTTCTTCCACTGGTCGTTTCAAAATCATGAGCAGTGAAACCTTCTCGTCTCTCCTCACGTTTGTCCTCGAGCCTTTGTTCAGTAAAAAGCTGGTCTTCAGGTAAAGGACCTCTTGCACTCGATGATAGTCCAGACTCGTCTTCCATTTGTGCATTTTTCACTTCAGGGTGCGTTTTGGTACTTTGTTCATCTGAACGGTACACAGTAGAGACCTCATTCAAACTTTGTGAGGGAGCAGCAGTAACTGACGATTTCATCTTGCTTCCTGAAGCTGCAAATGTTATATAATGTATTTCAAATGAGAAAAGTGTTCACAAGCGTGGGAAAAATAAAGATATCAGAGTTCTCATGTGGAATTGAACAACAGACCATCGGATCTAATTATCTGGGTAAATGTAAAGCCTCCTTTCCAATATTGTTCATTCAAAACGGAATAAAATGCTAAGACCAGAGTAGTAATGCTTTATGTTAGTAATATTTTTAGAGTTTATTACTGATACGAATGTAATTCTCTAACCTTTGGGTCTTTCAAGACTTGGGGAAAGATTTTTTTCAGGCGTGGTTCATTGACTACAAAAATATGATGACTTTCTTCCACTGGTCGTTTCAAAATCACGAGCAGTGAAACCTTCTCGTCTCTCCTCACGTTTGTCCTCGAGCCTTTGTTCAGTCAAACGCTGGTCTTCAGGTAAAGGACCTCTTGCACTCGATGACAGTCCAGACTGGTCTTCCAGTTGTGCATTTTTCACTTCAGGGTGCGTTTTGGTACTTTGTTCATCTGAACGGTACACAGTAGAGGCCTCATTCAAACTTTGTAAGGGAGCAGCAGTAACTGACGATTCCATCTTGCTTCCTGAAGTTGCAAGTGTTAGGTAATGTATTTCAAATGAGAAAGATGTTCAGTTTTCGTCTATTCACAAGCGTGGGATAAACAGAGAAATCAGAGTTCTCATGAGGAATTGTATAACAGATCATCGGATTTCGTGTTTCGACGCTCCATTCCGAGTCATTGAGACTAAGCCACAAGGTCGATAACAGCATTATGCTGAACACTCCTCAGATATTACGTTATAATAACTTAGCTCACCCTAGAGTACCAGTGGCTCAGTGTAAGAGATTCAGAGCGCGAAATTCCTTGGTATGAGGTCGATTCCTCATGGCAACTCAGAATTATTCTTTGTGCCACGCTCTTTACATGATTAAAAAAAAAAACCATCTCTCTATATTTCTATATTACTACGCTCAAAATTCACCGCTGACCTTTGATATGAAATTAACTTACTACTTTAATGTTATCAAGTTAAAAAAATAATATAGAGAAAAACATTTACCATGGTCAGTTCACTCAAATAGCTAAGCTGAAAAGAACACAAAAATGTAAAAAAAAACCTAGCAGTGATAATAGAAATGAATCATCAGAACGGTGAAGTAAGGAAAAGTGTTTTCACGCAGCAGAACGAAAACCTTTTGAAACAAAATGGGACACAGGTAAGTTGGCTTACTTTTGCAGCCAAACCTAAAATCACTATTACCGTGACAAGAACGATTCACAGGAGATATACTGAAAAGTGCTTACCATTAGCGAGGCTGACCATCTTTTCCACAAGATCCCTGCATTGAGTATCCCAGATGTACTTCTTGCCATAGCTTTCCCGTAGAGTTTGACATCCCGCAATTGCTGCTTCGCGACCCTTTTCTCGGACACCTTTAATAGCTTCAGCCCACTCATCTGATTTCTCAGAATCCACAACCCAGGGGGTACTCTGAGGAAGAGCATCTTGCAGAGCCTCTCCAAATCCGCTAGCTTGGGTTACAAGAAAAGGCAGACCAGCAGATAACGCTTCCAAAGCGGTTAAACCAAATCCTTCTGATCTTGAGGGTATGACAGCAAGATCTGCTGTAGATAACAGGGTTGCAAGATCTCCCCGATTTTCAAGAAATGACTTCACAATCAACTGCTTTTTGCTCAAGCCGTACTCAAGCAGTTGCTCTGCCACTTGTTCCTCATTTCCACTTGGTGCACCCACAAAGACGAGCTTATAACTTGTGTCATTCAGTTGAGCGACTGCTTTGGCCGCTATATCGAAACCCTTGAGTTTAAAATCTTCTGAGTCGCCTCGTCCAAACAACAGAACATTGAACCTCTTACCTTTGACTGTGGAAAGCTTTAACGAGGATAATTCAGAAAAGATACCTGGCGTAAGATTGAATACATGTTTTCCGGAGGAGCTAAGGTAACGCGAGTAAAACTCCCAAAGCCTTGGTCCAACGGCCACCACTAGATCGGCAATCTGGCACAGTTTGATTTCATTCCACTGTTTTTTGTCGCCCTTAGATATGGCATTGTCACAATCTGAGTACGTTTTCAACATGGAAAGTTCCTCAGGGGCAGTATGTACAACTTGAACCCACTTACACCGATGGCTTTCCCTTATTATTTGAGCTTGTTTACCAAGTTTTACACCATGGCCAATGATTATGTCTATGGAGAGATCATCTGGTGGAAAACGTAACCAATCAAGCGGATCGAATGCATGCCGCTCCCGTGCTTTAACGATACGCACGTTACAACCACTACTTGCATTTTTGTCGTCTTCAGTGCATTTCGGGACAAAGAAAGTTACAGACACATTGGGATGTTTAGCCAACTGTATCGCCAATTCTCGATTTATGGTCGACAGGCCACCTTTGGAAGACTTCCATTCGTCCGCGAGGAGAGTAACTTGTAATTTGCTATTGGACATGTTCCTCGAAACGCAATTCAGCATACACTGTAATGTTTCAGTGGGGGTGATGGCATTCACGGCTAATGAATAAATTTTGGCCAATTAACGGCTAACAGTTAATATCTTTTCGTTGTGGTTACAAGAATTTTTTTAACGATTAACTTTTTACAACTAACTATTAAAATTTATCAATTTTTACGCCTAACGGCTAAATTTTTGGCCGTTTTACGGCTAACGGTTAACCCCATTGAGACCCTCTTATTCCGTTTTACTTTTCTGCATTGAATTGAAAATTGCTTCATACACCATTAAAGAGAATATTTACTTGTGGATCTTGAGGGTATTGAGGTGAGAAAAATGCCTGCTAGCTATGTATGTCATAGGAATTTATCCCTTTTACGATTATCACACAAATGAGTGTTCATTCAGAAAAAGGGAAAATACTAAGAATTATGATTAAGAAAAAGAAAACGTAAAATAACATTGTTTAACTCCCGTTTAGTTTTCCGAACATCATCTCTTATCCCGTCACGCTAAGAATGTACTTGTCACGCAAGGAAATTTTTCAGGCATCCCTTCAAAATAATTGCATCTTGACTTCGTTCGTTCAGGACCTGGGGGAGTGTGCAAGATTACTTTAACTTTGCCTGGCTTGAGTGCCGTTGTGCAGCTAGCCCAAGCAGAAATGTTCTTTTAAGTATGCCAGGAAACTATGCATGAATAATTAAGTATGACAACATAAAATACTAAGTCTTACAACAATGGAATACTTTTCGCATCGCCTGAGGTTACTCTCGAAGCGATGCGATTTCGTAAGCACTCCTCAAGCCAATTCTCTCCAAAGATCTTTCAATCACGGGTTGATCAAACCATAGTTCCTGCTGTTAGCTATGATCAAATAACTATGGAAGAAATTAACTGCTCACAAACTCAAGATTAAAATCCACCTTCGCACGCGTGCTGAGCACATTGGGTGAGGCGAGTGGATTGGCTTCCTTAGAGAGGAACTACGATCTGAAATAAAGCTTCGTACCTAGTGGTATTTGTAGACTACATTTAGAATTTCCCCTACTGAGTAACGACATAACCCGCTTCTCCCGAACTTAATTTGCCGGATTTCAATATTTGTTGATGAATCCTACGCGTAGTTCCGTTTACTTTGGCTACACAGAACTAAGAAAAAAAAAGGAAGCCGATAGCCAGCGATTCCTTTACAAACAAATAACAAGTGTTTTCAAGTCTACAACTTGTGAAAATATGAACATATATTTACATTATTGCGGTTACACGTATGACGCACTTACCCTGCCAGTGCTTCTTGACTCCTCTCGAGCGGAAGCAGCATTCAATCGACAAAATAGATTTGCCATCGTCCGAGGGACCAACAGATCATGAAGTAAAACATGAAAGAACTAGACTGTGCACGAGGAGACTTAATGGAATCGAAATAGTGGCTCAATTTCAACAAGTAGAATCAATTATGCGATCCAAAAGCTCTCGCCTCTCGCGAATGACGAAACCAAATTGAGTTTTCGCATCATTGAACAATCCTGTTGTTGAAGTAAAGGATGTTGGGATACCAAGATTGTCACGCTACAAAACAAAACAATTGTAATGTCTAGGGAAACTTATGTGTGGTTCCAAAACATATGATATAGACTAAGTGCTCTTTCTCACTATTCCCATACGGCAGTGATTAACTTATTTCAAAGGATATATCGTGCACAGAGAGCAAGAAGCCAAACTATTTCCGGGAGATTTTGATAATCATAATCGATCCCGCACGATAGGTATTACGTATGTCAGAGCTTAGTGCGTGAAGTCTTTAAGTAAATTATGTTGGCGAAAATAAAATTTACGCTAGTATTCAGGGTTTATCATAGAAATAAGATGTAACTTGGTAAAACTGGAGCGCGCTTAGTGCATTTCTAGCCTTCTGATTGGCTGAAAGGAGCCAGGTTAAGATTTTATAACCTAGCTCCGACAAATACGATCAACGATTTTATCAGCTAAGTTATTTATCACCTCATATTCGGCGCGCCCTCGTAGAGTAATTGTTATTATAATAAAGTTCGGATATCACGCGCACTGTCATTGTTTGAGAGAGCGTACCGTATGAGAGTAAAAAGCATAAAGCTGAGTTACAGCTCTCACGTCATCTGCCAAATTGTACTATGTCCGACCTTTTCCGGGACTTCTCTCTGGCCTTTTTCGATAATTGAAAATGAAATTTCGGAACAAGCGAGCCGGCAGGTAGCGACAGGAGAACCAAACCAAGGTTTGTAAATATGCCAGGCGCCATAATTTGCGCTATTAAAACGTGAACAGAGACGAAAATCCTCAAAGAGGAAACAAAATGGACAGTCCAAGTCTTAAAGGTTTTCACGCTCAGTTAGATTGCAAACTTACGTACGGTAATATCAATAATATCAAGAGAATTCAATATGGCGGCGATCACGGCTCGATCTGCAAAGAAGAGTGTTTCGTACCATGACTTATACAATTTGAGCACCGCAGATCTTCTATTTGATGAAAAGAAAAATAAAAGAAGACCTGCAAGTAAATGTTTGGGATTTTCGAGGCAGAGCGATGACATGATGTCAGAATTTTGATTTGCTTTAATTTAATTTTCGCGCTAAGACTACTGAATTTGCATTCAATGCCTGGCATATTTTTATTCCGAAAAGGACCTGAGAACTAATTTATTTCCCTGCAAGAACATAAACAAATATGGCCGACGATTCGAAGATCAGCTTTGCTCGTGTTTAACTATTTCAGTCATAGTTTTCAACATGGCGTCTCGTCACTTACTCAACATGGAAAATAAGGGATATTCTGGCGCGATGGGAACATTTTTGATGGGAGGAAATGACAATTTTTACAGGATATTTGGACGCTTCGAACTCTGTAGCAGTCAATTCGATCGAGAGCAGTTGACTTTATTGATGCACTTTCCTGTAATAGGCGAGTGTTTGGGATGGAGTACGACGGATTTTGAAGAACTGTATGGCGACCTAGGTCAATGATCAATGACAAAAGAACTGGCTCGGGAAGTAAGTGGTTTTTATTTATCGAGTCCCTGTGAGGTTTGATGAATAGCAGAATCAGTACTGAATATGTCTCGATCGAGAGCAGACGGGACCATGAGCTCCTGATTGTTATATTTTAGAAATTTTTACAAATTTCCATACAGTTTCTTATATTATTTGGACGCCATTATGGACGTAATGCGCAAGCGCGGCCGCCATCTTGTCCAATATTTCTGCCGATGAGCTTATCATGGCGATATCCGGTCATCGCAGTCATCAGGGTATTTCCTATGAGTACTCCTTAATATTTATATCGTACTCATTTTGTTGCTACAGTTGTTGTTGTTCGTATTTTGGTTGCCGTTGTTTTTTCGGTTCGGTGCTGTTTCTTTTAATAAACTAAACAAAGCGTCCGTGACATCATTTTTAACAAAATATTCCCCTTCTTCTATGGTTTTTCCTGAACCTGGTAAGGATGGGTTTTTCCTCTCGCAATCCATCATTTTGACTGAAAACAATTTTATTAATTTTGGAAGTGACCCTTCTCTGCCCTCTCTCAATCGCAAATTATGCGTTAAGCTCAGAAAATATCATAATTAACGCAGGTGGCTACAAATTATTGCATTAATAAGCTTCTTTATATTTGCGCATTTCTTTGCCTTGTGTCTAATCGAACTCAAGATGTATGCATTCAAGTTACCCTGCTTCATACCGGAGTGGAAAAAACGAAAACGTAGAGGATATGATTCGAATTTCATAATTGCCTCACTTTTCGTTCAGAAGGACAATTTTATTGACGCAGTTGATTTAAATATAGAGCCATCAGGATTAAACCACAGAAATAAAGGCGAAGTTTTAAGCAAAATTCTGTAGGCATTCATCTACAGCTTCTCGTCACTGAAAGTCACAGGGATGGTCATCATGTTTACAAAGCTTTCTAGGCTACTTTGGTCTCGTCTTTTTCGAATTTTGAGATGAGTTCTTGTTATCTTATAGGATCAGGGAAATGGGGTATAGTATTTCAAAATTAGATAGGAAAAGGGAAAAATAACGAAAGGAAGGAAGTAATCCACAACCAACTTCAAACCAAAGGTAGGACTCAGAAGCTGAAATAAATTAATATATAGATTTAGCCAAGCCTAAAAGCAAAGCTCGCATTTTTTTTTGCCCCTGGCCAGGGCAAAGCGTTGTGCGTTCCTCGATAGTTGTGCGTTCGTCGATAGTTATCGGCACTTCAGTTTTTTCAAACGCAGTAATACCGTCACGAAGACTCTGAGCAATAAATTCCTCTTTGAAAATTAAGCAGGGTTTTGAGGAAAATAAATTATTATTGTAATAACAATGTAACAGTTTTTCAGTTCCTTCAACATTTTCATGCAGAGTCCTAGCACACTCACAGTTATGACATATACCTGGAAACCTGCTGTTCTTCTTTACAATATCATACAAAATTATTTTTATTACGGTTAAAAAAGTCTCTCTATGATTCCTGAGTGTTAAGTCATTCGTAAAAGTTGAGTCGATGTATTTTGGCGAAATCTGAACGTTCTATTCACAAGTTAGAGGCCCATAAACTTACTTACTCTCAACTAACACCGGTAGGCATAAATCAACTTTGATATCTTTCCTTCCCCAGTTGGGTAGACAACAGGCAAATTTAATTTCTTGAACTCAATTACACTGTTAATGTCAGACAGAAAATTGTGGATGTCAGAAAAGGTCTAGGGATGTTGTATTGTCTAAAAAGAAAGTATTTATACAAGACGTACCAATAGCAAGAGCATAAATTTGTGCTGTTACTTTTGCTTCCATCGTACGATACTTACTGTAATAAAATTGGAATAAACAATCACGACGAAAATTTTGGTATTCATTCTTTCAGATGTCATGAGTAAAAGAAACACCCGCTGAAGATTTTTTTTAACGTTTATTAGTTTACTTTGTGACAAATTATTCTTGAAAAATTAATTCCAGGCTTAAAACTGCCATCTAAAATGAGTAATTAACACATACTAAATACTGTTTGGCAAGGCACTTTGTACTCACTTAGAATTACTTTATTAAGATTTTTATAACTATTGGTTACTAACAAACTCATTAAAACAATTAAAGTGGAAACATTTCAATTTATTCCCACGGATGGTCCACATTTAAACCAAGAAGGTGAGTGCTAGTTTTACAACAGAATGTTAACTCACCTAAACCACAACTGTGAAACTAGATTAAGATTTAAAATGTTCATAAACTTTCATATGCATAATAAATAATACACTATTCAAATAATATATTCTGCAATCATATGACAAAAAAATAATTGAGATGGTCAATTTAGACAAAATATTCTTCATAACACACCTGTTCCTTGATTTTTAAATAAAATACCTTTTTTTTAAATTCACAATTCCATAAGTGTACTGTTTATATTACAGATGGTGAAGATCTACCCATAGGACCACCTCTTTCAAGTGGAGATTTGGGTAAGTGTTGAATGGAAAATTATATATTCCCTTTCTTCCATAATGCTATTATTCCTCAAAATGTCATGCATCTGCATGCAATTTACAGTTTATCTTCTCTTTAAGAAGTTGGAAAAGGGACATCACAGCCTCTTTGAAAAACAAATCCACTATAAAACTCTGTGCAATGAAGTTGTGTTAGGTTAGCTCACTGTTTCCTTAATAATAGTAAAATACCTTTTTTTTTTAAATTAAGAATTACATAAGTTTACTGTTTATATAACAGATGATGAAGATCTACCTGACAGACCACCCCCTGCAGGCAGTGATTTGGGTAATTTGGGTGAGTGTCAACTGTAAGGTAACATTTTCTTTTCTTCTATAATGATTCCACAAAATGTCATGTACCTGTAAACAGTGAATAAACTTTCCCCTCTGTAGGAAGTTGGAAAAGTGACACAATAGCCTCCTTAAAATACAACTTTCCTGGTAAAGTCTAAGCTTTATGAAATGATGTTTGGTTAGCAAACTGTCTTTCCCTTGGCCATTTCCAATGAAGTAGATGTTCTTAATATTTGCTTTATTATCACTTGGTTCAGTATTGTAACTTCAAAGAAACCTATTCTAATACTATAGCAGAACTTGTAGAGTATTTTTAATAAACTTGTTCAAAACAAGTATTCTTTTTTCATAAAATAGATGTGGACATTAGCAAAATGGGAAAAAGGGTGAAAGAAAAGGGTGGAAGAGAAGGAATAATAAAATAAAGTACATAGTAACCTAACAACAACCAATATTACAATAAACTAGGCTAACATTTGTTTTGAATGTCATTTTCCACAGTATTAAAAAAATCTTATCGTGTTCATGCAAAATAAATTAAATTTTAGAAATAACAAAAAGAGATTATTCTACGGAAACTGTGCACAAATGAGTTTTATTGCTTCAAAAAAAAATAAATGTGTGAGCACAATAAACTAGTGACTTTTTTTTATCAACACAACATGTGGATAAAAGTTGTCCAAACACTCTCCACTGTATGATGATTGGAAGTTGAGGACTGTGAAAATATATTGTTTGTTCAGTTAGAGCAACAAATAATAGTACTTAACAGAGTAAATCCCTATCTGTATTAAAATAAGATCCATTTCTTAACAACTCTCAAACAGAAGATAAAGATAATTTCTCAAAGATTTAGAGGTGAGAAGGAAAAAAGGTGATACTACATGATTATTTTTTATTTTTTATAAAGAAATTAAAATTAAATATAAACCAAATAAAAAAACCCCTTGAACATCCATCATCATGGTTTCTAATACATACACATATACACATATGCAATAACTATTTTTTCCAGTTACATAAAAACTGCAGTATGCAGGCATTGTAGGAAAGATAAAAATCTATCATTATAATGCAAATAGGGATTTTAGTGTAATAGGGTTATTTAATTAGATCTTGTGAGTATAGTTGTCAATTGGGAAACGTCCCTGTACAAGAGTGTTGCCTTATTACAACTTCTAGTTTATTTCTTCCCTTTTTTTTTCTTCTCATAGAAATAAAAAGTGTTTCAATTGTGGAGGGAGAGGACAATTCTACAAGGAATGTGCCTCTCCTTATGGAAGAGGAAGAGGATGAGGAAGAGGAAGAGGAAGAAACAGAAGAGGCAAGAGAGTAGGAAGAGGGGGGCATCGTAACAGTGGCTAGGAGGGTGTACATGGTGGCCATGCCCTGCACATCACCTTAAATTTTTTTTTTAAATATTAATTAAAGGTGGAATCAACTGTCTTTCATTCATTTTAAAAATGTCATTGCAGCAGATAAATTCAGCTATAGCTGCAAATAATAATTTCTTACCCAGCCTGAGCACCATACTAGAGAACATTTCCCTGAGGTCCTCACAAAAGCAACTGATGGTCAATATTCCTTGATAGAACTGGAGCAAACAAAGTTAGTAACTGATTTATTGTATTGCACTTAGACTAAACTTTTAAATATTATATTTGCTGCCTTTCAAAACAAAAATAAACCGATTATGATGGTTTTAGTGGACCAAATTAGTGGTGGTATTTACTTCAAGACTACCTTGCCATATAGTATTGCAAATTAAACTTCATTTTCCTAACTGTTACAAAATGGTATAGCCCCCAGAACTGAGGATATAACTCATCCCCAAACCCAGTGTTTTCGCAGAATTGTGTGAGTTTTTGAGCAAGTAACTGAAGACTGATTCAGTCATTTCTGCTAAATCTTTCACCTAGGACTAGCTTGGAAACATTTCAATAGAGTTGAAAACCATCAACCATCATACACATGTTTAGTGATGATGTCTTTGGACATTCTGCCACCAAGGCTGATTTATACATCGGTGGCACTGACTCGTAGGGTAACGTGTGTATTACATTGTACTGTCTAACAGCACCCCTCAAAACGGCTATCTCAGAGTATCCACAATAACTTAGTTCTCTACTGAATTCTTAGAAGACCTAGATAGCGAAAACATGGAACGATTACTAAGAGAAAGGTCCAAGAATTAATATACAAATTAGTATCAAAGGCAAATGACTTAAACAACAATGTTTTTACTCGTCGTTAACAGTCTTTATCAATACGCGGCAGTAACAAAAGAAACGAGAAGCGAGTGGCTAACTGACAAAAGCAATTATGGAATACTTTTCATACGACTCCTCGCTGACAAAGCTGTCAACTCCTTTGTACTTACCTCTCCTGAATGAGTTAAAGTCGGCCATAAAGACTTGCAAGAAAAACTCCGCCCTACGAAAGGCTGGCACAAGATCTTCAATATAAATTAGAACTTTTACGGTTAATACAAGGAGAAATACGATGCATCCGCGTTTCACATCATAACTCGAATTGGAGATGAATTTGAGGCCTAACGACTGCTTGTGCATTCTGGGAAAGCTAAATGCAAGCTCTCATTGGAGCAATAAAGAGGTGTGACGGAGGTGTGTCCATAACCATGGTTACTAAAATGAACCCTCTTACCTTCGCGGCTGAATGCTGCAGGTGGGAAAATAGTAACTCGTGTATTTTCTTCGACTGCAACTAGTGGATAAACATTTAATGCGGATATATAGCAACAGCATCACATGGATAAACATTTCTATCTCAGGAAAGTAATTTATTGGCTCCACCATTGCTAGCTAGTAAAATAATCACAATTATTTGCCAAGTATCAACTCATCTAAACTAGGTTGCAAAATTTGAGACCTACTCCTCTTCTAAGTTTCTTAAAGCAAAGGAATGTCGACATTCAGAAAATACTGTTTCAGGAAATATTGAATTCACCCTATAGCAGCCAAGCTGTTAATGGTGTACACATGTACCCTAACACACAGTGTGAGAATGAAAACCAAGGGCAAGGATTTAGTTATGATTATCGATATATGCGACAGTTGTGCGCTCGAAATTTTTCCAGTTGCAGTAAATACCAATATCTGCTGGAACAAAATGATTTAAACTTTAGTGAGGTTAAACAAAAAAATATATAAAGTAGTATATCAATCAAAAGTTACACAGTTCATAGGTAGTTTTATATTAGTCTAAAGCCCTTTTTAATAGACTGTTAAGGGAGGACTTGCTTTATGCGCTACTTGATACAGAAACACGAAACTCAATCAGGGATAAAAATTGGGAACGTAATTGCCAACCACATGCAGCGGCACAAACTCTGGGGTTTAGAGGTGTAAGAGTAAAATTGTGATCAATACATTTTGAAAGATTGAGTATTGAGCTAAATACAGTACAACCATCGATCCTTGTGAAAAATCTTTACAGCAATGACGCACAATAATTAGGGCTCCAATACTTATATGTTATCGCTAACTGTAACCAGTATTTTGCTAACATCCATTTCAACAATGTTGTCTTGAAGTAAAACTTATAAGAAGATCTTAAGTATTTCATACCTCTATACAATTTAACAACATTTGTATGTGATATATTGCTCTACTAATTCCTCATTAACAGATAATGATATTACCATTTTTTAATAAGAGGGGGGGTTTAATCGTAGGAAAGCTTGAAAGTATCTACAGATTTTTTTTTCAGCAAATTTCATCATGGATATATTGCAGTATACTCATGCATTAGTTATTATTAAATCTGACTTTCTGTACTCATTAACAATTGGTTTATACGTCAGCGTGTGTTCATCGAGATATGAAGCACGCCTGAAGTTTGGAGAGCACGAAAGATGCGTAGCTTCTTGAGTGCTCTCCAAACTTCCCAAGTGCTTCATATCTCGATGAACGCACAGATGACGTATGAACCAATTGTTTTATAACATTTTCAACCCGATGGGAAATTTTTTCTCGAGGGATTTGTTTGCTGACGTCATGAGCGTGCACAATAGGAATATGAAGCACGCTCGCGCAATTCAATTTGATAAGACAAATTTACTGGCTATGTTATAATATAAAGTGACAGATGATTAAAAACTACATGGAATCAGTTTTGTTAAAGTTAAAGTTTCAGTGTGAAATAAAGATTTCTTTATAATCTATCATTATCTTAAATGACTTTAAACATCATGTAGGATAAAAGTGGTGACTTGTATGTCAGGCAAACTTTAAAACATGATTTTCCCTTCAAACAGATAATGACTAGGATTTGGAAAAACAAAATGATAATAGGCATGCCTATGTATAATCATTAACAATTAATTACCCTTTACAAAAAAATTTACTACTATACTGAAACAACTACAGGAGAGAGTCTTATGATTTTTCTCTAACACACAATTTAATGTAAGGTAAGATCATCAATGCACACTCATCCATGACCTATCGGAGGAATTTGGATTCAGTGAGATAACCAAATGGAATTAAGAAAGAACAACACAGCACTTAAAATAGTCTTTGAGGAATTGTTATCAGTGTATAAGCTGCGAGGCTACATTTGAAAGGTAAAGATATGTAAATTTTGACAAAAGAAACAGTTTTAGTAAACCTTAATCAACTCATCCATACCATGTCCATGTCCTTTTTCACAGATTGCATTGAAGTACACATCAAAAAAGATTTCCTTGCGTGACTAAGCCGGCCCATAATGAATTATGGATGTCTTTTGCGAAACCGAAGCTTACGAAGCGATTTCACAAAAATAACTGTTTCATTTATCTGGGGATCTTTCCTATTTTCTGGTTCCATAAAACATGGAGATACAAGTTCCAAACTGTAAGACTGTTCACCTTTTTAACTGTGACAATACTTTCAAACTGGATTCAATAGAAGCACTCTTGACTACAGTGAAAGACAAAGTTGAATTCGAAATATCGATCTAGAAGCATTGTTTCAAACTTTCAGAGATGTCCTCTGTAAGTGATAGCATAGTTCCCACTCTAAATATGGATTTTGCCGTATTTGTAGTTCATGCCAATGAATCTCGACTCTCTATCAACGAAGACAACGCTGGCATTGGTTACGCGAAGATCTACAAAGCTTTACTGAGAGTGACCGGTGAGTCTTGCGTTAGATTATTCGGACTGAAGTGTGAACGTTGTTTTTTGATAGAGAACCTGTACGTACGGAGAGATTATGATCAGCCACTTGATCGATCGGGTTATGTCATAGATAATCGTTATGTGAGTTTCGGCTCACATTGCTGGACTGTCCTGAGGTCAAACTTCTTAGCCCGTTCAAACCGCAATAGTTTCTATCGTCTTTTTATTTTTCAATTTTAAGCTTTTAGTTTCATTTGTTTATGTAGCCATTAATTTAGCATTAACTTAAAAAAAAATTATTAAATTCTCTTCACAACTATGGTAGAACCCCCCTAACTCTAACCCGGTTAACCCGAATCCCCTCCCCATCCCCCCACCACAGTTGCGAAATGAAATATAGTTGCCCACTTTACATTGTTACGAATACTAGTGCTGTTTCGGTTTCGCGCGAGAATTCATATCAACGAATGTTCAACGTTCGATCGTTGAGTTTTACTATTTTTTATTCTGCTTGTTACCATTAGGCGAAAAAGTTTTAATAATTATAGGCGGTGACGACAACTATGTGGGGAGAGAAGAGGAAAACGAAGCTCTCATGTCACGTTGGGCTCGGAGGAAAGTTTCGTCACAATTCGAGGAGGAATATCTTGACGGACGAAAAAGTTTCATTTTTTCTTGGCACAAAAACCACCGAGAGATTCACGAGAAAGCTCTTCTACACTTTTTTGAACCAAGTAAGATGGGTGAAAAGTTTGATTATCATGAGCCAGAAATGAGTCTATCAGCCGACACTTCTAACGCAACAGCTGAGGAAAATAACCAAGGGCTGAATCCTCAACCAGAGATCACACAATCGACGCCGTCCAACGTTCCAGAGAATATTTCAGTGTATCCAACGGATGAGGTGAGTGTTTAACTGAAATTCTGTTCTTTTACACATTATACAAGGCATTCTTGGTGAATCGACGCATTTGAATCAACACTGCGTTTGTGGTGACGTAGCTTATCAATTATGCTTCATTATTGTTGCTGATGCTCTCTTCTGTTGATGACGGCTAAGTTATTGGTGAATGGCTGTTCTACAAACCTATTGAGGCTTTTTTCTATTTGAAGAATGCAGTTGACGTTATTCCTGGTTAAACTTTGTACAAAAGTATTCTGTTGCTATGTAGTGAAATTGTGAGAAATATCTTACTTATCCCATTAATAGGAAAAAAAGCGTTGTGAGGGGGAGGGGGGTGGGGGCATGGAATTAGTGAGACAAGCCTCCGTGAAGAATTTGGTCAATATTTAACTATAAATTTGCTAATTAATTATGGTATACAAACCATATGCCACATTAGCTAGGTTGTGGGGTTAATCTATTTCCAGGCATAATTCTATGAAGAAAAATAAATTAGCTGTATGTGCTTACAATCTCTGGCAAATTTTGGTTCAAAATCCCAACCAGACTATCCCCTGAACTGCTTGCGTAAATTGGCGATCCAGGGGTCCTTAATGCAACCGAAAATAAAACGATTCATAGAGAGAGAGCTGCCATAAAACATTAATTTCATGTTTACCAATAGAGATACTGAATCATTTTTGATAAAATCAGTTTACATATTATCTATGGGTGCATGTTACACAACTCAAGGAAATGGTATTCGTTGCAAAACGGGAAAGAAACGTTGTAACGTTGTAACGTTGTAACGTTGTAACGTTTTAATTGAATATATGACTTTGAAAATATAGGTCGAGTATGTAAATGAATTTGAAGCATCTTACAAAAAGAACAAGGAGGAAGTAATAGTTGTTGTGGGTCCTCGTGATAAGATTCCGTCAGGTAAGGCTACATTAAATTAATCTTTAAGTTATTTTAAAATACTTTGGTTAGTGATCGGGTGTAGAGATCCTAGTAATCAATTCTCTTTACGTCGTCGAACGCTTCCCTATTACGTATGGCGAGATAAATTCAACATCATTTTGACCCAATCATTTTTTCAAGCATAGAATGTTCGAAACAAATAACTTCATTCCCTTATCCAAGACAACTCATTCCCTGACTCATCGTGGATACCTCATGAGATGGTGTAGCTTTAAGGCACAGAGATGAGAAGGAAGGATCCCAATGACACTGTGACCCCCCTCTTTTTCAAAACGTGTAATTACTTAAAACAATATTTAATCCTAGAAGGCTCCGAAATGGAGATAAGGCGTCAGAGTCAGCTTCCCCTTCACTTTACTTGAATACTAGACCTACTCGTGCTCCTAAGGCTACAGAATTACATGCAAGAGAATTTCGTACGGATGTTCAGTCCGTAGAGCGTGTTCGTCCCGTGTTTACATTGTCTGATCTACTATATCATCCCAATTTTGTCGTGTGTTCTTTTTCTTTCTCTACCAGGGTTGTCCCTGAATTATCCAGAAGGTTCAGTGCTTCTAGATACTCGGCTTCGCCATGGGGAAGTCTCAGACGACGCGAGAGATGTGGTGCATAGAGAGGACGGATGGCAAGTACCGGAAGGCTACAGGGACCATCTACTAGAAGTATGCACGCGGCAGAAACCAACCTTAGAGTAAAGTTTGTAGTTCGCCAAAACCAACTAACCACAATTATAATCCGAAACTGGTTTGGACCGCTTTTGGGGGGATGTTGCACAATACTCTGAGCCTTAACAAAGGCTAAATTTTTCAACAAATTTTCGTTAGCAACCCAGAAGTAATCTATATACATATATTTTTTTTTCGGGCAGAAGGTTGACCACTCGTCAAAAAATAGATAATCTTTAACTGCGTTTTTGATGCATGGCAAAGTTTACTTTAGTACTGAGTTTGAAAGCTTGTGGAAATTGAAATAATTTTAATGACATTATTGATATAATACTATCATTAATTTCGAGTAAGGCCGTGAGAAAAGCTTGCAACGGTTGGAAAAGGGTGATTTGGCTTCCGTGATGCCTTGCATCAATGGCTGTACCAAAAATTTCCTCAAAAACCTATGCTTTGATGTTCAATTTACTAGACCGAAAAAGTCACTCTTTCCTAGAGATCTAGCGACTGCCCGCCACTTTTATTTAATTCACATTGTAAGTTAATTAATAGCTTTTAATGCGAATGGTTCTGACAATCATTGAATGTCATCTCACGACCATTCTTTGAAATTTATTGTGTAATATTTGATTTTCAAAGTGTTTTAAACTCTCTTTAAAAGACGATTAAACATATTAATGGATTTTATAGATTCACATAGTCATTTTAAGATCTCGAACGTAATCTGTTTCAACTCACCCGAATGTTATAGCTCACGGAGGTTGCAATGCTCTGTAATTATGACTAGCAAACAGGGAACTTCGCTTCATTTCATTTACAGCAAGCATATCTAAAATAATAATCACACCTTTTTCGATGGTTTAACCCGGACATTGCGCAAATTGACTGGTACTTTTTCCGAGAAATGTACGTAAGGTCGAGGAAAATACGAGCGAAGAGAAAAATGTTCGCTCGTTTCATAAGGTAACCCATCGAATTGGGAAGTTATCATTTCGCTTTTGTTTAGTTTTCTAGTATTTTGGCTTCTAGGTTCGTGTTATCAAGCTTAAAGAACGTAAGATAGTAAGAATTTGAATCATAAGGTGCGGCAATTTATTGATCCGCTTTGCTTTTGCTTTCCGTCCGTGTTTTGTACTGTTCTGCAGAGTTATGTACATAACCTTGTTCTATTCTTCCATACAAAATCTCAAGTTGAAATGTCCGCATGTTGCGTGACACGTGAATTTAAAGACTGTTTACGTTCTATGATTTACTAATAAGAGAAAAGGCCTCCATAATATTCACTTTGTTTAAGTATGATGAAGAGGTTGTGTTGATCTGTCCATTAAATAATCAAACAAGTGGCTGCTCTATCAGTTTGTACGGTGGTTCGTAATTTGCCTTCCGTGTTGGAATAGATGCTTAGCACTCCGTTTGCTGTCGTTGAATATTTGCACCTCAAACTTTCCTCTATATGTTTGGGAATTACAAAATCAGGAGAACGAAACACAAGATCCTCGGTAGCATACGATATTATCCCTTGACGGATTCGTGTTTTGAGCACGAGAACATCGCTGGAATCCGTGCATTCTCCTCCATAAGATGTAGGATTATGACGCACTTCTTGTGATGAAAACTCCCCCATGTGCTTTGGTGTCTCTTGAAGCAGTCTCCTGTCAGATGAAAAACTTGAAGCAGCATTGGTCGGTCTGAGGGATTCTTCTGAGTGGCTCAGCTGTCCTTGTCTGTTCTTTGCCGCTATTGGGGCTCCAAGCATTAATTGTATCAAGACATCGGGTTCCACATTCAGTTTTCCATCCTCCAACCAAACGACAAGGCCCTTTCTTTCCGCTTTAAGCATTCGCTCAACGTTTTTTACAAATTTATCTTCCGCTCCAGTTGGAGCAGGACTTCGATTGCAAATCGTGAAGATAACCTTTTCAACTGCAAATTGAAACAAATTGTTATATTTTATTACCATCTTCTTGTTAATTGCCCGAAGAAATAGTATTTAAGACTAGGTGTAGTACATGACCAATGTGTGGATGCCGTGATTTGTAAGTTATTTTCATTTTCGTTTCAGATATGGCCACAAATTTGTTAAAAGACAAAATTGGCATCTAGGAAGAATTTTCATTATGAATGATTTTTGACTTATTTGAACGTGAAAATAAATGGAAATAATATATTAGCATAACCTATTCAGTAAACATGTAACAAGCCAGTTGATCATTTCTTATTCCTTTTGGCGGTCTCATCTTACAGTAGAGTTTGGTCACCTTTTCCTTATTATGATCGTGAATTTGACATGGAGACAGATGTTTTTGCGTAAATTGCGGTTTGCGGCCAGATATCAGTATATTTCCATTATGTTGTTTAAAGATGACTAATTACTAAGAAAATGACTCTACCTTATCTGCTATTGAAAAGTTATTTTTAAATATTGTAGCTCACTATGATCCCTGCTTTAAAATTTGTTAGAAGTTATTTTCACTCGTAGTTCAGTTGACTATTTCTTTTATTCTCTCTTTTATTACGCAAGTTATTACAACGGATACTAGATCTGATCTCCCTCGGAAAGTGTGGGTCACCGCTTGTAAAGGTGACCCCATAAAAATTGATCCCGTGCAGGAATTTCCTGGAAACAACCCTCCTTTATACCTTTACCTCTTTAATACTCTCGTTTTTAGGCTAAATCCATGTCGAATTCCCGATTCGGAAAATAGTGTTTAAACTTGAATTTAGCACGTTCGACAACTCTTTTTCTTAGAGGTGACTTAAGGTGTAAACATACAGTACTTTTCATCTTCCGCACTGAATTTGTAATCAAATAACTTATACGGCTAGCACGTAGCTCTTTTAGGGGCGGTACCTTAGGTACGCCCTTTCTTCTCCGAATTTTTCTGTTTATTCTGCCGATATGTAGCAGTCTTCAAGGGCTATTTTCTCTTTAGATATCTCTTCAAGTATGATTTCAATTCTGTTCGTAAGTTTATTATAATTTTTATATTATCAATCTTGTTTTTGTTTCGCTCGACCTTGACCGTAAGACTAAGAAACTTAAGGTAGAAAGTCATTTTGTGAAGCGTAAACATCGCCAAGGTATCTACTTAGTATGCGAACTCCGCTCTGCGTAGTTTAGCGTGATTCGCTAGTTAAGTGTAAAAGCATGACGAAAGTTAGAGACTGACAGCTCACTAAGCGTGTCTATTGGCCTTTTTTAATTATTGGATGATGTTCTCAAGTAGTTTATTTCATCTACACATTTGCTATTGTGAGTATTTGCTATTGCGAGTATTTGCTACACTAAAATATTTCAACTACAAAGAAATGATTCTCTAAACTTTTATAAACAGGCTACTGCAACAGATCCTCTTACCAACAACATCAGCTGCTGTCCTGAGAATTTCTTCCAACTCAGGCTGCTGGTATTCATGAGACGTATCTGTATCCACCACTAGAATACAAAACCTAGGAGTGCATCTCGCTAAGTATGATTTGATGTCAGCTAATGAATAACGTTCCACTTGGGGACATTCTGGCAGCCTTATCCTACGATAAAGGTCATCGAGTACTGATTTCACAGCCTGGATTGTTGCCGGTGACACATCACAGCCAAGGACTACTAAGTCTAGAGAATAAAAGCAAACAGTAATTAAAACTTCGTTTTGCACAACCCAAAACCATTTTACAACACTTATTTTTAAAAGATCAATCAGTTTTAGTCAAATAAATGCTAAACTTGAAATACTTGAAAAAAAGCCTCAATTCCGCGTTTGCACTTCCACTAGTCTAGTTATATTAACTTGAACGTTAAATTAGTACATGCCTATAAGCTTCACTTCGTTGTTCGCACTTCCAGCACTTAAATAAATGCTAAACTTTCAAATACTTGCCTAAATGCTTCATTTCGCTGTTCGCACTTCCACCACAAAGTGCGTTGTTTGGGTTTCTGGCACTTGCTGTAACCATGCATGTACGACTCAAAGGAACCTAGTATCATTTTATATGTAAAAATATATGAAGTTCACAAAGAAAGCTGCTATCGAGTCAGGATTAAAAATTGATTGATAAGGTTAAAAATCGTGATATAAAGACTACGAGACACCAATGAAACAGCGTCTTTAGGACTTATTGTTGCTTTTGTTGAAGTCGTTGTAAAGGTACATATTGCTCTCGTAGTGGTCGTTCATTGGTGTCCAGTATTGTCTTTTTTCAGAGAGTCCCGTTGTTCTTACCTTGTACTTCACGTTCCCCTTATATGGTGGTATCTCTTCGTACTGAGAGCTGTTGCGGTTTGTTGTGTAATAGTGCCAATTCAGAATATGCAGCCACATCTTTTTGTGTTTGACGTTATTTTTAGGGTCAAGAATTAAAAGGAGAAAAGGTTGTAAACCTCTAGAAGGTATCTAAGAAATTGCCACCACTATCTTACAAAGCTTTACTGATGTTCATGTCATAATGGATTTAAATAGTTCAAATTATTTTCGCAATCTTTTTTGGTTTTTCTTGAGCATGGTTTTAGATGCCATTGCTGACATCGCCATCGGTCATTTTTGGCTCAAGTGGAATTTCCTCTGTTGTGGTTAATATTGTCAATGTCTCGTGGTGCTAGCGTTGTTGTTGTAATTGTTGTTTCTTTTGACAGCTTCGTTTTTGTTATCTTTGTTCTGGTATTAATACTTATTTTGTGGCTATTGTAACTGTCTTGATCATGATTCTCGTTCATTTTTTTTTTAAATGTAATCTGTCGTAGTAGTTCTCACCTTTGACCAGACGTGTTTCCTTCGTGGTAGTATCCCTTTGCACTCTGCTCTGTTCAGATCGGTCCCCTAGTGATGAGCATCCATAATCCGAAGCTGAAACAGCGGTTGCCGCAAGAGGATCGAGGTGTACGTTCAGCTTAGGTTGCTGACTAGCGTGAAAATCCACACTTCTTTGCCTTGTCACTGTGTAATCTTTTTGCAAGAAACTTGGCTGATCCCACCGGTCTTTTATTTCTTGTCTACTTCTCCCTTCGGGAAGGGTGGCGGAGCGTTGAAGCTTGAGCTGGTGCGCTGGTTCTGTATCTCGTGCTGGCGGAGCTGTTTGATCTCTTAAAGAAAGCTCGGAATGCCCTGGTGGCTCATACTCAAACTTTTGTCCTTTCTTGCTTTGATCAAAGAAGTGTTTCAATGCTTGCTCGTGAATTTCTCTGTGTTTCCTGTTCCATGAAAAGATGAAACTTCTTCGTCCGTCGAGGAATTCCTCCTTTAACTGGGAACGTACCTTCATTCTTGCCCAACGCGAGACTACGGCTCTTTCCTCTTCCTCTTCGTTCCTGTAATTGTCATCCCCACCGATAACAATAATCACGTTTCCGTCTAATTGACAAGAAAAAATTGAAAAAATCACATAATTTTATTAAAATGGCCTTGTAATGAATTAAGTCTTGCTCGCTCGTCAGAAACGTGACTTTCGTGGTCACGCTACTGTTCCAATCCGGCCCTGTTGTTAAAATCTGCGTGTTCGGAAGCGGAATCATAAGTCAACGCGGTCAAATTAGAGAGAATGGTAAATTTATTAAGTGTTTAAAACTTAGAAATCGTAAATGGTGTGATATAGCGAAAACATGAGTTATGAATTTTGAAAAAAGTTGCATATGGATCACGAATCATTAGGTTAAGAAAGAGGTAGGAATCACAAATATCGAAAGTAAGGTCAAATGATTCTGCATTTGTTGCACAACTTTCATAATATCTGACACGGCAAAACTTTTATTTGTATCATTTGTTGGTCAATATTTTAATCGCTAGAACTTACTTACGGCAACCTGCGAACACAGCCGTCACAGCTTCCTCCAATTTTTTTAACCAAAGTTTTCAAAATATTTAATTGAAATCTATATTTAGAATACTATTTGTATACCGCAGTGTTCGTATCATGAAACACAAGCGAATCCTGTCAAAGACATAGTGTGGCCAATATTGTCGTTAAAAAGCATGTACGTAAAACAATTGAGGAAAGGTTGAAGATAACGCTATGTTCTGTTTGTCAATAACATAAATTTCGTGGCGCGGACCGTCTAAATTTCAAAACACTTAACATTGATATTCATTGACAAATCAATGTGCCACATTACAAAGGTGAAGAACGCAATGGTACCTGAAAAATATCTGGTATAAAAATTTAGGAAACCCTAGTGTGTGTATTTTACAGAAACTATGCCAATATGACTTGCTGAAGACTTTTTGAAAAAATAATTCTAAGAATTAAACTCTTATCGTGCTTTTCGCTTTACCTGTCGCTTGAAGCAAAGCTCTGTAAACCTTCGTGTAGCCTCCCTCTGTGTTTTCGTTGATGGAGAGTCGAGATTCGTTTGCATTGACAGCTAAAATGGCAGCATCCATCTCCAGTGTGGGAATCGTTTGATCGCTGAACTCGGTTATCTCGGAAACTGTGAAATAGTGTTGCTTCACAGATATCTCATTGCCAAGATTCCTTGTCGTTGTCAACAACAAATGTTCGATGGAATCAAGCTTATAAACACGGTCGCAGTTGAAGAGATGGAATTTTCTAGGCGATGCCATGATATTTCTGTTATCATGGAGATACTTTTATTCCTTTTGCGGTGGTTACTCAGAGCTTGTAACAATAACGTATCATGGAAGAAGTTGTCTCGATATACGAAGACGATTTTGTTGTAACGATTTCTAAGAAAAATAGGAACTTGGGCGGCAAATGCATGATGGGTAAAGCTGTGTGGCTGTCAGGAGAATTCGTGACGAAGGGTATGTAACGTAACGGTTATGAGAATTTGAAAATAATTTTAATTAAATTCTTCCCTTGGCCCAATGTGAAATGACCGACTCGTTTACTTCGCTTTTTCCCTCCAACCACAACGATAACACTCTCTCCTGGTGCAGATACGAATAAGTTATTAATTCAACGAGAGACAATAACCCAACGAAATTTTTACAAGAGTTTTCCGTATTCTGCATGATGCATATGCACCAATTTAGCGGCCAATCTTAAACCATATACTCAATGAAAAGCACTCCTAAATTTTGCTTTTCTTCCCCAGGTTACCTTACGATAGAACCACACATATGAATAGAGCTTAACCTCATTGAACATATCAAACTCTTTCCCACAGCGCGACGAACATTTGTTTTTATCGGTTCCAGGTGTACGCGACCACTAACCCTACGTAATGCGCATGCTCTCCGTTGTTTTCAAAATGGCGGACAGGCCAAAGAGGGAAATAAAAAAGCGAAGCGATTTTGCAATAAATACTTAACATACACCCCCGTTAGAAAGGCGAATCCACGAAAGAAAGATACAAAACTGTATGATATTGAGATCAGGGAGGTTGACAAAATCAACAAGAGAGGTTGAAAATTCATTACGTTGGCTATAGCACATGCTTCGATGAATGGAGACCCCTCAGGGCCGATAGAGGATCTGGATATTTTCCGTTTGTTCGCAGCGAAAAGCAGTCCATTCCCTCGGAAAACTCTCTAAAGGATAGAAAAGAATCGTTCCATGGCCAACTTGCTCGTGAAATAAAGAAAAAGCTTTGGTCTGGACGGCGAGAGGACCCTGATATAAACATAGACCTTAATGTTGACCAAGATGTTTTCATGGAAGGTCTTGAGAGTGTTTTTCCCAGTGTTCTTCAAAGAGGGATGATGGTTTACCAATTGGAGTCAAATTGGGTGCTTGATTCATATCTGGGACTGAAGTGGGATGAAAGAATTTTAAATGTATCTGAAGATTTTGCCTATGTAATTCCAGGAACTATTAAGTATTGACTGGGACAAAGAAGTCCAATTCATTGAATACAAGCTCATCAGGGAACAATATGCTAGAACACAAGTTGAAAACAGCTACTTTATTACATTTCAGTTTGTGAGAGGTGATGGTAACAGGAACAACTACCATGCCAACAGATAAAATAACAATCCATTGTTTAAACACTATATAGCATCTTGGCCAAAAACTTGAGATTCACAATCAAAAGTTCCAATATTATTTTACAGTTGAGGCTGAGTCACATGGCTTATGGCTGGAAGCGAGGTTGCTGGTGACCTTGTTTTGATACAAACCCCTTTGCTTTTCTTGTGTAAATAAAGGCTAGTTAATTCATAGGCCGGGTTACTGAATAAACTGTAAAATGGCCTATTTTGGCAAAGAAATTAAAGGTGATATTTTAAGGGTACTAGAAGTATTAAATGTTTTGATCCTGACTAACATTGTGACCAAGCTAAGGGAAGATCAGGGTCAAGAAATCCTTCCTCAAGATTTAAACGTCGTATTTTATAACATAAAACTTATGAAACTAGCTAAAACTAAACTTACTCTGGTTAATATTGAAGCTGGCATCTGAGAATCCATTTGCCACCTTCCTTCACAAGATGTGCACAGCAAATTGGAGCTGGACAATTTTTGCATGATGATGTGCATGTCTTGATGTTGTGGCCTTTGTTTGAACAGTTATTGCATTTGTAGGTGTTCTTAACCCTTTCATAACCCCTGCCTTTAGGAACTGAATCCTGTTTTTCTTCAGAAACAGTTGTTTGAGGGTGAACCCCTTTGTGATTTGTGGATCTGAAGAAATCTTTAGAAGCTTTATTTTATTTTTCCATTAGCCTTGCTGTGTGTAATATGCTATATTCTGATAAAGTGACAGGAACTCAGGAACATGATAACATAGTGCATGCATGTAGGGAGTGACATCTTTTGCTTAGTAAACTTTGAGAAAGTGCTCAAACCATGATTTTAAATTTCTTTGCAATTCAAGAATACCCTCTTCAGATGTAAAATCTAGCTTCAAATCACCAATTATGTCCATAAATTTAGCCCAGATCACTTGTATGTCTTAGTTTTGACTGCAATGAGGGACAAGCATAGGTCGGAATGTTTATATTCTGAAAGAGTTTCAATTATTCTGGTCCAGTAAGATCTCTATATTCCAGCTTTTTGCTCTCTTTGTTGATTTAAAATTAAAAGTGATTCCCATACTTTTGATAAATTCTTCATAACATGCTATGTGTTTATATTTATCTCTTGGGAATCCATCAGAGGTTTTTTTTCTCAATAGCATCACTTCTTCTCAGCCCCTTTCCAATATTTGTACCATCACCACTAAGCTTCTTAATAGTTTCTCCATCATTGATTTCTCCATTCTTCTGAAGCCTAACAATGTGCTCTTGCAAGCTTTCTGCAAATTCTAACTGAACACCTTCAGCATCTCCTGGTGTTGGTTTCAAGTTCCATTCACTGTTTAGCTCATTAATTATATTGAGGAGATCATTAGCCTTCTTTCATGGAATATATTTATTTTGAGGAGATCATTTTATGCCTTCTGTAATGGCAATTTTATCATGCCAAAAGGCCTCATTTGAAAAACAGAACGGATTATGAATTTATCTTTTCGAGGCAGAGCCACATATTTATGTTATCAATGTCATCATTTTGTGATTATTTTTAGGGCCTTTGGGTTTAACAGACTCTGTAAATGGTCCAGCAGCGGCTCCCGTCTCATCAACAAGATTGAAAGTTTCATTGATTGATTAGTCTCTCAGTGTTGAGGACTTCAATTTTGGCTGCAACAAAATTGTACAGCCCAAGAAAGGAGAGTGTAGTTTGACACTCCTCCTTCAGTTGGTTTTAATTCTCTTTTGATGGTGCTTAGAATAGTCATTAAACTTCTTCTTAGCTGGGCCTCTACCTTTTTTTCCATTTGTAATCACTTTTTTGGCCAACTGAATAAATTTTTTTTATCGTAAAGGCCCCTTTCTTCTCAGCTTTCTCGAGAGCTTCTCAGGCTTTTTATCCACTCGCAATCGCTTTGCCTTCTCCTGTACCAACGATTCTTCTAATTTTATTTTTTCTCCCCTCCACTGGCTGTTCTCATCTTTAAGCTGATGTACTTCAATCTCGTTGTAATGAATGTCAGACAACTCGCTCCCTGGACAATTAGCCCCCAGTCTCTGGACGATTAGCCCCCCGTCTTTGGACGATTAGCCCCCAGTCCCTGGACGATTAGCCCCCAGTCTTAGTTTATGTAAAGGAGAAGTTACGTTCATTTGTTGGTCATTGACTTTTATGAGTTTGTGGCTCCTAAAGGAGCCTTTTTTTTGAAATGTCTATCTATATTAACATTTACTCAATTTAAATTACATGGGTTGTACGAGGTGAGCACCAGTCGATAGACGCACCGGTTTTAACAGCGTTGCGGTAATCTGCCTGCGACACGCCCGATTGACATTAACAAGTAGTCGCCAATAAGTTAAAGTTTCGAAGTTTCGTCCCTGGTTTCTTTCCTTTCCTATTTAAACAACATGACGGAGAAACATTCGTAACGTATGTAAACAGAAAGAACACAGTTCATTTTTGTAGAATATATAAACAGAAAGAACACAGTTCACTTTATAATTCGATACGCACGGCAGAGAAACGTTCATAACAAGCAAACAACAAGACAGCAAGAACGCAGTTTACTTTATAATTTAACACGCATGGCAGAGAAATGTTCGTAAAAAGCAAATAACAAGAACATTGTTTATTTCATAATATATGATAGGGAAACGTTCGTAAAAAGTAAAGGGCAAGAACATAGTTTATTTCAAGGTTGGTGGGTTGGGGGCTAATAGTCCAGAGACTGGGGGCTAATCGTCCAAATGCTGTGGGCTAATCGTCCAGAGACTGGGGGCTAGTCGTCTGGGGCTAATTGTCCAGGGGGCGAGTTGTCCGGATACCCGTTGCAATACACCTTAAAGCGATACCGAGGGCCCGTTTCCAAATTTCTAAGAAGTGCATTTAATTGCCTTCCGCCACGATTACTAGCTTTCTTGACAACTTTCTGAAAACAGAATATTTTCTTCCTGAAGACTTCTGATATGTGTCTATTGATTATTATACCTCGTATACCTGATTGCTCAAACACTTCGTTTACAGTTATTGAAAGGACCGACTCATGGTTTTCACTGAAAACTTCTTTGCTTTGAAATAGTATAGATTAGTAAGCTGAAACGAAAAATTAATCAGGGAAGTTTACGAAAAATCCAGCGAACAAGCTTAAAAAAGGCATTTATTTAGACTTCATACTGCGATGAACTTCATCAAATCGTAATTCTTGTTTATCCCTCTCGTAAGCTAAAAAACAAAAAATGGCAGATTCATCATTTCAATCGTTTAAAGTGGATACCATTTTATGACTCTACTAAGATGGCTAAATGTTCAATACTATTTAAAAGGATTAATTATTGTGTACTTTCTTAATGATAGCTTAAGATTATTAAGTTCATCCCTTCACCTAACACTAGATTTTGTAAATACAACTTTTTATTACCTCAAAAGGGCTAGAGAAGGAGGGAAAACTTTTCTAGTTTCTCCAAAAATTAGGAAAAAAGCCTGAATCAAAAGGAGGAAGATACAAATGTTTTAAGAAACGCCATTTGACGAAATTTTATTGATAAATCTATTCTTTTTGTTTTACACTTTAAATATCAAAACAAAGTATTTAAATTGTTCCTCTTTTATTCTGTTTGCGGTACATTTTTGAATTGCGCTTGTGTTTTGAAACGCCATTTGGGATATCGCTTTTTGTTCGAGACGTTTCAAAACAAAAGAAATTGCCTCGGTTTTATTCTGTGTTTTTTTTGAACAAAAAAAGGGATATCGCCCGAGACGTTTCGCTGTTAATTTCACGCAACCGCTCGGAGAAAAGGTCAAAATGACGAGGGAAAAACTTTACCTTCAAGTTAAAAAATTAGCGAAATAGAAAGCCACAATATTATAGTTTAATATTTCAGAGGTACATTGAGTGCTTTTTCCGTAGAGAATCCGCACGATGGTAAAATATTCGAAAATTACACTCGATTTGAGTGGGACGTTGGAGTGGGCGTGGTCACTATATTCATGTTAGGACTACTTGTACCCCATGAGTTTGATATGGAATTAAAATTAGTTCTAAATTCTTGGAAACAGTTCCATTTGTCTCATTCTTCGTTTCAAAAGCATTCTTAAAATTTACATCTGCCTCAATTTGAGGGCGGAAAAAAATAAATTGTGCTTCAGAAATGCAGGAATCTTGATCAGGGCTCCGAGCTCGACTTTTTTCAAGGTCATCACTTAAAGAAGTAAAATCATTCAAAAGGTCACTAGAAGAAATTTTGTCTTTTGGAATAAAAAAATTAACAGATTCTCAGAAACAGTTGATATAGTTTCCGCTTTCACCGTCTGTTCGCTTTATTAGAAATATAAAACGCGTAGGTTTCAAACGTTCGATACCTGTACTTAAATACAAGTTTTATTCATGTAAATTTTTTTCCTATAGAGATCAACACAGATACTATCAAATTTTCAATTAAACTCGAGAAAGACAAAAAGCTAGCTACTTTCAAGAAAGCTGTGTATACCTTTGTGTATCAAGATTCCATCTTACTGTGGTTAATAAAGAGACCAGACACGGGTGCGCTCACCACAAAAGTTGCAAACTAAACAAGTTTTTCTCTATTAAAATATCTTTCTGAGATAAACTTGAATCAGATAACTATAAACTCACTCGTTTTCCGTTTGACCGGCTAAACGACGATAGCCTCTACCTTTGCAACCTTTGAGGAAAGGAGCAACTAGCACGGTAAAACTGCCCAATAACTACTCGGCGAAAATAATCGCACCTCGTGATAAAGCTGATTCTTTCGATGCTGCCATCAAAAGTTAGCTTTTTATGTTGCTAAGGGAATTTCTCTTCGGCAACGAAACTCCAGAGCACCGACCACGGCATCAGTGGAACATTCTCTACACTTGGTGCAAAGGAATGATAAGTTTTGGCTACAGAAACAAACACAACTACCCATTCTTAAAATGGATTTTGCCACAGAAAACAAGACACAATTTAAACCCAACGAACGAAACCTTCAGTGACGGGGGATTTTTGCTCTGATCTTGACCTGAACACCGCAAGTGAGAAACCATCGTTGTCAGTGAAATATTCGCTTGATGCACGCTGTTCTCCTTCGTAGGGCTAAACCGTACTCGCAACTTCAATTTTTTCTTTATTACTCAAGTATGATGTATCACAACTCTCAGCAGAGCTTGCTGAAGGTAGGTATACATCGCCATCAAACATTATCTCTACAGTATTTCAACGTTAACTAATACAAAATTACAAGAGAAATATGAGATTTCGCAAGTGTCAATCGACAGTTTTTACAGTTTTCTACGTCATAACACGCTAACCCGTCGCCAGTCTACAGAACCATTTTAGACAAAAGAGCACCTTGGGCCAGGAAAAAAAAGAGCTGCAATTTTTTGGAATTTTCCCCTAAGGATTGTACAAATGATAAACTGAATAATTACGCAAAAAGTACTTCGTGCCACAGGCACTCCAACTCGCTCTGACATACAAACATAAAATACATTTTCTCCAGTGCTAAAGGTTAGGAGCAGAGGGACAAGACAAAAAAAATATGTAAGGAACGAGACGAAAAAAAATTCAACTTTCTATTCATAAATTCTGTTACTCTTTTAGAAGCACTTTCCCTTTTTACTATAACTCGAAATTTCCTTTCAGTTCCTGAAATGATGTACAGGTCAGCACTAACTTTTTCTGTGAAACCATAGACAATTTCTTGAGGAATATGAACATTTCCAAACCTAAACTGTACATCAACGTCGTTAAAAGACACCTTTCCGTGGCGGATACGAGTTTTCAATACGAGAAACTCATCTTTAGCAAGCTCTACATCGTCATCCAGGAAAAACTTCGTAAAATCTTGATAATCATGACACTCAAGTGTGCCATCACTATTCCTAATAATTCTTACTCCAATATCATGGGTATGACGGTGTTTTCTGATCAACCTTTCTTGAATGTCTTCTGGAATTATAAATTCAGGGTCCCAAACTTGAAGGTCACCTAACTGATTAGATATCTTTCCATAACGAGCGATACTTCTCAGCACAACAACGGGAGGAGGGTTTCCAGGGAGTTGTGTCGCCAGAACAGGCTGCGGGATATTTTGGGAACTCTCCCATGACAGCTTTTTTTACTTCTAAATATTGAGTTTGTAATTGATCTTCGGTAACGTTAGAAGACGAGTCAGCGTCAATATCCGGTTCTTCAGAACTTCTTGGGCGGATCAAATGTGTGTTTGGTGTGTAGGTACTGTCTCCCTGATTACTGCAAGAAGGTTCCATCCCCGCCGAGTCTCTGCTGCCGCCCGCGGCACTACTGACGCCACTAGGGTCTGAATCAGTCGGATTTTCCTCGTTGTCAGCTGACAGTAAAGAGGTGTCTTTACCGTTATGTGAGCAACTCTTGGATGTGTATGGATTTTCTAATTCTGTAGATGTGTCCTGCAATTGAGGTTGTGAGTTTGATTGTTGGTTGGGAGTAGGCGGCCGATATTCAAACTTTTATCCTTTCTTGTTTGTATCAAAGTGATGCAGTAAAGCTTGTTCGTGAACCGCTCGATGTTGTTTGTTCCAGGAGAAGATAAAGCTCTTCCTACCATCAAGATACTCACTGCCGAACTGTGAAGAGACTTTCCTCTTCGCCCAACTTGAAATAACATCTCCATTCTCTTCCTTGTCGTCTTTGTAGTTATCATCTCCCCCGATGACGGTGATAACATCTCCTCCTGTGGATCGAGCAGATGAAAATGTAAATAAGTGCAGAGTTATTACACACTTCTGGTGACCAGATTTTACATATGGAAGAATATCCTTGATTGACTAGGCGCAATCAACATGTCGACAGGAAGCTGCTACCTGCGTAGAATGTGCATACATGAAACGTTCGATCAGTTTGCGTCACGCCAGGGCCTTGCAGACCTTTTCGGAATCGATTTTCGTACATTTTCTTGCACTCGTGAACATAAAGCTAAACATCACTTATTTACTAAAAGGAAGATAAAATTTAACATAAAGTCAAGAGCACATCATGTTTTCCTGAAACAGTAAATACATATAATTGATTTCAATTTACCTGTCATCAAGTGTTTGTTCAAATGGATTTCATATGTTTAAAAACGACGCATTTGACCCCATTTTGGTTGTTATAGATAACTGCTGGTAATTAGTATCATTTGCAAAGGTAAACAATTGACTGTTTCATCCTGTCAAAAGCAAATTTTCTGAAGAAATATGTTTTGAAAGCTCAAAATATCCAATGAGAACTCTTGCTGATTTGATTGTTATGGTTGAATTTTTTTTTCTTTTGAATATCATCCAGTCTTGTTAGATAATATATTCAATATTACCTCAGCCTCAGCAAAATAATTCTTAGATACGTTTCTCGTTTCAATTCGTCTCATACTTTCCTTACGGTTAGTGTCGGATCATTTTCATGTTCTCGCCGAGAGTAACGTGTAATAGAAATTTTCAATATACTTATGGGATATACCTAACTTGAACGAGCGGCATCCCGATTCCCGGGCCCTATGGCTTTTTCATAAACTTTCGGGCGGAGCCGGGAAAGGGACTATGCTCTTTGAGTTTCAGCTTCTGAAATTACAAAACATGTATACATGATTATCCCTCTAAACTGAGCTTAGAAAAAGCAAAGGTTCTTCTCTGTCATAAGGAGTAGTCTCAACCCTAAGAGTCGAAGAAGGATCAGAAACAGGCGGTGTGCGCACGCCGATTGCGTTGCATTTTGGTAGCTCCATTTTCAATATGACGATGAAAGCGAGAGAAATCGGCAGATTTTGACTGAACACTTCGTAGAAGTTAGGCCGTTCCTTTTCCCTTTCACCATTGGTAAATATAATTTTATTTATTGAGAATGTATAAAGTATTTTTTGTGCGTATTTGTTGCGTATTCTATGGTTCTCAAGGACAAACGTAAGCACCGTTTTTTTAGTATGTAATATGAGACCAGTTTTCGAGAATATCAAATTTGATGTATTTCGAAGTTTGGAGCCTTTCGAAGATTTGGATGGCCGCTTCAACAGCACTGACCAAACGCTCTCAAACACTCTCTAACGGTACATGCGTTTCTCGCATTTTAAGTGAGACCGATTATGACCGAGAAAAGGGCATAGGGTAAAATATGGACTGTATTTTTTTTTTGGACCATTTTTTGGACCAGTTTTTGGACAATTATTTGGAGAAATTTAGAAGGGGGGAAGCACACCATTAGTACTCAGGAAGAGGTAGGATGAAGTCTATCAGTACTGAGGGAGGAGTGGGAGGTAGAGTGTTATTACTCAGGGAGGGGTGAGAGACGGACTATTACTATGCAGGGAGGGCTGGGAGGTGATGGTAATAGTAAACACTACTGGTTAATGGAGCTTTTACTCGATCATACAAATTACTTTAATAGGTTTTTCAACTGACTTTCTGTATGCGTTGGGCCGCGGCGTTTCTTCATTTTTCTGTCACGCGAAAGCGAAACTGCCTCGTAAACACTGGACTTCAATTTTTGTTGAAAATATCGCGTTTACGATCCTCCACTGTTGAGTTATGCGTGTGCCTTTTGAGTCGACTTGTGCACCATCAGTTCCTTCAAGTTTCCCTTTGTGCGCACAGTATTTAATTACTAAATTTATCTATCATCCTTTTGTCATTGCTCTTATCAGACGAGATCACGGAATTTCCGGTCCTTAGCCCTTGACTTGGCGGCATATAGAATTCACAGGCACTATCGCAATTTTAACGTTTAAAACTTTACTTTATAAAAGCCTCAGGAAACGATTTCGAAGAGGAATCCATATTCTCGAGTCGAGCAAAAACACTGCTGTACTTGCAATATGAGAAAGCGCAAATCTCGATTTTATCTGTTTCGCAAACAAAGGAGTTAATCACCGGCACCGGAAATCGCGACTAAGTATTGCTCGCGTCTCCCCTAGGCTTGTTTTCCAATTTGCCCTGGACGCTGCTAATCACTTCTTGCGTAAAAACCCACAAAACCTGCGAAGTGGAACTATGGTGGCTACTGTTGCATGCAGATATTCTCCGTCGGCAAAACGTAGTCATGCTAACCCGTGAGTATCATTTAGCACTGGCACAAGTCAACCTTACAGGCACACGCACAAAAAGTCAGTCGAAAAACTGATTAAAATAATTTGTACGATCGAGTGAAAGCTCCATTAACCAGTAGTGTTTACACTGTTCCCTGCGTAGTAATAGTCCGTCTCTCACCCCTCCCTCAGTAACACCGTGCCTCCCACCCCTCCCTCAGAGCTGATAGACTGCATCTCTGAGTACTAATAATGTGCTCCCCCCTTATAAAAAATCCAAAAATGGTCCAAAAATGCTTCAAAAATAGTCCAGTCTATATTTTACCCTAAGCCCGAGAAAAGGCCTATTGTTGCGTTACACAGCGTTACTATTGTATACTCAATTGTGTTGTAAATCTACTTTCCAAAGTAAAAGCAAATTAGCTAGTCGCGAGTGTTGTATGGTAAATCTACTTTCTGGATCATTGAACGAAGGACAGTTGAATTGGAACAATGTCATTTCATCACTGAAAAACTCTATATTACACACGGCGACACGCCGGGTAAGCCGGAAAGCATAAGGCAGTCGATCGTTAAAAGGTGTTGATAGGCTTCTGCGACTCCTGCCATTCGCTTGCGCTTTTAAATCTTCTGACCTGAAAACTTAGCTGTTATAAAGATAGCTTTTAATGACTTTCCTTTGCGATGTGATGATAAGGGTTAGTTTCCTGTCATTTCCCTGTCTGTATGTTCTTGAGGTTTGGCAAAGCCGGATGAGATCGTGTTACAAAAGGTAATATTTTCATACTGTCTCTCCCACAGAAGATAACTTCAGAGATACTGTTTTCATAACCTTATTCTGAGTATTCTCTATTCTTTTAAGCATATTTGAAAATCTGCACGTTTTTTATTAAACGTTAAGCGTGACGAATTTTGGCTTCTCCTTTCGCGAATTCCATATTTACACCTTAAGTACATGACATGAAAAATAGTTCGTGTACTAGAAGGTCGCTATCTCTGTAATTCGTTTGCATGTCAAGCGTCGATTCCCTGTTAAATAACTCGCGAATTTGATATTGTTCACCCAGCCATCGGCTGTGAGTGTGACTGCTGCCAAATGAATAGATTAGTGGGCAAGGCTGCAGTTTCGATTCTTTCTGAATCTCTTCAGTTGCCTCCCAGCAACGAATTTGTCACGGAGGAGTAACAGGAGTCGCGCAGGCCTGAAAACACTTTTTAACTTTCGAAGGAACTGCAACAGAAAGTGAATCCTCGTTACATTCCACGATTATTCACGCTATCTTGCTGCCACCAAAGATGCTCACTCGACCGCGACAGGATGTAAATGACTTTTTTCACTTTTCGTTTTACGATCATGATGCAACGCAATCAGAGTGCGCACACCGCCTGGATCAGAAAGGTCGGACAGCTAATAAAAACAAACTTGATTATTGCCCTGACGCCGTTACATAAAACAATTGTTCGCTGTTAGCCACTCTACAGGGTTGCCGTCGAACGTGATTTAACAGAAGCTATCAATTTATGATAATCTACTTTCGCTTTCAAGATTGGGTGTCTAATGGGCTTTTGTTGTGGAACACTATAGTACATCGCTTTTTTACTAAAATTTTACAAAGTTACCACTGCCTTTCCTAAAGAGAACTTTAGGTGCCAGAAGAAGCGTTATCGAGCAATATTAAATGTGTTTTAACGAAAGTTAATGTGAGTTTAAATAATACGTTTAATCCGGCAGCAACATGTACGTTTATCTTCATCAGTATTTACTCAACTTGAACGTGTTGTATCCAGATAAAAAATGCAAATAATTTACCTATTTCCGGACCAAGGAGGAGGAATGGTTATAGACTTAAAGCTACTGAAATTTCAAAAGGCAAGATCAACCACCTTTGGCAGAAAAGCCTTCGCCTTAGAGAACAAAACAGAAAATTCAAATAGCAAACTCACTCTGAGTGTTCATGACTCTGACTCAGCTGCATAAAACAAGTCTTCACATTTTGCCACTTCGAGGAGTGATTATTTACTTTCGCTTTCACGTCTGATGTCTAACGAGCTATTGTTTAGGAAATATAGAAAAGGTTTGCACTAAGTCCCCACTCCATTTCTCAAAGATAGCCCAGCTTGCCCAAAAATCCGCGATTAAGAGCAATGAAATGCGTTCGAAAAGATAACTGAGTAAAATACTTCCGCTTCTTACCCGTCGCCTTTAGTAAAGCTCTGTATATCTTGGCGTAACCAATTCCAGCGTTGTCTTCGTTGATCGAGAGTCGAGATTCATGCGCATGAACCACGAAAAAGGCCATATCCATCTCTAAGGTTGGAATTTTTTCTATCATTTCAGACATTTCGGGGAGTCTGAACGAGTGCTTCTCAACATGGATGCTGAATTGGTCAAGCAATTTCTCGACAGGCTCTAGCTTGTACGTATTATCACAGTTAAAAAGGTGAACTCGCTTTCTCAATTGCGACATCTTCTATCTATGGTTTTTTTTGTCGCTTTGAACGTAGTAGTTCTATAGTCGTTGAAGAATAAGTCTGAATTTTCAAAATCGCCTAGAGAGGAAGACGACTGCTTGCGCAATGTTTCCGAGAAAGCCAGTCACTTATCTGATCGAGATGAGTCACGCAATCCCCACACAATATATACTGATTGGAACACTAGAAACCCATGATGGGTCCTAAAAAATTTATTCTCTCACAGAAATACAGCTGTTTCCGACAATCGATAAAACCGGACCTTATAACACAAAAAACTTTCGCTTTTAAGTCTACAAACAGTATGTCTCGTAGCTATAAGCTTTCATTGCTGCTCAGTAAGGTGAGAGAATTACTGCAATTTTTTGGTTATTAAGTTATAGGCAAAGAAATTGTAGTGCCTCGTGCACGAGAAATGGTATCTAACTTATAAAATAAAACCGTTCTTGAATCCTTGAGTAGCAATGTACTACACCGCAAGCACTTACAGAGGAAGTTGAAATAACCACGATGAAAGTTTTTATAATAATATGAATCAAGCTAAATACCCTTAACATCGTACTTGTGCGAAATGACATCTAATAAAGATTGATTTCGATAACCATTTCAAAAGGAAAGTTCATGAAAATAAGTTATATAACGTTGTGATGAAATAATGTCATCATAACTGATATTAGATTGATTTTTGTATATGTAAACTTCACAACAAATTAAATAAGACAAATTGATTGCTGAAAGCTAAAGTTATTTCTTGAGATATATAAGTTCTTCCTGAAAGCTGTTAGAAGGCGGCTAACTGTCTTCAGTTCTGCCTTCAAAACAGACAGTGATTGACGTAATCATTACTCAATGACTTAGCATCAGTGATTTAAACATGGAAGACCTAGATCTTCCAAGACTATTCTTATCACTTTTTTAAGATCAATTCCACTTTTTATTACACATCGAAAATGTTCCGAGCCATTTGAAATAATGTACAGATCACCATTAGGTTTTTTATCTTTAGCTCTGAAATCATCGATAATGTGTTGCGGAATGCACGCGTTTCCATACTTAAACTGTACAGCAACATCTTCAAAAGACACCTCTCCGTTGCGAACACGAGTTTTCAATACGAGTTGTTCATCAGCAGCAAGCTGTATTTCCCCGTCCAACGAAAGTTCTTTTAAATTTGGGTCAGTATAACACTCAATTTCGCCATCACTGCGCTTAATGACTATCATTCCAATCAAAGGAGTGTTGCGGAGTTTTTTGAGCAGCCTCTCTTGTATGTCATCGGGAACTTTAAACTCGGGGTCCCATATTTGAAGGTCGCCTATTTGATCAGGTACCTTTCCATAACGAGCGAAACCTCTCAGTAAAACAGTGGGAGGAGATTTAACTGAGAATTGTGTCGCCCACACCAGCTGTTGGGTATTTTCAAAATGGATACTTTTTTCTTCTGGAAAATTCCTTTGTGAATAATCTAGATCTCCTTGTGCGTCTCTCTGATTACTAAAAGAAGGATCCGACGACTCCCTGCCTCTGCTGCGCTCAGAGCTAAAGTCACCACCACGGTGTGAATCAGTCTGCCTTTCTTCAACCGTTGTCAATTCAGAAGTGGCTTCATCATTACGAGGAGGACTTTTGGGTTTCTGCGGATTTTTCAATTCGGGAGATTTTGCTTGAGATGGAAGTACTGGTATTGGTGGTTGGTTTGTAGATGGCGACTGATGATGGAACATTTGTCCTTTCTTGTTTGGATCAAAGTGATGCAGCAGAGCTTCTTCGTGAATTGCTCGATGTTGTTTGTTCCAGGAAAAGATGAAGCTCTTTCTTCCATCAAGATACTCTATGCTGAATTGTGAGGAAACTTTTCTCTTCGCCCAACGTGAAATAACCTCTCGATTTTCTTCGTCGTCGCTCTCGTAATTGACATCTCCTCCGATAACGATGACGACATCTCCTCCTGTAGACAAAGGAAATTCAAATGTAAAGAAGCGTAACAATATTATCCTGTGAAATGTAATTTCCAATATTTTGTTGCTGATTATTGGCCTTCCAGACCTCTTCGTCACTATTTAAAATTTCATCCTTTTTTTTTTTTTTGCAACCGTGGCATTAACGCTATTAATACATAACATATCTACCAGAGGGTAAGAAAATGCAACATATAATGGAGAGAAAAACATTTTCTCTTTGTTCAAAAAAAAAAGAATCTAATATTAGGTTCGCCCTCTGTTACGTAAACAATTAAAAAAAATAATCTTAGCTATTTTACTGTCCCTTAAAATCGAGCAATAAAACGGCAAGGGAGTTTCAGGTGGCTTAAGAGAGGCATTTTGAATCTATTGTCGGTTGAAAGGATAACTGCTGACTAGAGGCTTGCTTTGTCAGAGTTGAATTCTTTCTCCAATCTATTTAAGTTTCTTGAAGATACCCTGACAGCTTTGGAAGACTCAATTATTATTCAATGAATTGATCCTTGGAATAACATTTATCATTGCAGGCCAATAACTTTAATATTCCTTAGGCCATAATACATAAAAGTCCTTAAGCAACAATACATAAAGCATCAGAACTTTTAAGCATAGATCAATCTCTATTTCCAATACTGCTCGTTTTTCCCTGAAATTTAATGTTAGTTTAAATCTTTTGTTTAATCCGGCAACAACATGTAAGTTTATCTTTATCAATAATTACTCAACTTGAACGAGTTGTATCCAGATAAAAAATGCAAATAATTTGCCGTGTTTCCGAACCGAGGAGGAGGAATGGTTTTAGACTTTAAGCGACTGAAATTTCAAAAGGCAAGATCAACCCCCTTTAGCCAAAAAGCCTTCGCCTTAAGAAACGAAACAGAAGCTTCAGACAGCAAACTCACTCCGAGTATTTAAGACTAACGCAGCTGCATAAAACAAGTCTTCGCATTTTGCCACTAAGGGGAACAACCGTCGACCTCAATCTATGCTTATTTACTTTCGCTTTCACGTCTAATTAGCTTTTGTTTAGGAGGTTTCATGTCTAATGAGCTATTGTTTGGGAAATATAGAAAAGGTTTGCGCTAAGTCGCCACTACCATTCTCGAAGATAGCCCAGCTTGCCCAAAATGCGTGATTAAGAGCAATGAAATGCGTTCGAAAAAATTACTGTGACTAAAATACTTCCGCTTCTTACCCGTCGCTTGTAGTAAAGCTCTGTATATCTTGGCGTAACCAATTCCAGCGTTGTCTTCGTTGATCGAGAGTCGAGATTCACTCGCATGAACCACGAAGAAGGCCATATCCATCTCTTGGGTTCGGATTTTGTCGACCATTTCAGACATTTGATCAAGTCTGAATGAATGCTTCTCTACAGGCTCAACATGGATGCTTAATTTCTCCGACAATTTCTTCTTCGTTTCCTCGAGCAATTTCTCAACGGGCTCTAGCTCGTATGTGTTGTCACAGTTAAAAATATGAACTCGCTTTTTCGACTGCAACATCGTCTCTGTGTAGAACACAACTACTGGTGAAACTCTGGCAGATTTCATATGAATGTCCAAATTCGAAGTGAAGAATGGAACTGCGAAATATTTCCGAGAAAGCCTGTCACACAAATCCCCCCCAAAAAGTCACGCAACAATGCAGTCTCATAACGGGTCGTAACACATTACTTGTCGCAGATGATAATAAAAGACAGTCGAAAACTACATGAGGATGCTGGTAGTGATTGGAAGATTGAAGAATTATTAGGAGATCGTAAGCTTAAAAATACCATAAAAAAGAAAAGGTATGCTACCAGTTCAGTAAGCATACACAACTTTATTGATGAACTCAACACATAACAAACTACAGGGCAATGTAAAATTTCATTCAAAAGTAAGTCAAAATTACACACCATGAAAAGTTCCCAGGTTTACTTAAATGTACCAGGTGAAACAGTGAAATAAGCTGTGGTACACTTAAAAAGTTTCACCCTTTTTATTTTTCATATATTTTTGTAGTAAAGTTTGTTTGACGCAAATTTTATGCTTTTGTAGTAATAATTTTTCAAAATTTGAAAGTGGGAATTAAATTGATAAAAAAAATTTTGTAATGTAATGTAAGCACTTGGGGTGTCTGGAGGTCAGGGACCTCCCTTCCTTTCTCCTAGATCCGCCATTGATGAATAAAGGAACAATGTAATGTGGGCTAAGTAACACAAATGGTTAGGTACCTGTTTAGTTTTAAATAAGTTCACTTGTTTGTCTGGTTCACTGCAGTGGCGGATCTAGGGGAGGGGCCCGGAGGCCCCTCCCCCCCTCCCCTTATTGGCGATAATTTTGAGGCCTGAAGGGCAGGAAAATTTTTTAATGCCCCACCTTAATTTTAAGGCCTGGAGGGAGGGAAAATTCTTCAGGCCCCCAGCTTAGAATGAGGTCAGGATCTGACACTGCACTGTATATGTTTATTTCTAAGTTGCAATATAATACTCTTTAAGCAGTTTAATGGGATATCAGATAATGATTTCTGACACTCTGTTGTTTTGACGAAGCTGCTTATAGGAAGATTAAAGAAGTCAAATTGGGAATGTTTTTATGCTGCATTGATTGCATGATCACCTGAGCATATAACTAGTTTTGCAAACGCTTGAACGAGTGGTTATGATGCATTTGTTACAAATTACAGTTTTGCAATAGGTTGTAATTCACTGATGATCATAGATCTACTGTAAAAGTAAATATTATTATTGAGGCAAGAACTGTGAAATTACTTGGGTTGTTTTGTCTGCTAGAATTTTTCTATCACCTGCTCGCAACACGATCTTCTTTAAATCTTGTAGTGAGATGTCAGATAATGACAAGTTGACAAAATAATTTTGTATTGCACACACTTGAAAGAGTAGTTATGTTGCAATTGGTACATGTTACAGTTTCTTCTCCTAGTAATGCTCACGTTTCATACTAAGCAACTCGCACATCATTTGATATGGACACCGATGCAGCGGCCTTCTATTGTGTCGTCTGTTATTTCTGGGCTAATCAAATCGATGCAGGGTAGATCATCAATTTCTTTAAGGTCAGTGGCTTCAGTAGTATTTAAATACTTGACATCATCAAAAAACCCAACTTTTAATGTTTCAAATGGTATGTTTTCCCTGCATGAACTTTGTCCACAAGACCGGTTTTACTGAGTTAGTTTCATCAGCTATAAGACAATAAGTTTTACATTTGGCTTTCTCACATCCTTTATGAGAACTTGTTTATTCTCCTGCTTTTTGAGGACCTTGGCCTTGATATCTAAAGTTTCATACAAATCTTTTCCAAGTGCTTCAGTATGGTGCATAACTGGTTGCTGAAGGCTTCACTGAAAAGAATATGAGAGAGAAGTTGGACAGTCATTTTTGCATACTTTGGAAAAGTATATTATTCTTCTTGTGTGTGGAACCTTTTGATGGTGTAGGTTTTACTCCACTGATCTTTACTGGTAACTTATTTAGGTATGCCTGTTTTGTTCGCTTTTGAGGTGAATAAGACAGTACGCACTACTTCTTCTAGATCTTTTCCTGTTTGAATGCGACAATTTAAATAGTTGGTTGTGAAATTTTTTGCTGTTTATACCTCTGTTAACAAGTGCACATGTCCCTCAATAGATTCCTCTAAGAAAAAAATTTGGAAAACAAGTAGTAATTTTCTGCTCATTGAGTTTTGTAGAAGATCTTGTATTAACACTGATCTATTCAGGAACCACTTCTTATTAAGCGCCAGTTAACAAATTCCTGAAATAATTGTCATAGTGCTATTGTAAATAAAAGTGATAAAAAATGGCCAGTTCTTTATTAATAAGTGTCGACAACCACTATTTAGCTGTCCTGATGAGCATTGCTCTATTGTTTTTACTCCTCTTTAGCAGCCAGCAAGATTGTAATTTGAAAAGTTTGGCTATCATTTTTTTTCTTAACAAACTTCGATATGAGCCTAAAATTAGAAGCGATGAGTGATAAAATAATTCAAAGACAAGTTTTTTTTAAATAACCTGACCTTTCTAAATGGGTTATTTTATTTTTCTTTCTGAAAAATTCCTTTCGAGGAGGGTCAAAAGGGTTATTAGCCGCTGGCACAAGCAGTGATTGCAGTTGTTGTGTAGATGAGAATGTGTGTAAAGTCATGTGAACTGGAAATAAAATGTTCAAAAGACAATTGTCCTTCTGTCTGAAATCTGTTTGATGGCATATATATGGATTTTTCAATAATGTCTGTGTATGCAATCAATTGCATTAGTTTTCAATGTTTCATGATTTTGGAATATCATGGAGCGAGGAGAGGTCTTTTGAGCCTCCTTGCACCAGGTATATTTCCTTGAGCTATCAACATCGGTTACATGGACACTTGTAATTTCTTTTATGGTGGTTGCTTAATAGGGTTAATTACTGTATGTGCATGTTAACTGCATACAGGTTTTTTTTTTTTACCTGTCTCTTTACTTTTGCTAGTCTTTGTTGTTGTTGAGGAACCTTTACTAAAAAAAAAAAGAAAAATAACAGATAATTAAACTTTGAGTGCAATTGAATGTACTTGTAATTGATAGTGATATAATTAGCTGTAATGGCAATAAGTATTTAAAGATTGATAGGGTCTTACTAGGATACAAAAACTTACCTTGAGTTTGATGTCATGTAACATGACAAAAGTAACACAATTGAGAGATTTTTTATATTTGCACTAAAATACAGTACTTTGTGATGCAAATTATTTTCTTTATGTATGTGCAATGTTTATGGCCACGCACATCTTTTCCGTTAGTTAAACACAAAAATTACTTTAAGGTAAGCTCATGATTAAAAAAAAATAAAGTTATGCTAACTTATGTTCATATGGGTGTTGTACCAATGTATGGAGACATTAGATAAATGGAATGCAATGCATGCAGGAGCGATGACATTACAAAATATTGTTTCAAGGTTTCAGTTAAATATACTGTATCCTCATGTATTTGCCACTGTTGTTCAGCAATAATGTTTTATTTATTAACTGATTATGAGGAGCCCTGTTGGCTTGGATTTTATTTTATTTGAATTTTTTGATTTCCTGGTATATATGTTGTGGCTGACAAACATTACAAAATATTGTAATACGAGACAAGATACAAGGTTTTTATTTTATTCTAAAAGTAAAATTGTACAACAGACCTTCAAAGTAGAAAACAATTTTGCAAACTTTACAGCTGTTCTTATGGGAGGGTGACTTGCACTTTTCATTTGCGTATAAAGAAGGACTTGTATTTTACGCCAAAAATAAAAAGAAGTAATGTTTTTAAGGAGATCCAGTGATTGGGAAATTTAAGAAATTAAGTTAAGAAAGGAAACTCGGTTTGTACTTCTCACTATTAACAAGTCTTGTTAAAATATATTTTTAGATCAGAGTTTCAAATAAAGCAAATTGAAGAAGTCATTTAAAAGGTGTTTTTTCTCAAAGGGAACAGTGACCACCTCTGTGTGCGGATGATCCATAAATATTGGAACTCTTACAAAAATGTTTTGCAAGAATAAAAACAGCAAAACAAATAGCAGCAATCAGTCACGAAAAAAAAACAGTAACAACAATTATGAAAAAAGAAAGATTAATTTGGTGTTGAATTTGTTTGTCAAAGGCATTAAATTTCTATTAAAAATAATCTGAAAAAAATGTCTGTGACACTGTGTTTGAGGCAACTGAACTTAACTTTTCCAGGGTTCTCTAACACAGGCAACCAGTAATTTAGATTAGGGAAGTAACCTATATTCACATCGAACAAAGTTCGTTAAGTGTAGATAATCAATGTAATTATTGGTACACATGTGGAAGTTGTGTACCAACGAAGAGCTGATGAATGTTTGATGATTTTGGTACGTCTGTGAACATGAGACATTTTGCATCAAAATAAAAACTATTATGATCATGGAATTCAAAAGTCCCTTGAGGTTAGAAAGCAAATCTGTGATATGAGTACATTAGATTAATTGGCAATTTGCATCAAAAACTTAGTTGGAATACTAAATTTCATGATCTTTAGGTTATAAACATATACATGAATGAATATCTCTAAGTAAATTTTGTATAGCATACCTTTTATTAAGCCAAAGTTTCATATAAGCCTCTAAAATTACTCCTTGTCTTAAAACCTTCACATTCAAGGTAGTGAGAATTTCTTGGAATTGATTTGGACTTCAGGGTATTTAAATTGCCTCAAATTCAATTCCCAGAAATGCCCAAGAATTCCACCCTTCTTAGGTAGTTTGTATAGCTGAGAATTCCTAGGAATTCCAAGTCCTCACAAAACTGGAGTCTTCCTTTCCCAGAAATTCCCAGTAATTCCAAGCTTTTAAAATCAGAGCTTATTTGCATACTTGGGAATTTTTGAGAATTCTTAGGAATTCCTAGGAATTCCCAGAAAACTGGGAATTCAGTTCGCAAGGGCAGGTTAACAGTGTCAAGTTCTAGTCTGCTAGGATAAGGTGTTCTAGACTGGCTGGGTGCTTTTGTGTATAGATGTCTTGACAATTGGCAATAATATCTTAATATCACTTAGAGGCTTTACAAGGTTTACTCTCTCACTGGAAGGTGAGGTATTTATAAATACAACTTGCTGAGATGCCTTACGCATTGGAAGCTGTAAAACAATGTATACAGCTTCTTGGGCACTTACTTCCACAGTATTTTAAAATTTGCTTCCAATATCTCTCACTTGCTGCTTGATGGTGGAATTTGCCTTTCTTGCTTCAATCCCAGTTCACTCATACCCTTCTGAGCCTTAGAAATATAATTTTCTATGTATACAGCACACGCATACACATCTAGCACAAATTGTATATCAATATTTGCCCTTCATGCACTAAGACCTGCAGGATTGTAATTATTTATCCTTAATTTATCCGGGATTCTTTTGAGAAACACAGTTGGAGTATTAATTGACGATCTGACAGCTAATATACAATCACCTTCAGCAATACCTGAGACCACACGTAAGTTGTCAAAAGTGATGTCCACACCTTCTTAAAGGTCATTTAAATATTGCTTTCCAAGAATCCTTGTGATTTTATTTCATTCAGTGATATTTCATCTTCAAAAAGTGGGTATAGAATAACTGGTTCTCTCATGAGGAGGCCTACATTCAGTCATAGTTTTTTTTAGGACATGTATGAGAATGTTTATGAATTTGCCTATTATCTAGTTCCAATAGGTCAGCATCGTCTAATGGCTTTTCACAAGTGATTATTTTATCCAATAAATGAAGTCACTTTGCTATCACTATCTTCCCCAAATACAGGTACATTTTCTATCATCATGTGAATGTGAGGAGAACCTCTTTGTTGATATTCAACTCTATAAACATTGCTTTGAAGATATGCCTTTGGAAATTGTCACCTGATAGTCAAAATGTCCGGCACATGTAACAGAATCACTTTGGATCAACCTACACTTTTCATCCCGGTTTAAATTTTCTAGTTTGTCGTTGCTATACAGCTTCTGATCAACCAGTTGACCAAGAATTCCAAGAAAGTGAATCCATTGTGTTTCTGCTGATGAGAAACTACAAACAAAGAAGCTTTGTACAGTTACCGTATCATAGCGAATAAAACTCTTTTAGCATTTTCAAAATATGCAGGGGTCCCCTTAAAGCTTTAGGGAATTTGTACCCTTCAACATAATGTAATAGGCTCTCTAGTCCTCCATCTTTCTTTAAATCCCCAGCTTTTAAGGCCTTACTATTGGTGTGGCATTTTCTTAAAGCAACCTGTGGATTTCCTAAAAGAATTTTCATCTGCAATCTTTTGGATTTATAAAAATTTTCTCAATATTCATTGTAGCTCTACAATCTGACCTTCTCAGTTCTGATTTACAAATGTCACTATAAAAACTTTGACCAAGCGATCTTTGTGACCAGGCCTTGTTTTGTCCCGGGAATATTCCTGGATATGCTAATTCTTCAGAAAATTAATCTTTGAATTCAGTCAATGGCTTATTACCTTCTGCTGGTGCTACATTAAGAATGCACTGTCATTCATTATGATTCACAAAATCAGGTGGTGTCAGCAATGTATCAGTCACACCAGCACAAATTTCTGCTTCATCTTCACTCCATTTATCTTTATCATCTTGGGATGATTCTTCATTGTTTTGTCTATTTTTAGTTACGAATACACCCTCAGCATCACTGGTTTCAAAATCTTCAGTATAATACCTTCCTCTTCACACAGATCACTGTTGTTTAAAAGCCAAATTGCTGCTTTGATAACTCAGTATTTGGTCTGACAGTTAATGATAACGCACTACTGTGCTAATTGTAGCTTCCATTTAAAATTTACCTTAATTGTTGCGGTTTCATGAGGTAGCAGTTGTAACATACTAATAGTACTGCTCACATCTGCTGATACATTAACAATATTACCATACATATTAAGTTGCTTTCCTCTTAGTGCCTGTATAAGTTTCTGAAAAGAAATTCTGAGTGCAAGCAATCTTATTACGCACAAGGTCATTTAAATCAAAGAATAGTGGTCTACACAAAAATTGCATGCCATTAACTATAGCACATGAAGGCCTTTTTTTTTTTTACTCAAATAGATCAAACATTTTTGACGCACCCATTTAACACTGTTGAAACTTTCTTACCTCTAAGGTATTTATCTACATCAGGAATCTTTTTTCTTAGATTACTAGTATGGAGTAAACTATGTTTGTTAAAACAGCTGATCACAGCAAGTACAGATATACAATAGCTCTTGAGAAACTACGTCATGAATCTTTGAAATCAAGAACTGGATTTTTTTTCTTTGCTCGACAATTCTTCATGTATTGATTATTCTTTTCTCTTTCCTCATTAGAAATGCTTTCTTTTCTGTCCATATTCTTTCATGTAGACACTGTTCTTTCTTTTACGTTTACAATTATTTATGTCATTTTCATAAGGTGCAAGATTAACACAACAGTTATTAGTGCTAGTTTGATATGACCTTACTATGAATTCAGCTTGTAAAGCTGACACATAATGCATTTCACCAATGTGACCTAAATATACAGACCTAATATCTCTACTCTCAGTATTGATAGATTCAACTAGGGTCAAAATCTGAAACATTTCCATTTGATTCTACAATATGAATTCTTAAGTTCGGTGAATCTGCAACAGCTTGTATGACAATGTGATCAGCCCAAGTTCCTTGCATAGACATATGTGATAAGTACCTCAACCATGAGTCATCCAAATTGCTTTCAATAACTCGCCCAGGAATATTCCTCAAATACTGCACAGCCAATGCTCTAACTTCTACATGATGGTTAGGGTTCCCATATAACTGGTGTGATGCTGACTTAAAAAAGCAGTCACCTCCTCCACCTACATCAAGTGCTCTTAATCCATGTCTAGGTAGCCTTGAGTTCAATAGGAATGCAGGTGTGGTATTGCATACTAATGCTACTGAACTAATTTTGCAATCCAGAACAGGACCTAGATTTAATTCGACATCTCCAGAAAGAAAACGATTTCTTTTTGATGCATTAACTGCAAGCGACCTTGTTGTACTCTTAGCTTGGAAAAAATACTTACTGAAGAAACTAGTTTGCCTTACAATTAATAGCAATGTTGTGTAAAACAGATGAAACAGGAACTGAGTTTTTGAGAACATTTTTCACTTTCACTCTCAGTTTTCGAATTTCCGAGGAATGCATAACTTTACGTAATGATATTCTAGATCACGAAATTTCTGTGATTTTACTGCTGACTGCTTGAACGGTAAACGTGATCTGAAATGCAGATTGCTTTTCACACTTTTAACTATATATGTTGTCATTAATGAGTTTGTCATATGTGAAATTAGTGTGCATCGTCTCCCGAAGGAGGATCTTTGTCTCCCCAAGGAGGTTCTTTATCTCCTGAAGGTTATTTGTCTCACAAGGGAGATTATTGGTCTCACGAAGGACATTTTTGAAAGCATCACAATCCTTAAATCGTTTAAACAGAAAGATGGAGTAACCCCTACATGGTAACCTCCAAACAAACATGATGTATGACCATCAATTGTGCCACCAAGGATTGCAGATTGCCAAAATTCTTGACAATATTTCTACGGGCCTGTTTACATGGAGGTGGGGGACCCCAGGTAGGTGAGATAACCTGCCTAGGTGGGGTAACCCGCCTTTCCATATAATCTCTCATTTTATCTTGATCACGGGGTGATAATTTGCTATCTAAACGCGAAGATATGTACTATCAAGTTATATATTCGTTTCAACCTTTCAATCCACAATGTTAACCTACAAGTACCTTTCTTTTCCTATTGTAAAATTTAGTTTGCAGTAATTATTCATGATTATATTTATTTAAGAGAGCCTTGATGCTTAAAAAAGTATAGGGTCATGGCCAATTGTTTTTCAATAGACAACACATCAAGTCCCCTTGGACTCCTACCAGGTGGAAGAAAGGGTCGTAATTTGTCTACTACAGATATGAAAACTGCACGGTCCATTCTCAAGTTCTTCTTTCACTCTTTTTCCGGCAAAGTTATATTAAACAAGTTAAGCCACCACTGTTCTGTCCTTCTCGAATTTCTTCACATTCTACCCCGACGACGGTTAATTCTTGTTCATGTGTCGAAGTCGTGCAACAGCGGTGTTGCCTGAACAGTTAATTGCCTTTGGCGGAGGCTTTGCCATAACTTTCCGGCAAAATTCTATTAAACAAGTTAAGCCACCACTGTTCTGTCCTTCTCGAATATCTTCACATTCTACCTCGACGACGGTTAGACCTTTTTACAGATTCCGGCGCCATATTGGATTAGTAACCGCGCACACTCGATAACGAGGTTGGGGTTGACCCGGCGGTTCTTTCAAACAGCTGATCTGCTGACATTTCACGATCTAATGCACTTTTCAATGCGATTTCTCCCTTCAAAATAGTTCTTTAACACAACAATATGAAAATTTCGTCATTGGATGACATCCAGAAACTCGAAGCTAAGGATCTCAGGGAGATTTTTTTGAAATCTAATTTAAAATCGACGGGCTGAATTAGAGCCGACTTACTGTTGAAAGTTTATGCTTTGCTGATGTGACACGTCCTTCCATCGAGTAGTGGAGAAAATCGAGAACTTTTTTACAGATGTCCAGAACCTAGAACAAAACCAGAGCGACTTCAGATACGAAGTAACTATGGTAAAGGTTTCAGCCCTTGGATGGGCGAGCAATCTCCGTAATTTACCTGAGATGAATTTCAGTCAGCTTTACGATTACCCCGTTGTTTCACGAGAATATCGCCACATCGCGTTGAGAGGAACACATTACAGGAAGTACCACAGAAGCTGTTCAGTACGGCTTAGAAAGCGAGGCAAAGGCTTCCGCCCTCTAGGTAGAGGAGATTTGTTATTGCTGTTGTTGTTGATGTGGTACTTGTTGTTGTACCATATCCTTCAGTTAAAGTTGTTCCCATTTTGTTCACCAAGGTGTCTTTTAGTTTGCCATTTGTACATTTTATCTTATGGGAAACTATACAATAGAGCCTGTAGAACTACTTGATTATAACCATTATTTCTATCACCCATGAGGAAAACTGTAACTAACAGATGTCATAATATTTTCATAGGACAACCTATGCTCGTGATACATTGAAAACCATTTCAGTTCGCGACTCATGGTAATTTATTAGGTTGCAAGACACCATTGAAAGAATCAGACCAAAATATTAGACAATTTAAAAACTCACAGAAATGATTGATTCATGTAACTTCTCCAAACACTATCCAGCAAACAGATAATGTTAATACTGAAACTTATCAGGCAGAAGTTATCTTGATCTTACATCAAATTCTCATAACTTATTTACGAGTAAATGTGTAGCAACTAGAAGGGAGAATTGAAGATCAGATCTTGGGTATTTAAGGGTTAAAGGAAGAGAACAGAAATACTTTCTCTCAGCTACTGATCTCAACAATGTTAGTCCTTTACACACATTTAAGTTTCTGTCAGTGATAAACATTCAGTGGATTGATATTCCCATTCTTAGCACTCAGATGCCTTCTGACACAAAGGTTTGCTACACTAGTTCTTACTGCATTGTGTTAACCAATGTTATGATATAATTTTGAGATGTAAAGAAGATACTTAAAAGATTGAGAAATATATCCAAATCAAGATATTTATTTTATCCTGTTATAGTTACCATAAGATTTGTTTGAAAGAGAATCTTTCAGACCATCGAAATGTATGAGAAATTATTTTTTGCGAGACTTCTATCAAACTTTTTATTATGAGGACAATTTTGGGAATAAAAAAATTTAGTGTCGTAGTTCATCTTTGTGTCGAGAACTCTTTTAGTTGGTGAAACTCACTTTTTCTTTTTTTCAATTTGAAGCATCCAATTGATTGATACATAAAGCACACAAAATATTTTTTGAGAGTTCCATGTGGCATCCATAGTGGATTACTATGCTATCACAAAAATAAAAAACAACAACTACTGATGAAAACAGCTTTTGTCACAATTACTACCAAATTTGAGTCAGTTTTCTGGGTATGCCATATTATGTGAAAACTCTGAAGATACAGTGTCTCGGTAATTTTATTAAAAGCAATTACTTTCCAAGAGTTTCTCTGCTAGGAGTGTTTTAGGCAAGCCATGTAGTAAACAGGTGAGCAGCACTGAACTTTTTGACTTGCTGCCGGAATAAAAAAAAATCTACTGAACTTCAAACAATTCAGGTACCTACGAGAAAATTTGTATTAATTTTGCAACAATAGTTACCCTCATCCATAATTCACAGAGAATAAGATAAGTATAGAACGATAAATACTTAGCAAAAATACATGCCTCCGTGCATAAACTTGAAGAAGTGAAAGCTCGTAGGCAAACTATTGGGGCTATAAAATATATTTGAACAACCAAAAGCGGCACACTGCTTTCCTTTCTTCTTGGGAGAAAAATTAGCTTTATCGAGATTTCGGCTACGACCATCCATTTTCCTTAAAAATCGAACAGTTTTACTGCCCACGTACGAATTTCACCAAAAACGCTCACATATATTTCACGCGAGTCAACCCCAGCCTCGTTCTCACGTTTGCGCGGTTGCATTTCCAATATGGCGCTGGCAACTGTAAAAAGGTATATTCTTGTTCATGTGTCGAAGTCGTGCAACAGCGGTGTTGCCTGAACAGTTAATTGTCTTTGGCGGAGGCTTTGCCGTAACTTTCCGGCAAAATTCTATTAAACAAGTTAAGCCACCACTGTTCTGTCCTCCTCGAATTCCTCCACATTCTACCTCGACGACGGTTAATTCTTGTACATGTGTCGAAGTCGTGCAACAGCGGCGTTGCCTGAAAAGTTAATTGCCTTTGGCGAAGGCTTTGCATCATTCAAAGGTGACAATAAAAACCACAGGATTGAAAGAGGCAGCAAGAGCACTTAGTGAAAAGAAAAGTGCATTGACACCCAAGATGCGTCGTTTGCCCGCCATTTTGTGTGTTTACATGCTTTGCGACAATGCAACAACCTCTCGTAATTCACACCGGTATCCTGGGGTTCTAAGATTACACATAAACGCGAGCTATTTTTCGACCACGATTAGGTGGGTTAGCTTACCTACATGTGGTCCCCCACCTCCATGTAAACAGGCCCTAAAATGCGTCACTCGATAGTTATCAAAGAAGCATCTTCGTCCGTTGACCGCCTCTCGTTCAAAAACATCAAACGATCTAACAGTGCGTAAACTATCGAATACCTCTTTACAAACATATGATTTACGCATTCCTCGAAAGCTGTACGCGATTGTGTGGGTGAAATAGAGAGAAAACATCATCTCCTACTTACCGACTAGACGTCGTCACCAAATACGCAGATAAATTGTCTTCGATGACAACGGAAAAATCACGGAGCGTTTGCAGACATTTATCGAAGGCCATATTTGGAAGATAAAACGTACCTTAGAGACCCGTCCAACTCGAGTTCCATCGAAATGTAATAGACCATAAAGGATACGGATACGGCATCCTCAAAAACGGACTTGAACATGAAAAACAACTGAAGAGTCAGTAAGTAGTTCTAGGTATATAAATATTTCCTTTCATACCTACAATTTTGCAGTACTGCTCGGTGAGGTCAGATTTTTACCGCAAACGTACAAAAATAATTATTTTTAATTACATTACTGTTTATTTGAGAAGGCTTATGATTATCAAATAACATCATTCACCGGAAGTATTTCCGGTGAATGATGTTATTTGATGTTATTTACTGCTTTTTAACTGTAAAATAATGTGAACAAGAGGACTGATACATAAAAAAAATTTTGGGGGTTGACGTTAGCGGGCTTTGCTGACAACTGAAGGTGAAAGTCTTGCATTTTTGACGGTATACACCTTATCTTATTGAGACCCCCGCTCGACAACTAACGCAGAGGCGGCTAACAAGGAAATCTGTTGGCATCCAACGCAGCGTAGGGGCTGGTCAAATTTATCTGACCTTTAAGACTCTTCAAAATGTATCGAGGTGTTGGCTAACCTGAGAGAGACTGTGAGAAGAAATTTGGAGATTTTATTTTTAATTTCATATTTCAAAATTACTCGGGGGGAAACTTAACCTACACAAGGGTTGCAGCAATCAGGTCCCAGACAGTCTATAGTGAGTGTAAGCTCACAACTCTTCTGTTCCTTGATCTCAGGTGTTACAAATTTATAAATTCCAGAAGGTAAATACATGTTTATGCTATGTTACATCTACAGGTATGAACATTACAATAAATGTGAAAATCAGATTTGTCGGTAACAGCTACAGTCGAATTTCGGCTGTCACTCATTCCAGGGCAGCAATTTAATTTCAGCACTGACTTATCTACAAAAATATATATTTAAGTCCTTAAATCGTCTTCGAAAAAGAGATATAGTTATTCGGTTGTTCCCGAAAGACGACTAAAAGGAACGTTATGAAAAAAAAAATTCGCTCTCGGTTTCTAAACACCATTCTTAAATCCTCGGGGTGGCAAGTAGGCCACGGCAAGTAGTTGTTGAGGAAGTCTAAACAACCATATTCATAAGCACGCCTACATACAAACAATTCTGAGAGCAAAGCAGGATGCTTTGAAACCATTTATGTGAGAAATTGCATCCGAATAGGCTGATTGATTACGATGAGCATTTCAAATCTCAAATCTCAAATCTCAAAAACAGAAATAATGTTTAAAAAATTCTATACCATTTATTCGTCGACAGTGGTTGAAAATCTTCCTTTGCCATTCTTGCTAATTTTTTTAAATTATTTGGACTTTTCACTACACATCGAAAATTGTCTGAGTTATCTGAAATAATGTACAGGTCACCATTAGGCTTTTTATGCTGAGCTTTAAAACCATTGATAATGTGTTGAGGGATACATTTGTTTCCATACTTAAACTGTACATCAGCCTCTTCAAAAGACACCTCTCCGTTGCAAACACGAGTTTTTAATATCAGTTGTTCATCGGCAGCAAGCTGTACTTCCCCGTCCAACGAAAATTCTTTTAACTTTGGATCAGTGAAACACTCAATTGTGCCATCACTGTGCTTAATGACTAACACTCCAATCAAAGGTGTGTTGCGGAGGTTTTCAAGCAGCGTCTCTTGTATGTGAGCGGGAATTTTAAATTTGGGATCCCATATTTGAAGGTCACCTATCTGATACCCATCAGGTATCTTTCTATAACGAGCGAAACCTCTCAGTAAAACAACGGGAGGGGATTTAACTTAGAATTGTGACAACCATACCAGCTGCGGGGGATTTTGAGCGACTTTTTCATGGATGCTTTTCCTTTCTGAAGAATATCTTTTTAGAGACACTTCTCTTGACGTATGTGCAGCGTTTGCCTCCATTTCTAGAGAGCCTCTTGACCGGACCATCTGTTTATTTGTTATGGATGCTGTCACTGGAGGCGTCAATAGTTCGACCATGATATCTTCATTGACGGCCAGCTCTCCATTGTTCACCTCCATAACAAACGTCTTTTCTATTCTGCTGATTCGTGCGATGAAATCGTTGTATCTACTGTCGCCTTTCACGGATGAATTAGAAGGGTTGCGGTGGCAAATCAAGAGGATGACCCTCAGGGCTGTGAAAAAAAGAGAGTGAGAAAGGATTTAAGTTCGCATTTCAATCGCTACGGTATATTTCACTTTAGTTTAGAGAATGTTAAAAGCTCATTCTTTCCCGCCAATTTAGTTAAAAACTGATTCAATACCAAACGTACTGCTTTGTAAAGAATTTAGTTTTAGTGGTTCGAATATGCATGAAAAGCACTGGCAAGCCGCGTAGACAGCTGACACAGGATTCGTATTAGTCGTGTTTCGAAGAATTTCTTCAAATTCTATAGTCTATAGAAAGGGCTCAGAGCTTTTAAATTTTTGTTTCCACAGCATTTTTGATACTGAAAAGCTCACCAAATAAATTGAGGTGATCTGGCTTGACGACAAAACGATTGCAGCAGGAGAAAGTAGGAAAATAATAAAGCAAGAGGTTTTAAGTATTTGATGATATAACGAGTGTGACAAAGGACTACACATAATCACTGCAGGCACTTAGATAACATACCAACTTTATCCTTTATATTTTCTACAAGTCGTTGACATTCCATCCATCTTTGTTTGTCATAAGAATCACTCGTTGTAGAACCGTCCATGACCAGCACAGAGAATATGAAGTGATTGTCCCTCAGAAATACTTCGACTTTCGTACTTTGAAGGTTGTCAACAAAAGGTTCTTCTGAGAAGTGAAGGCTGGGACGAAGTTTGTTAAAAACTTTTTTCGCATCTTCTAAGGACTCACGTGACACATTACAGCCAAGAATTGCAAAATCTAAGGAGCGGACCACATATTTTAACAGTTTCTTAACTATGCGAAACGGTCATTACGTTGGACACGAACTGAGCAAACAGAATTTCATTGGTCAATGACTTACAGAAAACGTCACACTTTAGCTAAGCACTAGTATAGTTTGCATCTATCTACGATGGCGAGAATAGTTGTTCTATGTGAATTTTAAAAAACGAGTGTTGCACGATTGTGAGACTTAAGTTATTTGATTAATAGCATCGTGTAATCTTAAGTATATTTCTCTCGTAAATGTGTTAACTACAGATGTGTTTTTCGTGATCTGTGCCTGAAATGAAAAAATCTCCCCCTGTACACGGTTAATGACGTTAGTTCTAACCTTTGATTCCTCCAGAAACTGACGGCAGGGTTTCTCCAGCATAATAACTCTGATTATTGAGTGAAGGTTCTACCAACCTCCTGTGTCTGCCACCGCACTCAGTACTGTTGACGCCAATACCGTAGGTACCAGTCTGCCTTCCTTTTACCGCTTCTATCGCTGAGGTGGCTTCATCGCGACGCGAGGAACTTTTGAGTGTGCATGTAGGGGACTTTTGGGTTTTTGGTCCCTGCGGGATTCCTAACTCAGTTAATGTTGCTCGCAATTCAGGTCCAGGTTTTGATTCTTGGTGTGGAAATTGCCGCTGATAATGGAACTTTTGTCCTTTCTTGTTTGGGTCAAAGTGATGCCGCAGAGCTTGTTCGTGAATCACTCGATGTTGTTTGTTCCAAGAAAATATGAAGCTCTTTCTACCATCAAGACACTCCTCGCCGAACTGTGAGGAAACCTTCCTCTTCCCCCCAACGTGAAATAACTTCTCGGTTCTCTTCGTCATCACCTTTGTAGTTGTCATCTCCCCCGATAACGATGATGACATCTCCTCCTTAGGATAAAGCAGATTTTAATGTAACTAAGATCTGATAGATAATTGCAGAGGCTCCCAGCAATACTGGATATAATGCAGGCAGCCGAGGACGTAGTAATTATCTATTAAATATCAAATGCGCTTTCCAATGTTTTCCTGTTAGTTAGCAGGTCTGTAGCCGTTTTTGTCAGACAAACTAGTTGCTGACCATCCTAAAAACATATCCGTACGATAGTTGTTCCGGTGTCAAACGTACCCAACCGAAATTCCAGTGACCATGTCGTGTAACATGTCAGTAACTGCCTATGGTGTTATTCTAAAAAAACAACTAAACATTCATGATTATTTGGAGATGTAGAAATTTCTCTCCTCGTGTTTAACTCAACATCTTACACGTGAGGGCAGCGAACAAGTTAGATATCGAGTTGAACACGAGAAGACAAATACCGTATCTGCGCGTGCTTATGCATTATTCTCCATTGAGTTGGGTAAAGAAAAGTGATCAGAAAAATAAAAACTAGAAAGATCTGAACACTGTCTAAATTTCGTCAACGGGTTTAAAGAAGAATACTGTACAAGAAAAATATGTTTTAATTATCCTTGACTTCCAGCTTTAATTGTGGCGACATTCACAGTACCAGTACAAGAGTACGTAATGTAATAAGGAGCATTCAGCAGTCACCTACCCTGGCCTCTAATTGTTTGGGTACCGCGATATCCGAATAACGCCTAATCCGAATGCTCTTAGCAAACCCTTAGGCTGGAATTCATTGTCCTCCAGGAATGACGAACACGTGCATAAAGTAACATTATCGCCCGTGGTGCTAGATCAGGGTGTCTGGAGCGAGTTTTCAGCGTTTTGCTTCCAGTAAATTCATTCGGTTGGCGTTAATCACAGACGTATCTTAGAAAGGACTATGTAGAGGGCGAGGCAGATGAATTAAACAATGGCTAAATTGACCTAAATCAGCCCAAAAAATTCACACGATACAAAAGAACAACTATTTGAGGGAGTTTAATTTGTTCTTATTCAAGAATAGTCCAGAACTTTTTAAAGTTGAGAAAGCGATAGTTAATTGCCATCCGAATCCTTATATTTCACTCCTTGCGCAACGTGAACATATTTGCATATTAAAATATGCAAATACCTTGCAGAGAGCTTGAGGTTCTTGTGGTTAAACGGCAGGGTAGATTAAAAAATCACATATTTCTCTTTTAAGGTTATCTTCTTTATACCCGAAAACGAAATCTCGAACAGTGTTAAGGTGTTTTTAGTTTTAATTTTATTTCTTTAACGTTTTTTTGACAAAAAGTTAATGGTTCCGCAGGTTCTGCTGGTTCAATTACACTGTGTACTCACATATTTCAAGTGAAATTAATGATCTGCATCATATTTTCCTTTAAAGGTCTGATAACACCCTTCTCATGCTTGATGTATCGTTTTATTTTTTTAGAATATAATGCCTTTGAGGTGCTTAACTGAGCTGACCAGCATAAAAAGAGGGGAGCAACCGAATTACTTATGATGGAGGTAATGAACATTGAAGGAAGCTGCTATGAAGATGATGAGGATGGAAACGAGAGAGAGAGAGAGAGAGAGAGAGAGAGAGACAGAGCAGGCAAATAAAAAAGAATTAACAAAAAGACTTGATACGGTTTACACTAAAAAAGCTGACCACCAGAACTTAAGAGAGAATCCTGCCCAGGGTTGATGGGGAAACCTTCACTGAGATACTCATCCACTGAAAATATTCCAGAGTTTGCAAAAATGCAACAAAAAACTCTTATTGTTTCGGTAATTAATCAGCTTAAAAATGTACAATTTATCCTGATTATCATATTAAAAGAAAAACAACCAAAAAAAATAATAAAGCCAAACCCTATACTCACACTTTGCCTCTGGGCAAACCCAAGTAAAAAGCACTAATTGGCCAAGTTTAGAAGGAGGTTCTTTTACATGCCTGCATGAGGCTTCTTATTCAGTAAACATGTTATTTGGCAATTTTTATGGCCCATTTTAAAATGAGTAATTGTGAATTCTTCAAGTTTTCATTTGATTTACATATGATATACACAGTTGGATGCATCATTTCTATGTTTAAAACTGCATTTAGAATAATAAAACTATTTTGTATTAGCGCTTTGCTTGAAGTAATTAGGGTATGATATTATATTTAATAAGTATTATATATGTAATAAAATAGCATATAGTTAATACAATTATAAAAAATTTAGACTGATTACAAAAAATATCCTGATTTTTTAGATGATAGGTTAAACTTGCATTTTTTATTTTATCAGTTCAAATCATGTTTCTTAGTCGCTGGATTTGAGAGTACAGTATGTGAATTAATAGCTTTTTGTGTAATGTATACCACAGCTAGTTATAGTCTTTTTGTATTTTAGAGATAAAGATTCTGTTACATATAACATGACTGAGATTGTATGAATTATACACCGACGAAAGAGAAACAATTTTAAAAAAGTATGACAATTAGCAGTAATTAATAACATTTGGACATCTCTTTTTAAATTTAATTTATCCCCCGCTTCATTGTGGTTTGCTCTATCTTAGGGAAGCAATAACTGAGTTTTGTACAAAAGTATGTCATCACTGCAATTTCAAACATTTTGTAAACACTTGCATGTGTCTTTTTTCCTAACAATTTTAAGGTTGCCCGAAGTTTACGAGTTTACGAGATTTAGGAGAATTCTTAAAGTCCATTCATTGATCCGGTTATTGAGGTTTGCTTTCATGTGATCTTCAAGTGTTCATGGAATGGTTCATAAGGAGACTTTAATTGACTCTTGAAAGCTAAATCAAAGGTTAATTTCAGAACTTTCATACATCACTTAAAGATGAGTTAAATGTTTCTAATGTTAGCCTTTAAGTTACCTTTAAGGCAACATAATCGAGCTATTTTATTCTGTGTCCGGAGGTTCTGCGGTCTGCTGATCGACAGTTAAGCAACACCCCCTGCAGACCTGGAACATTATATTTGCACTCGTGGAAAAAAGCTTAGAATTCCTTCCCCTTTAAGTGAGCACTCCCACTCCTGAGAGTCGATAACTGAGGAACAAAAACGTCGGACAGAAAACTTACTTCGAGTATTACTCTGAAGCAGCCACATGAAACAGTTGGTCGATGTTTGTTACCGGCTATAGAGTAGCCGTCGAGCTTGATCAAACTAAGATATCAGTCTAAGTATATGCTAGAATATATATACTTTCGCTATCAACTACGATATCTGACGAGTCTTTATTGTGTGAGATATGTAACAGTTTAGGCAGCATATTTGACCAAATTAAAGAATCACTACCTTTCCTAAACAGAACTTTGCTCCCGAAACACGTGTAATTAAGGGGAAGTAAATGTGTTTGATACAATAAAATAAAGAAGTGAAAATACTTCTGCTCCTTACCCGTTGCTTGCAGTAAAGCTCTGTATATCTTGGCGTAACCAATGCCCGCGTTGTCTTCGTTGATCGAGAGCCGAGATTCATGCGCATGAACCACGAAAAAGGCCATATCCATCTCTAAGGTTGGAATTTTGTCCACCGTTTCAGACATTTTGGCAAGTCTGAACGAGTGCTTCTCTACATGCTCAACATGCACGAATGCTGAATTGGTCAAGGAATTTCTCGACAGGCTCCAGCTTGTACGTATTATCACAGTTGAAAACGTGAACTCGCTTTTTCAACTGCGACATCTTCTATCAATGGCTTTTCTGTCGCTTTGAACGTACAGTAGCTGTTTTATGATCCTAGAAGAATAGGTCTGAATTTTGAAAATCGACTGGAGAGGAAGACGACTGCTTGCGCAATGTTTCCGAGAAAGCCAGTCACTTAGCTGATCGAAATGAATCACGCAATCCCAACGCAATCGTGACTGATTGGAACACTAGAAACACATAATGAGTCCTAAAAAATTTATTCTCTCTCAGAAATACAGCTGCGTCCGACAACAGACAAAAACAGACACTATAACACAAAAAAATTCGCTTTTAAAAGAGTTTGTCTCGTAGCTGTAAGATTGCATTGCTGCTCAGTAAGGTGAGATAATTACTGCAATATTTTTTCAATTCGGTTTCAATGGTAAAGTGTTTTATCATAAGAGAAAAATTCTTCGTAGAAATATGCCTTGGCCGCTCAAAACCAGTATCTGAAGAAAAGCGCCTCTAATTTTTTTAGCATTCATCATTGTGAGCAATTAATACAATCTTCCCTTAGCCGTTATTCGATGAAGCGAAATGGCTTTTGAATATAAATTTGCTTTCACTTTTACTGATGTAATCCTGATAGTCCCCGACGGTTTCACTTGCGATTGCAGGGGAAAGCGTGAATGAGTTTTCACGCAACATTAAATAAAATGGGGTACCGGGTAAGTTGGCTTAGCTTTGCAGCCAAACCTAAAATCACTGTTACCGTGACAAGAACGATTCACAGGAGATATACTGACAAGTGGCTATCATTAGCGATCGAGGCTAACCATCTTTTCCACAAGATCTCTACGCTTAGTGCGAAAGAATGATAAGTTATGGCTACAGAAACAAACACAGCTACCCATTGTTAAGATGGATTTTGCCAAGGAAAATAAGAAACAAACGCAATGAACGAAACGTTCAGTAACGGGAGATTTTTGCTCTGAGTTTGACCTGAACACCGCTGGCGAGAAACCGTCTTTGTCAGTCATCACTCGTTAACTCTTCACCAGTCTACTGAACAACTTTAGACAAAATATGAGCACCTTTGGACGAGGAAAAAACGAGTTATAATTTTTTTTATATTTCCTCTATGGATTGTTCACATGATAAGGTATATGAGTACGCAAAAAGTATTTCGTGCCACAGAAACTCCTACTCGCTCTGACTTACAAACAGAAAATACATTTTCAACGAGAGAAAAAAAAATGAAGCGCTCTATTCAAAAATTCTTCTACTCTATTAGAAGCACTTTCACTTTTTACTATGAGTCGAAATTTCCTTTCAGCTCCTAAAATGATGTACAGGTCAGCACTAACTTTTTCTGTGAAACCATAGATAATGTCTTGAGGAATGGGAATATTTCCAGACTTAAACTGTACATCAACGTCGTTAAAAGACACCTTTCCGTGGTGGATACGAGTTTTCATTACGAGAGACTCTTCTTTAGCAAGCTTTATATCCTCATTCAGGAAAAACTTTTTAAAATTTTGATCAATATTACACTCAAGTGTGCCATCACTATACCTAATAATTCTTACTCCAATCTCAGGGGTATGACGGTGTTTAGTAAGCAACCTTTCTTGAATTTCCTCTGGAATTATAAATTCAGGGTCCCAAACTTGAAGGTCACCTAATTGATTAGATACCTTTCCAAAACGAGCGATACTTCTTAGCACAACAACGGGAGGAGGGTTTCCAGGGAGTTGTGTCGCCAGAACAGGCTGCGGGGTATTTTGGGAACTCTCCCCATGACAGCTTTTTACTTCTAAATATTGAGTTTGTAATTGATCTTCGGTAACGTTAGAAGACGAGTCAGCGTCAATATCCGGTTCTTCAGAACTTCTTGGGCGGATCACATGTGTGTTTGGTGTGTAAGTACTGTCTCCCTGATTACTGCAAGAAGGTTCCATCCCCGCCGAGTCTCTGCTGCCGCCCGCGGCACTACTGACGCCACTAAGGTGTGAATCAGTCGGATTTTCTTCGTTGTCAGCTGACAGTAAAGAGGTGTCTTTACCGTTATGTGAGCAACTCTTGGATGTGTATGGATTTTCTAATTCTGTAGATGTGTCCTGCAATTGAGGTTGTGAGTTTGATTGTTGGTTGGGAGTAGGCGGCCGATATTCAAACTTTTGTCCTTTCTTGTTTGTATCAAAGTGATGCAGTAAAGCTTGTTCGTGAACCGCTCGATGTTGTTTGTTCCAGGAGAAGATAAAGCTCTTCCTGCCATCAAGATACTCACTGCCGAACTGTGAAGAGACTTTCCTCTTCGCCCAACTTGAAATAACCTCTCGATTCTCTTCCTTGTCGTCTTTGTAGTTATCATCTCCCCCGATGACGGTGAGAACACCTCCTCCTGTGGATCGAGCAGATGAAAATGTAAATAAGTGTAGCGTTATTACACACTTCTGGTAACCAGATTTTACATATGGAAGAATATCCTTGATTGACTAGGCGCAATCAACATGTCGACAGGAAGTTGCTGCCTGCGTAGAATGTGCATACTCCATTTTCAATTTGACGATGAAAGCGAGAGAAATCGGCAGATTTTGACTGAACATTCCCAAGAAGTTACACAAGACACCTTTCCGTGGCGGATACGAGTTTTCAATACGAGAAACTCATCTTTAGCATGCTCTACATCGTCATCCAGGAAAAACCTTTTAAAATCTTGATAATCATGACACTCAAGTGTGCTGTCACTATTCCTAATAAGTCTGACTCCAATGTCAGGGGTATGACGGTGTTTTGTAAATGTGAATGGATTTTCTAATTCTGTAGATGTTTCCTGCAATTGAGGTTCTGAGTTTGATTGTTTGTTTGGAGTAGATGGCCGATATTCAAACTTCTGTCCTTTCTTGTTTGGGTCAAAGTGATGCAGGAGAGCTTGTTCGTGAACCGCTCGATGTTGTTTGTTCCCAGACTTAATCTAATGCCAGATGTAAAATGTGGAACAATGCGCCCCTTTGATTGAGCACCTGGTGTTATCGCCCTGCCGATAGTTTTAATTAAAGCATTTCTTTTTGTAGGTTTAATTTTTAATTTTTTTGTTTTTGTTTTTTGTTTTTTAATTGTATGTTGCTTACTGTCCCACGTCGTATACACGAGCCTCTGGCTCGGATACACGGGGCAACCTGATCCCAAGCATTGACATTAATATTAAATTGATTGATACATGTTTAATCCGTATTGCACGAGAGGGACATGATTTATGCTGTTTGAGTAACGAAGTGTTTATGCAAAGGCCCTTAAGACGTCTTTGGAATCTCATTTATTATTTCTGTACATTTTATTTGGGCTCGTGGAAATAAGGTGGCATAGGGTAAAATATGGACGGATATTGGACTAATTAATCAGGGGAAGAGGCAGACCATTACTACTTAGGGAGGGGTGGGACGCAGTTTACCGGCACTCAGGGAGGCGTGGGAGGCAGACTTGCTACTGAGGGAGGGGTGGAAGACGAACTATTAGTACGCAGAGAGGGGTGGAAGGTGGTTGTATTAGTAAGTTGTTACTGATTAATAGTTTTTAATGGATCATTCAAATTATTTTGAGCGGTTTTTCGACTGACTATTTTTTTACTTTTTTTGCATAACATTTTGATCTGGCTTGCAATTTGTAGACAATTATCAACTTTGACTGTTTCAGAAATTGAAGAGAGATTTCATGCTCTCTTGAGTCATTGTGAAATATAGAAGTCGTTTTGTCATAAAGGTTCGCTGTAATTTGCGAAACAAAACGGAATGAAAAAATGTCATTTTCGTAATTATCATTAATTATCAATAAATCATCAATTCATAATTTGCGAATTGCAAATCCAAAAAGGTAATTCTGTAATTTGCACTTGTGTGGACTTAATGAATCAATGCATCGCCTATGTGAAAGAACAATTGTGCCATTTCGCTATAAAAGAGAGTCTCCAATAGGTTTTTCGTGATCCGGGATTGGACTTATTTAAAGCCGGGAACCGGGAATTTAAAGTAAGAAGGGAGCGAGATGCAGGATTCCAATATTGAAGGGGACACGGGAATCGGCAATTTTGAGGAGCGGGATTCGGGAAATAATCACTTAAACGAACCAAGAACCGAGATGTCCGTTGACGAGAATTTATGAAGAAATTGCTTTGTCAGTCCATGAAAAGCACCAGGTGCACAGACTCTCTAGCAGTCAAGAGGCGGTCGGGATGCTCAGCGACACTCTTCAGTTATTGCGCGGGAATAAAAATTAAACCTCCAGCAAGTCTCAGAATTATACCGTCAGACAGAAAACAACGATGGCGAGAGCTGGAACTTCCTCGTCGTACGTCTATTAGAGAGAAATTCAGCCAGTCGAACCGGTCAGCCTCGAACGCTCTGACTTCGAGGAGCAGCAAGAAAATAGCGGAAAACGAGATGAACAGGAAGATGGAATATTAGAGTATGATTCCCCGAGTGATGATGACGACTTTCCATCTTTGGAACGAGAGGCTGATTTTTACTCGAAAGAAGTATTCGCCTCAACAGCAGAATTGTGTTGAGTTGATTTTTCTTAATCTCCGTTGTTATGGAACCATGGGATTGCCGTAAACGTTTGTGTTTCGTGCACTTGTTGAAATTGTTATTCGCTTCTTTGATACTGACATGTCTGAAAGGAAGTCATTACCGTGACTAGCGTACTTTATTCGAGTAAAACTTTGAAAACTTCAAAAATGAAAGATATCATCATTTTGATGAAGAGAGATAAACTTACTGACCATAGACTTCTACGGATCAATGCTGGTTGAGAAAATAATCCCCCACCAAAAAGGCCCTCCTAAGTTTAGGAAATGGACTAAGACAGAATTGTTAGATCGGGATCGGGATTGGCCGGTATAAACCGTCGGGATCACGGGATTGAGAGAAAATTTTAGTCGGGATCGCGGGATTGAAGAATTCTTTTGGGGACCCTCATAAAATGCAAACATGTTATTTAAAAAATGATCCAGCGCTGAAGCTGTGCTGTTTAAAAGTCACTTATAAAGTAAAATGCATGACATGACACTCATCATCAAGCGTGATTTGAGTGTATCTTATAGGGGAAAACTATGTATATGAAAAGAGAGAAGATTGCTTTGTACGAAACTACCGACGATTTTTTTATAGCTAAGGTGTAAACGTTAAAATTACGATGCGCTTGTGAATACTGTGTTAAAGACCGGAAATTCCGTGATCTTAGCCGTATGATAAGATCAATGACAAAAGGAAGGTGGATAAATTTAATAATGATATGCTGTGTTCACAAAGGAAAACGTGAAGCATCTGTCGGATGATTCATGCTAACCAGTGAGTATCATTAAGAGCTGGCACAAATCGACTTAAAAAGGCACACCCGTGACCTAACAGTGGTGGATCGGAACGGGAATTGGCGATGTTTTCAATAACAATTTTAGTGCAGTGTCTAGACATATATATATATATATATATATATATATATATATATATATATATATATCATTGTAAATGTTATGTTAACTTATTTTTTCTGTAAACAGTGTGAACTAATAAAACTTGAAAACTTGAAACTAGGTGCCAATTTTGCATTCGCTTGACAAAAAATAAATAAAGGCTTCGAACCAGCGCAAAATTTTGACATGAAAATAGTCAGTCGAAAAACCGCTCAAAATAATTGGAATGATCTATTGAAAACACCATCAATCAGTAACATTTACTAATACAACCACCCCCACCCCTCCCTAAGTTCGTCTTCCACCCCTCCCTAAGTAACAACAGTCTGCCTTCTACCCCTCCCTAAGTACTAATGGTCTACCTTCCCTCGATAAATTGGTCCAAAAAAGGTCCAAAAATAGTCCAAAATTAGTCTAGTGGTTTAATGGTCCAGTCAATATTTTACCTTAAGCCAAATAAAGAAAAATATCACGTTTCTGACGTGATATGAAAGAGCAAATAAAATTTAGCATGTCACCGAAATAACATCATAATTCTTGGTTCATGTATGGTAATTGGAGGTCCGTTTCTTCTCACCAAAAAGATTTCCAAACGTAATTCGAATGATTATTCAAATTAAATTAATGTGCTTTGAAAAGGCGTTTTGAACCCATTTCAGTGGTATAGATAACTGCTGACAGCTGACCAATGCTCACCTTTTCAATTCGGTTTCAATGGTAAAGTGTTAAATCATCACGTACAAATTTCCATAGAAATATCCCTTGACCGCTCAAAACCAGTATCCGAGGAGAAGCGCCTCTGATATGTTTAGCATTCATCATTGTGAGTAATTAAATCAATGTTCCCTTAGCCGTTACTCATTGAAGCAAAATGGCTTTTAAATATAAATTTGCTTTCACTTTTACTCATTTAATCCTGACAGTCCCTGACGGTTTCACTTACAATTGCATGTAGTTGATATAGTTTACTTGCACCCAACCTGAATGAGTGGCAAATAAATTACAGTATTCCTGCACTCTAAAAGTTTTTCAATACCTTCCAGTGCAAATACCTATAACTTTCAAAATTCATTGACAAGCAATGAGTCAAGGAATCTTATATCTTTGTGGTATGAATGACGCATTGCATGAATCTAAAGGTCAACATTAAACCATATATTCCGGCCAACACATAATAACACAGTCAAGTGTGACTTTTCTTTTCCCTTTTACCTAACGATAAAGCCACGCGCATTTTTTAAACCTCTATGAACGGTTGAAATTGTCGCAAGATTCATGGAAACACTTCCTCTTGTCTTGTCTTATCGGATAACGATGATAACATTTCCGCCTGTAAAAACATGAAACGGTTTATTTGCCATGCAAAACCAGTTACACTTGCCGCCGTGACGGAATTTGTGCACGCTCCCATGAATAACAATAGGCGGCCGTCAGTTAAAAGTCGATTATCTACTTTAATTTTTTTTAGAGGGACGGAAACGAATCCCGCAATCTGATTGGTTCTTTACGCGGTCAGTATTTCCTATCTCTGCCCACGGGCCACGGTGACGCTTTCGTGAATCGCCGAGTACATCCCAACTTTCGTTACCATTTTTCATATATATATCTCGTTTTTCCGGCTGAGCAGTATTTTTAAGCAAACACGTCGGTCAATACCTCAAGCCGACAAATAACTAATGAATCCTCTCTTTTCTCTCTCTCAAATCACTTTGGTTGACAGAAAAATATTGGTATCAGATTTAATTTGTTTAAGCAATGGTGTCACAACGTTGGTTGACAAGCGGCCTAAAAACCGTATGCAATTAATTTTAATCGTTCACAAAAAGTACCTAGAAAGTTAAATGTGAGATATTTGGTTACAGTTAAACGTGATCGATGGTACTTTCATTCATTTAATATCTGAATTTTCTCAAACGATTTGTTCGTAGTGAAAGAGCGAGCGAAGTTTTAAATTCAGTTCTACGACAAATATACGCTCTCGGTGAGTCTTTCCAAGTCCGTTCAATTCGGACTTGTACCGTAAATTGCACAACAATACTGAAGGAATTTATTGAGAAAAGGCCCTAATAAATCCTTGTGTCTCGTTGGAGTGTGCCGTTCAATTTTAGTTTTTGTGGAGGAAAGACCAGATTTACACACGCCATTGCAGCAAACAAACGAGCAAACTCTCACAACTTCAAAATAAAAAAATTGAATTTACTCACAATTACTTTCCTCGCCGTTTACTTAATGAACAGAGGTAAATCTTCGTACATGAATGAATCGTCGATGAGAGTCAATAATACTTTCCGTTAGATCATTGACTGTTTTTGAAGAAAACATTGTCGTGACAGTCCTTGCCAAACTAGTTCCGTTATTTTTCAAATCTTCTTGCGCTTTTTTTTCTCTTGCGTGCTCTCTAATTGACAGGTGTCGGATTGTGACAGATACTTGTAAAAATAATGTTTCAAAGTTTGTTAAGAAGCCTTTTAAATCACCTCTATCGTTACGCAAATGAAAATGTTTCGGTGAGGCATCTCTCTTTAATTTGCATCATCTCTATTTTAATTACCATTTACTCGCTCAAAAATTGTTCTATTTATGGAGGATCTTGCCGTATTTGCAGCCCTAAATCATTCGAGTCTTTCGGAAAGAATTTTGTCAAGTTTAAAAAAAATAAAAATGTTATTTACCGGCTAAGGGGCGGTTCGTATAGTAAAAAACTGTGACCTCGGTCTTGAAAATGCTGCCCTCGGCCTACGGCCTCGGGCAGTATTTTCAAGACCTCACTCACCGTTTTTCACCATACGGACCTCCCAGCCGGCAAATAACATATATGTATTATTTCAAATATCTTTACAAATATCGTCAACCACTAAATTTTGGTCGTGACCTGGCAACATCCCACTCGTAAAAACATATTAAACAGAACGTTATGTTTAACATCTTTTTATTACATTGCCGCCGACAAAAGTCAATAGAACCTCGAAGCCGAATAAACATTCTAGCCTTGTAGGTTTTTTTTTTTTTTTTTTTTTTTTCAGCGAGGATTCTGGGTGCACATTAATTACTGACCATGACTGTTCTTCCGCCGGTGATATACCTTGATTGGTAGTCGATAGATGGCGTTAGCTGACCAATGATCAACTTGAACGAGAAGCCAGGTGTCTCGAAATTAAACTAAGAAATTTCACGATTATAATCAGTAGTCCCAATATTAATTGTGATATTGGAACGTATGTTCGGAAGCTGTGTCACCGTTTCCTTCAGCGCAGACAAGGGGTTTTATCAGGGTTGAGCTTCTCCCTAAAAATTTACGTCAAACGCTGGTATATAAGATTCGAGTAAGCATCCGTAAGACGAGCGACAATTATTTCCACTTTCAGTCTATTGCCTGATGGAGCTTAGTTGGTAGATAATGTACAAAATTTTGCATTAAATTTCGCTGCTCTCTTTCTTTAGGAAAACAGCGAAAAAATACAGTACTTATAATCACATAAACTCCAGAAAATTTTAGGGGGAAATCTACGGAGTGAAAGTGCTTTTTTTCTTACCCGTTGCTTGTAGTAGAGCTCTGTATATCCTGGTGTAACCGATTCCACGGTTGTCCTCGTTGATTGACGGCCACGATTCTTGTGCATGGACAACAAAAACAGCCATATCCATCGCCAGAGTTGAAATTAGGTCAACTACTTCAGACATTTTGGCAAGTTTAAATGAGTGCTTCACCACACACATATGGTGGCCATCGATTTCTGCGATTTTATTCAGCAAGTTCTCGACAGGCTCCAACTTGTATGTGTTATCACAGTTGAAAAGATGGACTCGGTTTATTGACTGCGAAATCCCTTCGCTGAACTGTGAGGAAACATTCCCCATCGCCCAGCGTGAAATAAAGTCTTGATCCTCTTCGCCATCCTCCTTGGAATTGTCATCACCGCCGATAACATTGATAACATTTCCCCCTGCTGAAACATGGAACGGTATATTTCTTAGAATGATGACAAATGATCTGAAACCTTAACAATCAAACACAGCAAGTAGCACTTACCGTGACGGAATGTGTTTAGAATTTACGCCCGCTCTTTCCATGAATGACAAAAGTGGAGTGTATATGTGTATAACTTATTTCGAATTTCTTTACAAATGGCTCAATAGTTTTCAAAAAATGGAGAATCTGATCTGAACTGTACGCACAGCTTTTTGAACCTTTGAGGAAAAATTTTTTTTCTGCATCGTTGCTATGATAACCCTAAAATTAAGGAAAATTAACATACTTATTAAGAACTATTTGAGCATTTCTCTCATATCAATTTAAAGGAACACAATAAAAAAGTGTGGAGGCTAGGAACCATCATAGAATTGGTGTGTTTTAAAATACCGAAAGCATTAGGAGTCGTCTCAAGAGCAAAAAACGCTGCTCGTGGCAATGAAGTTGTTTCGAGAAAGATTGTCGGAAAAAGAACAAAAGTGCACGATATCGAAAGATTATCTGAGTATCTGGTAATCAATGAATTTTAATAAGTGAAATATATTACTACATTAATCAAACCCGCTTTGCCTCGTCTTTACAGGAAGGATCCAATGGGGTCAATCGTTAGCCGTAAAACAACAAAACAAATTGACATATTTGGGCCATTAGTCGTGAAAAAGTTATCGTAAATTGTATTTATTAACCATACAGGAAAGAAATGTGACGCTTCCTCAGTTTCCCCTGAAAAGGAACCGTAACCTGAAAACTACCCAAGATACATTTCGGAGTTGTTGCACCTACTTTTATGCTTTTTTCCGACAATCTTTCTCGAAACAGCTGAATGCGCTAAGTCATTGGATTCAATACTTCGGTTCAGAAAAATTACCTTCGTCGACACCCACAAAGTGTTCTGGTCTATTTTCTTGGAGTTTCTGGCACAGTTCAGATTTTGATGAAGCGACTGATTGTTTTTCATCTATCTCTGATATCACAACAGAGGCCTCATTCAAACTCTGTGAGGGAGCAGCAGTAAATGACGATTTCATCTTGCTTCCTGAAGCTACAAATGTTATATAATGTATTTCAAATGAGAAAGGTGTTCAGTTTTCGTCTTCTCACAAACGTGGGACAAATAAAAATATCCGAGTCCTCATGTGGAATTGAACAAGAGACCATCGGATCTAATTATCTGAGGAAATGTAAAGCCTCCTTTCCAATATTGTTCATTCAAAACGGAATAAAATGCTAAGACCAGAGTAGTAATGCTTTATGTTAGTAACAAATTTAGAGTTATTTACCGATACGAATGTAATTCTCTAACCTTTGGGTCTTTCAAGACTTGGGGAAAGATTTTTTTCAGGCCTGATTCCTTGACTACAAAAATATGATGACTTTCTTCCACTGGTCGTTTCAAAATCATGAGCGGTGAAACCTTCTCGTCTCTCCTCACGTTTGTCCTCGAGCCTTTGTTCAGTCAAACGCTGGTCTTCAGGTAAAGGACCTCTTGTACTCGATGACAGTCTAGACTCGTCTTCCAGTTGTGCATTTTTCACTTCAGGGTGCGTTTTGGTACTTTGTTCATCTGAACGGTACACAGTAGAGGCCTCATTCAAACTCTGTGAGGTAGCAGCAGTAACTGACGATTCCATCTTGCTTCCTGAAGCTACAAATGTTACATAATGTAGTTCAAATGAGAAAGATGTTCAGTTTTCGTTTTCTCACAAACGTGAGACAAATAAAGATCTCAGAGTCCTCATATGAAATTGAACAGACCATCGGATCTAATTATCTGAGGAAATGTAAAGCCTCCTTTCCAATATTGTTCATTCAAAACGGAATAAAATGCTAAGACCAGAGTAGTAATGCTTTATGTTAGTAATAATTTAGAGTGAATTGCTGATATAAATGTAATTCTCTAACCTTTGGGTCTTTCAAGACTTGGGGAAAGATTTTTTTCAGGCCTGATTCCTTGACTACAAAAATATGATGACTTTCTTCCACTGGTCGTTTCAAAATCATGAGCAGTGAAACCTTCTCGTCTCTCCTCACGTTTGTCCTCGAGCCTTTGTTCAGTCAAACACTGGTCTTCAGGTAAAGGACCTCTTGCATTTGATGACAGTCCAGACTCATCTTCCAGTTGTGCATTTTTCACTTCAAGGTGCGTTTTGGTACTTTGTTCATCTGAACGGTACACAGTAGAGGCCTCATTCAAACTTTGTGAGGTAGCAGCAGTAACTGACGACTCCATCTTGCTTCCTGAAGCTGCAAATGTTATGTAATGTAGTTCAAATGAGAAAGATGTTCAGTTTTCGTCTCTTCACAAGCGTGGGATAAACGGAGAAAGCAGAGTTCTCATGAGGAATTGTATGACAGATCATCGGATTTCGCGTTTCGACGCTCTACCTCCGAGTCATTGAGACTGAGCCACCAGGTCGATAACAGCACTATGCTGAACACTCCTTAGATATTACGTTGTAATAACTTAGCTCACCCTAGAGTATCAGTGGCTCAGTGTAAGAGATTCAGAGCGCCAAATTCCTTGGTATGAGGTCGATTCCTCATGGCAACTCAGAATTATTCTTTGTGCCACGCTCTTTACATGTTTAAAAAAAACCATCTCTCTATATTTCTATATTACTACGCTTAAAATTCACCACTGACCTTTGATATGAAATTAACTTACTACTTTGATGTTATCACGTTAAAAAAGTAATATAGAGAAAAACATTTACCATGGTCAGTTCACTCAAGTAGCTAAGCAGAAAAGAACACAAAAATGTAAAAAAAAACTAGCAGTGATAATAGAAATGAATCATCAGGACGGTGTAGTAAGGGAAAGTGTAGATGAGTTTTCACGCAGCAGAACGAAAACCTTTTGAAACAAAATGGGACACAGGTAAGTTGGCTTAGTTTTGCAGCCAGACCTAAAATCACTATGACCGTGACAAGAACGATTCACAAAAGATATACTGAAAAGTGCTTACCATTAGCGAGGCTGACCATCTTTTCCACAAGATCCCTGCATTGACTCTCCCAGATGTACTTCTTGCCATAGCTTTCCCGTAGAGTTTGACATTCTGCAATTGCTGCTTCGCGACCCTTTTCTCGGACACTTTTAATAGCTTCTGCCCACTTCTCTGGTTCCTCAGAATCCACAACCCAAGGGGTACTCTGAGGAAGAGCATCTTGCAGAGCCTCTCCAAATCCACTAGCTTGGGTGACAAGAAAAGGCAGACCAGCAGATAACGCTTCCAAAGCGGTTAAACCAAATCCTTCCGATCTTGAGGGTATGACAGCAAGATCTGCTGTAGATAGCAGGGTTGCAAGATCTCCCCTATTTTCAAGAAATGACTTCACAATCAGCTGCTTTTTGCTCAAGCCGTACTCAAGCAGTTGCTCTGCCACTTGTTCCTCGTTTCCACTTGGTGCACCCACAAAGACGAGCTTATAACTTGTGTCATTCAGTTGAGCGACTGCTTTGGCCGCTATATCGAAACCCTTGAGTTTAAAATCTTCTGAGTCGCCTCGTCCAAACAACAGAACATTGAACCTCTTACCTTTGACTGTGGAAAGCTTTAACGAGGATAATTCAGAAAAGATACCTGGCGTAAGATTGAATACATGTTTTCCGGAGGAGCTAAGGTAACGCGAGTAAAACTCCCAAAGCCTTGGTCCAACAGACACCACTAGGTCGGCAATCTGGCACAGTTTGATTTCATTCCACTGTTTTTTGTCGCCCTTAGATATGGCATTGTCACAATCTGAGTACGTTTTCAACATGGAAAGTTCCTCAGGGGCAGTATGTACAACTTGAACCCACTTACACCGATGGCTTTCCCTTATTATTTGAGCTTGTTTACCAAGTTTTACACCATGGCCAATGATTATGTCTATGGAGAGATCATCTGGTGGAAAACTTAACCAATCAAGTGGATCGAATGCATGCCGCTCCCGTGCTTTAACGATACGCACGTTACAACCACTACTTGCATTTTTGTCGTCTTCAGTGCATTTCGCGACAAAGAAAGTTACGGACACATTGGGATGTTTAGCCAACTGTATCGCCAATTCTCGATTTATGGTCGACAGGCCACCTTTGGAAGACTTCCATTCGTCCGCGAGGAGAGTAACTTGTAATTTGCTATTGGACATGTTCCTCGAAATGTAATTCAGCATACACTGTAATGTTTCAGTGGGGGTGATGGCATTCACGGCTAATGAATAAATTCTGGCCAATTAACGGCTAACAGTTAATATCTTTTCTTTGTGGTTACAAGAATTTTTTTAACGATTAACTTTTTACAACTAACTATTAAAATTTATCAATTTTTACGCCTAACGGCTAAATTTTTGGCCGTTTTACGGCTAACGGTTAACCCCATTGAGACCCTCTTATTCCGTTTTACTTTTCTGCATTGAGTTGAAAATTGCTTCATACACCATTAAAGAGAATATTTATTTGTGGATCTTGAGGGTATTGAGGTGAGAAAAATGCCTGCTAGCTATGTATGTCAAATGAATTTATCCCTTTTACGATTATCACACAAATGAGTGTTCATTCAGAAAAAGGGAAAATACTAAGAATTATGATTAAGAAAAAGCAAACGTAAAATAACATTGTTTAACTCCCGTTTAGTTTTCCGAACATCATCTCTTATCCCGTCACGCTAAGAATGTACTTGTCACGCAAGGAAATTTTTCAGGCATCCCTTCAAAATAATTTCATCTTGACTTCGTTCGTTCAGGACCTGGGGGAGCGTGCAAGATTACTATAACTTTGCCTGGCTTGAGTGCCGTTGTGCAACTAGCCCAAGCAGAAATGTTCTTTTAAGTATGCCAGGAAACTATGCATGAATAATAAAGTATGACAATATAAAATACTAAGTCTTACAACAATGGAATACTTTTCGCATCGCCTGAGGTTACTCTCGAAGCGATGCGATTTCGTAAGCACTCCTCAAGCCAATTCTCTCCAAAGATCTTTCAATCACGGGTTGATCAAACCATAGTTCCTGCTGTTAGCTATGATCAAATAACTATGGAAGAAATTAACTGCTCACAAACTCGAGATTAAAATCCACCTTCGCACGCGTGCTGAGCACATTGGGTGAGGCGAGTGGATTGGCTTCCTTATAGAGGAACTACGATCTGAAATAAAGCTTCGTACCTTGTGGTATTTGTAGACTACATTTAGAATTTCTCCTACCGAGTAACGACATAACCCGCTTCGCCCGAACTTAATTTGCCGGATTTCAATATTTGTTAATGAATCCTACGCGTAGTTCCGTTTACTTTGGCTACACAGAACTAAGAAAGAAAAAGGAAGCCGATAGCCAGCGATTCCTTACAAACAAAGAACAAGTGTTTTCAAGTCTACAACTTGTGAAAATATAAACATATATTTACATTATTGCGGTTACATGTATGACGCACTTACCCTGCCAGTGCTTCTTGACTCCTCTCGAGCGGAAGCAGCATTCAATCGACAAAATAGATTTGCCATCGTCCGAGGGACCAACAGATCATGAAGTAAAACATGAAAGAACTAGACTGTGCACGAGGAGACTTAATGGAATCGAAATAGTGGCTCAATTTCAACAAGAAGAATCAATTATGCGATCCAAAAGCTCTCGCCTCTCGCGAATGACGAAACCAAATTGAGTCTTCGAATCATTGAACAATCCCGTTGCCGAAGTAAAGGATGTTGGGATACCAAGATTGTCAGGCTGCAAAACAAAACAATTGTATTGTCTAGGGAAACTTATGTGTGGTTCCTAAACATAGGATATAGGCTAAGTGCTCTTTCTCACTATTCCCAAACGGCAGTGATTAACTTATTTTAAAGGATATATCGTGTATAGAGAGCAAGAAGCCAAACTATTTTCGGGAGATTTTGATAATCATAATCGAGCCCGCACGATAGGTGTTACGTGTGTCAGAGCTTAGTGCGTGAAGTCTTTAAGTGCATTATGTTGGCGAAAATAAAATTTACGCGGGTATTCAGGGTTTAACGTAGAAATAAGATGTAAACTTGGTGCTTAGTGCATTTCTAGCCTTCTGATTGGCTGAAAGGAGCCAGGTTAAGATTTTATAACCTAGCTCCGACAAATACGATCAACGAATTCATCAGCGAAGTTATTTATCACCTCATATTCGGCGCGCCCTCGTAGAGTAATTATTATAGAATGCGAGGCAAACCGTGCTCGATAGAATACGTGGCAAACCGAGCTCGATAAAAATAACTGAGGTCGATAAGAGCAGATTGAGTTCGTCGAGGTCGTCTTTTTAATCGAGCACGATATAGTTGAATCGAGCTCGAATTGAATTGACTGCATTTCGAGCTCGTTGAACCGAGGTTGGTTTGAAATGGTACTCGAATTGCTATTCGAGTACGGTGAACATGAATCGAGCTCGGTTGCCCAGATACTAAATGTGGTCCGTAAAAAGCATAAAGCTAAGCTACAGCTGTCACGTCATCTACCAAATTGTACTATGTCCGACCTTTTCCGGGACTTCTCTCTGGCCTTTTTCGATAATTGAAAATGAAATTTCGGAACAAGCGAGCCGGCAAGTAGCGACAGGAGAACCAAAACAAGGTTTGTAAATATGCCAGGCGCCATAATTTACGCTATTAAAATGTGAGCAGAGACGAAAATCCTCAAAGAGGAAACAAAATGGACAGTCCAAGTTTTAAAGGTTTTCACGCTCAGTTAGATTGCAAACTTACGTAAGGTAATGAAGATCAAACACAGCTAACGATCGTATAGTATATAACGTTTCATGTTCAAAAACAAAACAGGAATGATGAAAAAAATTACCAAACTGGCCTACCTGTTAAAATTCATTCTAATTATGACGGTATCGCAGCGAATATGTTTACTTTGTGACAAATTATTCTTGAAAAATTAATTCCAGGCTTAAAACTGCCATCTAAAATGAATAATCCCACATACTCTTAAATAATGTTTGACAAGGCACTTTGTACTCACTTAGAATTACTTTATTAAGATTTTTATAACTATTGGTTACTAACAAACTCATTTACACAATTAAAGTGGAAACATTTCAATCTACTCCCTCGGATGGTCCACATTTAAACCAAGAAGGTGAGTACTAGTTTTACAACAGAATGTTAACTCACCTAAACCACAACTGTGAAACTAGATTAAGATTTAAATGTTCATAAAATTTCATATGAATAATAAATAATATACTATTCAAATAATATATTCTGCAATCATATGACAAAAAAATAATTGAGATGATCAATTTAGACAAAATGTTTTTCATAAAAACACCTGTTCCTTGATTTTAAATAAAATACCTTTTTTTTTTTTTAATTCACAATTCCATACGTGTACTGTTTATATTACAGATGGTGAAGATCTACCCATAGGACCACCTCCTTCAAGTGGAGATTTGGGTAAGTGTTGAATGGAAAATAATATATTCCCTTTCTTCCATAATGCTATTATTCCTCAAAATGTCATGCATCTGCATGCAATTTATAGTTTATCTTCTCTTTAAGAAGTTGGAAAGGGACATCACAGCCTCTTTGAAAAACAAATCCACTATAAAACTCTGTGCAATGAAGTTGTATTAGGTTAGCTCACTGTTTCCTTAATAATAATAAAATACCTTTTTTTTTTTAATTAAAAATGACATAAGTTTGCTGTTTATATAACAGATGATGAAGATCTACCTAAAGGACCACCCCCTGCAGGCAGTGATTTGGGTAATTTGGGTCAGTGTCAACTGTAAAGTAATATTTTCTTTTCTTCTATAATGATTCCACAAAATGTCATGCCCCTGTAAACAGTGAATAAACTTTCCCCTCTGTAGGAAGTTGGAAAAGTGACACAATAGCTTCCTTAAAATACAACTTTCCTGGTAAAGTCTAAGCAATATGAAATGATGTTTGGTTAGCAAACTGTTTTTCCCTTGGCCATTTCCAATGAAGTAGAAGTTCATAATATTTGCTTTATTATCACTTGGTTCAGTATTGTAACTTCAAAGAAACCTTTTCTAATACCATAACAGAACTTGTGGAGTATTTTTAATAAACTTGTTCAAAACAAGTATTCTTTTTTCACAAAATAGATGTGGACATTAGCAAAATGGGAAAAAGGGTGAAAGAAAAGGGTGGAAGAGAAGGAATAATAAAATAAAGTACGTAGTAACCTAACAACAACCAATATTACAATAAACTATGCTAACATTTGTTTTGAATGTCATTTTCCACAGTATTAAAAAAATCTTATCATGTTCATGCAAAAGAAATTAAATTTTAGAAATAACAAAAAGAGATTATTCTATGGAAACTGTGCACAAATGAGTTTTATTGCTTCAAAAAAATAAATGCGTGAGCACAATGAACTAGTGACTTTTTTTATCAACACAACATGTGGATAAAAGTTGTCCAAACACTCTCCACTGTATGATGATTGGAAGTTTAGGACTGTGAAAATATATTGTTTGTTCAGTTAGAGCAACAAATAATAGTACTTATTACAGAGTAAATCCCTATCTGTATTAAAATAAGATCCATTTCTTAACAACTCTCAAACAGGAGATAAAGATAATTTCTCAAAGATTTAGAGGTGAGAAGGAAAAAGGTGATACTATATGATTATTTTTTACTGTTTACTAGGAAATAAAAATTAAATATAAATCAAATAAAAAACCCCTTGAAAATCCATCATCATGGTTTCCAATACATACACATATACACATATACAGTAACTATTTTTTCCAGTTACATAAAAACTGCAGTATGCAGGCATTGTAGGAAAGATAAAAATCTATCATAATGCAAATAGGGATTTTAGTGTAATAGGGTTATTCAATTAGATCTTGTGAGTATAGTTGTCAATTGGGAAACGTCTCTGAACAAGAGTGTTGCCTTTTTACAACTTGTTAATTTCTTCCCCTTTTTTTTTTCCTCTCATAGAAATAAAAAGTGTTTCAATTGTGGAGGGAGAGGACAATTCTACAAGGAATGTGCCTCTCCTTATGGAAGAGGAAGAGGAAGAAACAGAAGAGGCAAGAGAGTAGGAAGAGGGGGGCATCGTAACAGTGGCTAGGAGGGTGTACATAGTGGCCATGCCTTGCACATCACCTTAAATTTTTTTTAAAATATAAATTAAAAGTGGAATCAACTGTCTTTCATTCATTTTAAAAATGTCATTGCAGCAGATAAGTTCAGCTATAGCTGCAAATAATAATTTCTTACCCAGCCTGAGCACAATAATTGAGAACATTTCCCTGAGGTCCTCACAAAAGCAACTGATGGTCAATATTCCTTGGTAGAACTGGAGCAAGCAAAGTTAGTAAGTAATTTATTGTATTGCACTTAGACTAAACTTTTAAATATTAGATTTGCTGCCTTTCAAAACAAAAATAAACCGATTATGATGGTTTTAGTGGACCAAAGCAGTGGTGGTATTTACTTCAAGACTACCTTGCCATATAGTATTGCAAATTAAACTTCATTTTCCTAACGGTTACAAAATGGTATAGCCCCCAGAACTGAGGATATAACATGGAGATACAAGTTCCAAACTGTAAGACTGTTCACCTTTTTCACTGTGACAATACTTTCAAACTGGACTCAATAGAAGCACTCTTGACTACAGTGAAAGACAAAGTTGAATTCGAAATATCGATCAAGAAGCATTGTTTCAAACTTTCAGAGATGTCCTCTGTGAGTGATAGCAAAGTTCCCATTCTGAATATGGATTTTGCCGTATTTGTCGTTCATGCCAATGAATCTCGACTCTCTATCAACGAAGACAACGCTGGCATTGGTTACGCGAAGATCTACAAAGCTTTACTGAGAGCGACCGGTGAGTCTTGCGTTAGATTATTCGGAGTGAAGTGTGAACGTTGTTTTTTGATAGAGAACCTGTACGTACGGAAAGATTATGATCAGCCGCTTGATCGATCGGGTTATGTCATAGATAATCGTTATGTGAGTTTCGGCCCACATTGCTGGACTGTCCTACGGTCAAACTTCTTAGCCCGTTCAAATCGCAATAGTTTCTATCGTCTTTTTATTTTTCAATTTTAAGCTTTTAGTTTCATTTGTTTATGTAGCCACTAATTTAGCATTAACTTAAAAAAAATTATCAAATTTTCTTCACAACTATGGTAGAACCCCCCTAACTCTAACCCAATTAACTCGAATCCCCTCCCCATCCCCCCACCACAGTTGCGAAATGAAATATACAAAACCTTGGACTTTTGCTCGGATTTGCTATTATGATGACGTTAGCCGTTTTTGAAGAAACGATAAGGACATCGTTGCAGTAGTTAATACTATGGAAATGATTTTTTGTAGTTACCCCTCGGCTTCCTTTTCGCACAGCAAAAGTAAAATGTTGTTGAGGTCAGTCTGAAGAGAGTGATTCCAGCGGAATTTTCTCGTAGCCAATGAGAAATAAGCAATAATCAGAAACGAAATGAACATGAAAGCGAACTTCGCAGTAATGAACACAACTTAACCAGAAGTGAAAATAAGGCCTGACAAAAAAATTCAGGCCTGTGCGGGATTCGAATCCTTGACCTCTGCGATATCGGTGCAATCAGTCTACCAACTGAGCTAACAAGCCAACTGGGAGCTGGTCAGTATGTTATTCATCACTTATTGAGTTTATTACGAACCAGCATACTCTGCTTAAGTACTATTCATTACTGCGAAGATTGCTTTCATATTCATGTCAAACAAGACTTTATATCTGGTAATCCTTGAACACAGATTTCGGTCTTATCGCTGTAAAATAAGGCTTACAAAAGAATTAGAACGAAATAATTTTTTGTCCTTTTTACGAAAGCGAGTGACAGAATTCTCTCTTGTTTACTTAATGTCAATTTATAGCATTTTTATTGCTGTAAAGTCGTTTTGTCCTCAATCAACTTTCTCTTTTATAAAATTGACAAGCTATGTTACGTTTAAATCACGTGGCTTGGGATAAAACAAGCGATCTTCCCAAATACGGTGATTATTCCTTTGTTACAAGGGTGACCCTTGGCAAGTCAAAAATTTTTTCTTGGCACAAAAACCACCGAGAGATTCACGAGAAAGCTCTTCTACACTTTTTTGAACCGAGTAAGATGGGTGAAAAGTTTGATTATCATGGGCCAGAAATGAGTCTATCAGCCGACACTTCTAACGCAACAGCTGAGGAAAATAACCAGGGGCTGAATCCTCAACCAGAGATCACACAATCGACGCCGTCCAACGTTCCAGAGAATATTTCAGTGCATCCAAGGCTCCGAAATGGAGATAGGGCGTTGATTTAGCTTCCCCTACACTTTACTTGAATACTAGACCTACTCGTGCTCCTAAGGCTACAGAATTACATACAAGAGAATTTCGTACGGATGTTCAGTCCGTGGAGCGTGTTCGCCCCGTGTTTACATCGTCTGATCTACTATATCATCCCAATTTTGTCGTGTGTTCTTTTTCTTGCTCTACCAGGGTTGCTCCTGAATTACCCAGAAGGTTCTCCTTGCTTCTAGATACTCGGCTTCGCCATGGGGAAGTCTCAGACGACGCGAGAGACGTGGTGCATAGAGAGGACGGATGGCAGGTACCGGAGGGCTACAGGGACCATCTAAGAAGTATTCACGCGGCAGAAACTAACCTTAGAGTAAAGTTTGTAGTTCGCCAAAACCAACTAACCACAATTATAATCCGAAACTGGTTTGGACCGCTTTTGGGGGGATGTCGCACAATACTCTGAGCCTTAACAAAGGCTAAATTTTTCAACAAACTTTCATTAGCAACCCAGAAGTAATCTCTATACATATATTTTTTTTCGGGCAGAAGGTTGACCACTCGTCAAAAAATAGATAATCTTTAACTGCGTTTTTGATGCATGGCAAAGTTTACTTTAGTACTGAGTTTGATAGCTTGTGGAAATAGAAATCATTTTAATGACATTATTGATATAACACCTTCATTAATTTCGAGTAAGGCCGTGAGAAAAGCTTGCAACGGTTGGAAAAAGGTGATTTGGCCTCCGTGATGGCTTGCATCAATGGCTGTAACAGAAATTTCCTCAAAACCTGTTTTGATGTTCAATTTACTACACTGCTCGCCACTTTTATTTAATTCACATTGTAAGTTAATTAATAGCTTTGAATGCGAATAATTCTGACAAACATTGATTGTCATCCCAAGACCGTTTTTTTAAATCTATTGTGTCATATTTGATTTTCCATTCCATTTGATTTTTTTTAAAGTGTTTTAAACTCTGTTTAAAAGATGATTAAATATATTAATGGGTTTTATAGACTCACATAGTTATTTTAAGATCTCGAACGTAATCTGTCATAACTCACCCGAATGTTATAGCTCACGGAGGTTCCAATGAACTGTAATTATGACTAGCAAACAAGGAACTTCGCATAATTCACTTCATTTCATTTACAGCAAGCATATCTAAAATAATAATCAGACCTTTTTTGATGGTTTAACCCGGACATTGCGCAAATTGGTACTCAGTACCATTCAATTTGCGCAATGTCCGGGAAATGTACGTAAGGTGGAGGAAAATACGAGCAATTTACGTTTCTCATTTCCGAGAAATGTACATAAGGTCGAGGAAAATACGAGCAAGAGAAAAATGTTCGCTCGTTTCATAAGTTCACCCATCGAATTAGGAATTTATCATTTCGCTTTGTTTAATTTTCTAGTATTTTGGCTTCTAGGTTCTTATTATCAAGCTTAAAGAACGTAAGATAGTAAGAGTTTGAATCATTAGGTGCGGCAATTTATTGATCCGCTTTGCTTTTGCCTTCCGTCCGTGTTTTGCACTGTTGTGCAGAGTTATGTACATAACCTTGTTCTATTCTACCGTACAAAGACTCAAGTTGAAATGTCCGCATGTTGCATGACACGTGAATTTAATAAGAGAAAAGGCGTTAATAAGTCCATCATATTCACTTTGTTTAAGTCTGATGAAGAGGTTGTGCTGATCTGTTCATTAAATAATCAAACAAGTGGCTGCTCGATCAGCTTGTACGGTGGCTCGTAATTTGCCATCCGTGTTAGAATAGATGCTTAGCACTCCGTTTGCTGTCGTTGAGGATTTGTACCTCAAACTTTCCTCTATATGTTCTGGAATTACCCAATCAGGATAACAAAACAGAACATCCTCGGTAGCATACGATATTCTCCCTTGACGGATTCGTGTTTTGAGCACGAGAACATCTCTAGAATCCGTGCCATCTCCTCCATGAGAAGTAGGATTATAACGCAAATCTTGTGATGAAAACTCCCCCAGCAGCATTGGTTGGTCTGAGGGATTCTTCTGAGTGGCTCAGCTGTCCTTGTCTGTTCTTAGCCGCTATTGGGGCTCCAAGCATTAATTGTATCAAGACATCGGGCTCCACGTTCAGTTTTCCATCCTCCAACCAAACGACAAGGCCCTTTCTTTTCGCTTTAAGCATACGCTCAACGTTTTTAAAAAATTTATCTTCCTCTCCAGTTGGAGCAGGACATCGATTGCAAATCGTGAAAATAACCTTTTCAACTGCAAATTGAAACAAATAGTGATATTGTGTTAGCATCTTCTAGTTATTCAAGCGAAGAAATAGTATATAAGACTAGGTTTAGTACATGACCAATGTGCGGATGCCCTGATTTGTAAGTTATTTTCGTTTTCGTTTTCGTTTTCGTTTCAGATATGGCCACAAATTTGTTAAAAGACAAAATTGGCATCCAGCAAGAATTTTCATAATGAAATGATTTTTGACTTATTTGAACGTGAATATAAATGGAAATAATATATTAGCATAAGCTATTCAGTAAACATGTAACAAGCCACTTGATCATTTCTTATTCCGTTTGGCGGTCTTACCTTACAGGTAGAGTTTGGTCACCTTTTCCTTATTATGATCGTAAATTTGACATGGAGACAGATGTTTTTGCGTAAATTGCGGTTTGCGGCCAGATATTAGTATATTTCCATTATATATGTTGCTAAAAGATGATTAATTACTAAGAAAATGACTCCTCCTCTGCTATTGAAAATATATATTTTTAAATATTGTAGCTCCCTATGATCCCTGTTTTAAAATTTGTTAAAAGTTATTTTCACTCGTCGTTCAGTTGACTATTTCTTTTATTCTCTCTTTTATTACGCAAGTTATTACAACGGGTACTAGCTCTGATCTCCCTAGGAAAGTGTGGGTCACCGCTTGTAAAGGTGACCCCATAAAAATTGATCCCGTGCAGGAATTTCTTGGGAAACAACCCTCCTTTATACCTTTACCTCTTTAATACTCTCGTTTTTAGGCTAAATCCATGTCGAATTCCCGATTCAGAAAATAGTGTTTAAACTTGAATTTAGCACGTTCGACAACTCTTTTTCTTAGAGGTGACTTAAGGTGTAAACATACAGTACTTTTCATCTTCCGCACTGAATTTGTAATCAGATAACTTATACGGCTAGCACGTAGCTCTTTTAGGGGTGGTACCTTAGGTACGCCCTTTCTTCTCCGAATTTTCGGTTTATTCTGCCGATATGTAGCAGTCTTCAAGGGCTATTTTCTCTTAAGATATCTTTTCAAGTATGATTTCAATTCTGTTCGTAAGTTTATTATAATTTTTATATTTTCAATCTTGTTTTTGTTTCGCTCGACCTTGACCGTAAGACTAAGAAACTTAAGGTAGAAAGTCATTTTGTGAAGCTTAAACATCGCCAAGGTATCTACTTAGTATGCGAACTCCGCTCTGCGTATTTTAGCGTGATTCGCTAGTTAAGTGTAAAAGCATGACGAAAGTTAGAGACTGACACCTCAGTAAGCGTGTCTATTGACCTTTTTTAATTATTGGATGATGTTCTCAAGTGGTTTACACGTTTGCTATTGTGAGTATTTGCTATTGCGAGTATTTGCTACACTAAATTATTTCAACTAAAAAGAAATGATTCTCTGAACTTTTATAAACAGGCTACTTCAACGGATCCTCTTACCAACAACATCAGCTGCTGTCCTGAGAATTTCTTCCAACTCAGGCTGCTGGTATTTATTAGACGCATCTGTATCCACCACTAGAATACAAAACCTTGGAGTGCATCTCGTTAAGTATGATTTGATGTCAGCTAATGAATAACGCTCCACTTGCGGACATTCTGGCAGCCTTATCCTACGATAAAGGTTATCGAGTACTGATTTCACAGCCTGGATTGTTGCCGGTGACACATCACAGCCAAGGACTACTAAGTCTAGAGAATAAAAGCAAACAGTAATTAAAACTTCGTTTTGCACACTCCAAAACCATTTTACAACACTTATTTTTAAAAGATCAATCAGTTTTAGTCAAATAAATGCTAAACCTGAAATACTTGCCAAAAAGCCTCAATTCCGCGTTTGCACTTCCACTAGTCTGATTATGTTAACTTGAACGTTAAATTAGTACATGCCTATAAGCTTCACTTCGTTGTTCGCACTTCCACCACTTTAATAAAAGCTAAACTTTCAAATACTTGCCTAAATGCTTCATTTCGTTGTTTGCACTTCCACCACAAAGTGCGTTGTCGTGCGTAATCCCAGAATTTTGGGTTTCTGGCACTTGCTGTAACCATGCATGTACGACTCAAAGGAGCCTAGTATCATTTTATATGTAAAAATATATGAAGTTCACAAAAAAAGCTGCTATCGAGTCAGGATTAAAAATTGATTGATAAGGTTAAAAATCGTGATATAAAGACTACGAGATACCAATGAAACAGCGTCTTTAGGACTTATTGTTGCTTTTGTTGAAGTCGTTGTAAAGGTACATATTGCTCTCGTAGTGGTCGTTCATTGGTGTCCAGTATTGTCTTTTTTCAGAGAGTGACCCGTTGTTCTTACCTTGTACTTCACGTTCCCCTTATATGGCGGTATCTCTTCGTATTGAGCTATTGCGGTTTGCTGTGTAATAGTGCCAATTCAGAATATGCAGCCACATCTTTTTGTGTTTGACATTATATTTAGGGTCAAGAATTAAAAGGAGAAAAGGTTGTAAACCTCCAGGAGGTATCTAAGAAATTGCCACCACTATCTTACAAAGCTTTACTGATGTTCATGTCATAATGGATTTAAATAGTTCAAATTATTTTCGCAATCTTTTTGGTTTTTCTTGAGCATGGTTTTAGATGCCATTGCTGACATCGCCATCGGTCATTTTTGGCTCAGGTGGAATTTCCTCTGTTGTGGTTAGTATTGTCAATGTCTCGTGGTGCTAGCGTTGTTGTTGTAATTGTTGTTTCTTTCGACAGCTTCGTTTTTGTTATCTTTGTTCTGGTATTAATACTTATTTTTGTGGCTATTGTAACTGTCTTGATCATGATTCTCGTTCATGTTTTTCTTAATGTAATTTGTCGTAGTAGTTCTCACCTTTGACCAGACGTGTTTCCTTCGTGGTAGTATCACTTTGCACTCTGCTCTGTTCAGATCGGTTCCCTAGTGGTGAGCATCCATAATCCGAAGCCGAAACAGCGGTTTCCGCAAGAGGATCGAGGAGTACGTTCAGCTTAGGTTGCTGACTAGCGAGAAAATCCACACTTCTTTGCCTTGTCACTGTGTAATCTTTTTTCAAGGAACTTGGCTGATCCCACCGGTCTTCTATTTCTTGAGTACTTCTCTCTTCGGGAAGGGTGGCGGAGTGTTGAAGCTTGAGCTGGTGTGCTAGTGCTGTATCTCGTACTGGCGGAGCTGTTTGATCTCTTAAAGAAAGCTCGGAACGTAAGGTCAAATGATTCTGCATTTGTTGCACAACTTTCATAATATCTGACACGGCAAAACTTTTATTTGTATCATTTGTTGGTGAATATTTTAATCGCTAAAACTTACTTTCGGTAACCTGCGAACACAGCCGTCACAGCTTCCTCCAAATTTTTTAATCAAAGTTTTCAAAATATTTAATTGAAATCTATATTTAGAATACTATTTGTATATCGCGGTGTTCGTATCATGAAACACATGTAAAACAATTTCGGAAAGGCTGAAGATAAAGCTATGTTCTGTTTGTCAATAACATAAATTTCGTGGCGTGGACCGTCTAAATTTCAAAACACTTAACATTGATATTCATTGATAAATCAATGTGCCACATTACAAAGGTGAAGAACGCAATGGTACCTGAAAAATATCTGGTATAAAAATTTAGGAAACCCTAGTGTGTGTATTTTACAGAAACTACGCCAATATGACTTGCAGAAGACTTTTTGAAAAAATAATTCTAAGAATTAAACTCTTATCGTGCTCAACTTCCGGTTTCGCTTTACCTGTCGCTTGAAGCAAAGCTCTGTAAACCTTCGTGTAGCCTCCCTCTGTGTTTTCGTTGATGGAGAGTCGAGATTCGTTTGCATTGACAACTAAAATGGCAGCATCCATCTCCAGTGTGGTAATCGTTTGATCGCTGAACTCGGTTATCTCGGAAACTGCGAAATAGTGTTGCTTCACAGATATCTCAATGCCAAGATTCCTTGTCGTTGTCAACAACAAATGTTCGATGGAATCAAGCTTATAAACACGGTCGCAGTTGAAGAGATGGAATTTTCTAGGCGATGCCATGATATTTCTTTTATCATGGAGATACTTTTATTCCTTTTGCAGTGGTTACTCAGAGCTTGTAACAATAACGTATCATGGAAGAAGTTGTCTCGATATACGAAGACGATTTTGTTGTAACAATTTCTAAGAAAAATAGGAACTTGGGCGACTCGTTTACTTCGCTTTTTCCCTCCAACCACAACGATAACACTCTCTCCTGGTGCAGATACGAATAAGTTATTAATTCAACGAGAGACAATAACCCAACGAAATTTTTACAAGAGTTTTCCGTATTCTGCATGATGCATATGCACCAATTTAGCGGCCAATCTTAAACCGTATACTCAATGAAAAGCACTCCTAAATTTTGCTTTTCTTCCCCAGTTTACCTTACGATAGAACCACACATATGAATCATTAAACATATCAAACTCTTTCCCCCAGGCCAGCGCGACGAACATTTGTTTTTATCGGTTCCAGGTGTACGCGACCACTAACCCTACGTAATGCGCATGCTCTCCGCTGCGAATTTTCAAAATGGCGGACAGGCCAAAGAGGGAAATAAAAAAGCGAAGCGATTTTGCAATAAATACTTAACATACACCCCCGTTAGAAAGGCGAATCCACGAAAGAAAGATACAAAACTGTATGATATTGAGATCAGGGAGGTTGACAAAATCAACAAGAGAGGTTGAAAATTCATTACGTTGGCTATAGCACATGCTTCGATGAATGGAGACCCCTCAGGGCCGATAGAGGATCTGGATATTTTCCGTTTGTTCGCAGCGAAAAGCTGTCCATTCCCTCGGGAAACTCTCTAAAGGATAGAAAAGAATCGTTCCATGGCCAACTTGCTCGTGAAATAAAGAAAAAGCTTTGGTCTGGACGGCGAGAGGACCTTGATATAAACATAGACCTTAATGTTGACCAAGATGTTTTCATGGAAGGTCTTGGGAGTGTTTTGCCCGGTGTTCTTCAAAGAGGGATGATGGTTTACCAATTGGAGTCAAATTGGGTGCTTGATTCATATCTGGGGCTGAAGTGGGATGAAAGAATTTTAAATGTAGCTGAAGATTTTGCCTATGTAATTCCAGGAACTATTAAGTATTGACTGGGACAAAGAAGTCCAATCATTGAATACAAGCTCATCGGGGAACAATATGCTAGAACACAAGTTGAAAACAGCTACTTTATTACATTTCAGTTTGTGAGAGGTGATGGTAACAGGAACAACTACCATGCCAACAGATAAAATAACAATCCATTGTGTAAACACTATATAGCATCTTGGCCAAAAACTTGAGATTCACAATCAGAAGTTCCAATAATTTTTTACAGTTGTGGCTGAGTCACCTGGCTTATGGCTGGAAGCAAGGTTGCTGGTGACCTTGTTTTGATACAAACCCCTTTGCTTTTCTTGTGTAAATAAAGGCTAGTTAATTCATAGGCCGGGTTACTGAATAAACTGTAAAATGGCCTATTTTGGCAAAGAAATTAAAGGTGATATTTTAAGGGTACTAGAAGTATTAAATGTTTTGATCCTGACTAACATTGTGACCAAACTAAGGGAAGATCAGGCTCAAGAAATCCTTCCTCAAGAACTAAATGACGTATTTTATAACATAAAGCTAATGAAACTAGCTAAAACTAAACTTACTCTGGTTAATATTGAAGCTGGCATCTGGGAATCCATTTGCCACCTTCCTTCACAAGATGTGCACAGCAAATTGGAGCTGGACAATTTTTGCATGATGATGTGCATGTCTTGATGTTGTGGCCTTTGTTTGAACAGTTATTGCATTTGTAGGTGTTCTTAACCCTTTCATAACCCCTGCCTTTAGGAACTGAATCCTGTTTTTCTTCAGAAACAGTTGTTTGAGGGTGAACCCCTTTGTGATTTGTGGATCTGAAGAAATCTTTAGAAGCTTTATTTTATTTTTCCATTAGCCTTGCTGTGTGTAATATGCTATATTCTGATAAAGTGACAAGAACTCAGGAACATGATAACATAGTGCATGCATGTAGGGAGTGACATCTTTTGCTTAGTAAACTTTGAGAAAGTGCTCAAACCATGATTTGATATTTCTTTGCAATTCAAGAATACCCTCTTCAGATGTAAAATCTAGCTTCAAATCACCAATTATGTCCATAAATTTAGCCCAGATCATTTGTATGTCTTAGTTTTGACTGCAATGAGGGACAAGCATAGGTCGGAATGTTTATATTCTGAAAGAGTTTCAATTATTCTGGTCCAGTAAGATCTCTATATTCCAGCTTTTTGCTCTCTTTGTTGATTTAAAATTAAAAGTGATTCCCATACTTTTGATAAATTCTTCATAACATGCCATGTGTTTATATTTATCTCTTGGGAATCCATCAGAGGTTTTTTTTTTCTCAATAGCATCACTTCTTCTCAGCCCCTTTCCAATATTTGTACCATCACCACTAAGCTTCTTAATAGTTTCTCTATCATTGATTTCTCCATTCTTCTGAAGCCTAACAATGTGCTCTTGCAAGCTTTCTGCAAATTCTAACTGAACACCTTCAGCATCTCCTGGTGTTGATGTCAAGTTCCATTCACTGTTTAGCTTTCTTGACAGCTTTCTGAAAACAGAATATTTTCTTTCTGAAGACTTCTGATATATGGCTATTGATTATTATACCTCGTATACCCGATTGCTCAAACACTTTGTTTACAATTATTGAAACGACCGACTCATGGTTTTCTCTGAAAACTTCTTTGCTTTGAAATAGTATAGATTAGTAAGCTGAAACGAAAAATTAATCAGGGAAGTTTACGAAAAATCCAGCGAACAAGCTTAAAAAAGGCATTTATTTAGACTTCATACTGCGATGAACTTCACAAATCTTACTTGTTTATCTCGTAAGTAAACAATGGCAGATTGATTCCCGAAGTGCTTTCTGAGTTTCCCGATCCCTCTCCTACTGCTTTCACGCTCACAAAACAGGAAAAAATCAAAAGGAGGAAGATACAGCTGTTTTGAAACGCCATTTGACGTTGGTAAAATGTTCGAAAATTACACTCGATTTGAGTGGGGCGTTGAAGTGGGCGTGGTCACTATATTCATGTTAAGACTATTTCTACCCCGTCAGTTTGCTATGTGTCAATCGGGCGTGTCGCAGGCAGATTACCGCAACGCTGTTAAAACCGGTGCGTCTATCGACTGGTGCTCACCTCGTACAACCCATGTAATTTAAATTGAGTAAATGTTAATATAGATAGACATTCACAACAAAAGAGGGCTCCTTTAGGAGCCACAAACTCATAAAAGTCAATGACCAACAAATGAACGTAACTTCTCCTTTACATAAACTAAGACTGGGGGCTAATCGTCCAGGGACTGGGGGCTAATCGTCCAAAGACGGGGGGCTAATCGTCCAGAGACTGGGGGCTAATCGTCTGGGGCTAATTGTCCAGGGGGCGAGTTGTCTGACATTCATTACAACGAGATTGAAGTACATCAGCTTAAAGATGAGAACAGCCAGTGGAGGGGAGAAAAAATAAAATTAGAAGAATCGTTGGTACAGGAGAAGGCAAAGCGATTGCGAGTGGATAAAAAAGCCCGAGAAGCTCTCGAGAAAGCTGAGAAGAAAGGGGCCTTCTACAATAAAAAATTTATTCAGTTGGCCAAAAAAGTGATTACAAATGGGAAAAAAGGTAGAGGCCCAGCTAAGAAGAAGTTTAATGACTATTCTAAGCACCATCAAAAGAGAATTAAAAACCAACTGAAGGAGGAGTGTCAAACTACACTCTCCTTTCTTGGGCTGTACAATTTTGTTGCAACCAAAATTGAAGTCCTCAACACTGAGACTAATCAATATGAAACTTTCAATCTTGTTGGAGAGGGAGAGCTGCCATTTACAGAGTCTGACCCAAAGGCAAAGCGATTGCGAGTGGATAAAAAATCCTGAGAAGCTCTCGAGAAAGCTGAGAAGAAAGGGGCCTTCTACAATAACAAATTTATTCAGTTGGCCAAAAAGTGATTACAAATGGGAAAAAAAGGTAGAGGCCCAGCTAAGAAGAAGTTTAATAACTATTCCAAGCACCATCAAAAGAGTAGTAGTTGCCAAACTACACTCTCCTTTCTTGGGCTGTATAGTTTAGTTGCAACCAAAATTGAAGTCCTCAACACTGAGACTAAGCAATATGAAACTTTCAGTCTTGTTGGAGAGGGAGAGCTACCATTTACAGAGTCTGACCCAAAGGCCCTTAATAATGATGACATTGATAACATAAATATGTGGCTCTACCTTAAAGATAAATTCATTATTTCAAATGAGGCCTGGCATGAAATTGCCATTAAGGCTAATGATCTCCCCAATATATATTCCATCAAGAAGCAAATTAATGAGCTAAACAGTAAATGGAACTTGAAACCAACACCAGGAGATGCTGAAGGTGTTCAGTTAGGATTTGCAGAAAGCTTGCAAGAGCACATTGTTAGGCTTCAGAAGAATGGAGAAATCAATGATGGAGAAACTATTAACTAAGATCAAGCTTAATGGTGATGCTACAAATATTGGAAAGGGGCTTACAGTTGTCAACTTCACTTTTACTATTCTCCATGAAAAGGATGTGGCAATGGGTGTGAAGGGAAATTATATACTTGCTTTTATAAAAACTACAGAGACATATGATAATCTGAGAGACAGCCTAGCAGACCTTCAAATGGAAATGTCAAACTTAAAGGAGATAAGTGCAAATAATTGCACCTATAAAATTGAATACTTTTTAGATGGAGATTTGAAATTTTTAGCACTGGTATGTGGTTTAGGCAGGGCAAATGACGATTATGCTTGTGTGTGGTGCAAGTGTCCCAGGGAGCAACGGTGGGACACAAGTCAAACATGGTCAATTAATGACCCCAAATTTGGTGCTAAAACTGTCACCAAAATAGCAAGGTTTTCCACTGGAAAGAAATTAAACTGTAAGGCGCAACCATTATTTGATTTTATATCTATGGACCATGTCATCATAGATACATTACATTTTTTTCTGAGGATTTCAAATGTTTTGATTGACTTGTTCATAAGAGAGCTGAGAAGAAGTGATGCTATTGAGAAAAAAAACCTCTGATGGATTCCCAAGGGATAAATATAAACACATGGCATGTTATGAAGAATTTATCAAAAGTATGGGAATCACTTTTAATTTTAGAATCAACAAAGAGAGCAAAAAGCTGGAATATAGAGATCTTACTGAACCGGAAAAGTTGAAGCTCTTCCAGAATATAAACATTCCAACCTATGCCTGTCCCTCATTTCAGTCAAAACAAAGACATACAAGTGATCTGGGCTAAATCTATGGACATAATTGGTGATTTGAAGCTAGATTTTACATCTGAAGAGGGTATTCTTGAACTGCAAAGAAATATCAAATCATGGTTTGAGCACTTTCTCAAAGTTTACCAAGCAAAAGATGTCACTCCCTACATGCATGCACTATGTTATCATGTTCCTGAGTTCCTGTAACTTTATCAGAACATAGCATATTATACACAGCAAGGCTTGGAAAAATACAATAGTAGAGCTTCTAAAGATTTCTTCAGATCCACAAATCACAAAGGGGTTGATGCCCTCAAACAACTGTTTCTGAAGAAAAACAGGATTCAGTTCCTGGAGGCAGCAGGTTATGAAAGGGTTAAGAACACCTACAATGATGAGCTTGTATTCAATGATTGGACTTCTTTGTGCCAGCCAATACTTAATAGTTCCTGGAATTACATAGGCAAAATCTCCAGCTACATTTAAAATTCTTTCATCCCACTTCAGCCCCAGATATGAATCAGGCACCCTATTTGACTCCAACTGGTAAACCATCATGAAAATATCTTGGTCAACATTAAGGTCTATGTTTATATCAGGGTCCTCTCGCCGTCCAGACCAAAGCTTTTTCTGTATTTCACGAACAAGTTGGCCATGGAACGATTCTTTTCTATCCTCTAGAGAGTTTTCCGAGAGAATAAACAGGTTTTCGCTGCGAACAAACGGAAAATATCCAGATCCTCTATCGGCCCTGAAGGGTGTCCATTCATCGAAGCATGTGCTATAGCCAACGTAATGAATTTTCAACCTCTCTTGTTGATTTTGTCAACCTCCCTGATCTCAATATCATACAGTTTTGTATCTTTCTATCGTGGATTCGCCTTTCTAACGAGGGTGTATGTTAAGTATTTATTGTAAAATCGCTTTGCTTCTTTATTTCCTCTTTGACCTGTCCGCCATTTTGAAAATTCGCAACGGAGAGCATGCGCACTAATAGTCCAGAGACTGGGGGCTAATCGTCCAAATGCTGGGGTCGTCTGGGGCTAATTGTGCAGGGGGCGAGTTGTCCGGATACCCGTTGTAATACACCGATACCGAGGGCCCGTTTCCAAATTTCTAAGAAGTGCATTTAATTGCCTTCCGCCACGATTTCTAGCTTTCTTGACAGCTTTCTGAAAACAGAATATTTTCTTCCTGAAGACTTCTGATATGTGTCTATTGATTATTATACCTCGTATACCTGATTGCTCAAACACTTCGTTTACAGTTATTGAAAGGACCGACTCATGGTTTTCACTGAAAACTTCTTTGCTTTGAAATAGTATAGATTAGTAAGCTGAAACGAAAAATTAATCAGGGAAGTTTACGAAAAATCCAGCGAACAAGCTTAAAAAAGGCATTTATTTAGACTTCATACTGCGATGAACTTCACAAATCGTACTTGTTTATCTCGTAAGTAAACAATGGCAGATTAATTCCCGAAGCGATTTCTGAGTTTCCCGATCCCTCTCCTACTGCTTTCACGCTCACAAAACAGGAAAAAATCAAAAGGAGGAAGATACAGCTGTTTTGAAACGCCATTTGACGAGGGTAAATCTGCTTTTTGTTCGACACTTTAAATATCAAAACAAAGGAAATTGTTCCTCTTTTTTATTCTGGCGGTACATTTTTGAATTGCGCTTGTGTAAAAGGGATATCGCCCGAGACGTTTCGCTCGGTTGTGTTTTGAACAAAAACGCCTTGTTAATTTCACGCAACCGCTCGGAGAAAAGGTCAAAATGACGAGCGAAAAACTTTACCTTCAAGTTAAAAAATTAGCGAAATAGAAAGCCACAATATTATAGTTTAATATTTCAGAGGTACATTGAGTGCTTTTTCCGTAGAGAATCCGCACGATGGTAAAATATTCGAAAATTACACTCGATTTGAGTGGGGCGTTGGAGTGGGCGTGGTCACTATATTCATGTTAGGACTACTTGTACCCCATGAGTTTGATATGGAATTAAAATTAGTTCTAAATTCTTGGAAACAGTTCCATTTGTCTCATTCTTCGTTTCAAAAGCATTCTTAAAATTTACATCTGCCTCAATTTGAGGGCGGAAAAAAATAAATTGTGCTTCAGAAATGCAGGAATCTTGATCAGGGCTCCGAGCTCGACTTTTTTCAAGGTCATCACTTAAAGAAGTAAAATCATTCAAAAGGTCACTAGAAGAAATTTTGTCTTTTGGAATAAAAAAATTAACAGATTCTCAGAAACAGTTGATATAGTTTCCGCTTTCACCGTCTGTTCGCTTTATTAGAAATATAAAACGCGTAGGTTTCAAACGTTCGATACCTGTACTTAAATACAAGTTTTATTCATGTAAATTTTTTTTCCTATAGAGATCAACACAGATACTATCAAATTTTCAATTAAACTCGAGAAAGACAAAAAGCTAGCTGCTTTCAAGAAAGCTCTGTATACCATTGTGTATCAAGATTCCATCTTACTGTGGTTAATAAAGAGACCAGACACGGGTGCGCTCACCACAAAAGTTGCAAACTAAACAAGTTTTTCTCTATTAAAATATCTTTCTGAGATAAACTTGAATCAGATAACTATAAACTCACTCGTTTTCCGTTTGACCGACTAAACGACGATAGCCTCTACCTTTGCAACCTTTGAGGAAAGGAGCAACTAGCACGGTAAAACTGCCCAATAACTACTCGGCGAAAATAATCGCACCTCGTGATAAAGCTGATTCTTTCGATGCTGCCATCAAAAGTTAGCTTTTTATGTTGCTAAGGGAATTTCTCTACGGCAACGAAACTCCAGAGCACCGACCACGGCATCAGTGGAACATTCTCTACACTTGGTGCAAAGGAATGATAAGTTTTGGCTACAGAAACAAACACAACTACCCATTCTTAAAATGGATTTTGCCGCAGAAAACAAGACACAATTTAAACCCAACGAACGAAACCTTCAGTGACGGGAGATTTTTGCTCTGATCTTGACCTGAACACCGCAAGTGAGAAACCATCGTTGTCAGTGAAATATTCGCTTGATGCACGCTGTTCTCCTTCGTAGGGCTAAACCGTACTCGCAACTTCAATTTTTTCTTTATTACTCAAGTATGATGTATCACAACTCTCAGCAGAGCTTGCTGAAGGTAGGTATACATCGCCATCAAACATTATCTCTACAGTATTTCAACGTTAACTAATACAAAATTACAAGAGAAATATGAGATTTCGCAAGTGTCAATCGAAAGTTTTTACAGTTTTCTACGTCATAACACGCTAACCCGTCGCCAGTCTACAGAACCATTTTAGACAAAAGAGCACCTTGGGCCAGGAAAAAAAACAGCTGCAATTTTTTGGAATTTTCCCCTAAGGATTGTACAAATGATAAACTGAATAATTACGCAAAAAGTACTTCGTGCCACAGGCACTCCAACTCGCTCTGACATACAAACATAAAATACACTTTCTCCAGTGCTAAAGGTTAGGAGCAGAGGGACAAGACAAAAAAATATGTAAGGAACGAGAAAAAAAATGAAACTCTCTATTCATAAATTCTGTTACTCTCTTAGAAGCACTTTCCCTTTTTACTATGAATCGAAATTTCCTTTCAGTTCCTGAAATGATGTACAGGTCAGCACTAACTTTTTCTGTGATACCAGAGATAATGTCTTGAGGAATGTGAAAATTTCCAAACTTAAACTGTACATCAACGTCGTTAAAAGACACCTTTCCGTGGTGGATACGAGTTTTCATTAAAAGAAACTCATCTTTAGCAAGCTCTATATCGTCATTTAGGAAAAACTTCGTAAAATCTTGATAATCATGACACTCAAGTGTGCCATCACTATTCCTAATAATTCTTACTCCAATATCATGGGTATGACGGTGTTTTCTGATCAACCTTTCTTGAATGTCTTCTGGAATTATAAATTCAGGGTCCCAAACTTGAAGGTCACCTAACTGATTAGATATCTTTCCATAACGAGCGATACTTCTCAGCACAACAACGGGAGGAGGGTTTCCAGGGAGTTGTGTCGCCAGAACAGGCTGCGGGATATTTTGGGAACTCTCCCCATGACAGCTTTTTACTTCTAAATATTGAGTTTGTAATTGATCTTCGGTAACGTTAGAAGACGAGTCAGCGTCAATATCCGGTTCTTCAGAACTTCTTGGGCGGATCAAATGTGTGTTTGGTGTGTAGGTACTGTCTCCCTGATTACTGCAAGAAGGTTCCATCCCCGCCGAGTCTCTGCTGCCGCCCGCGGCACTACTGACGCCACTAGGGTCTGAATCAGTCGGATTTTCCTCGTTGTCAGCTGACAGTAAAGAGGTGTCTTTACCGTTATGTGAGCAACTCTTGGATGTGTATGGATTTTCTAATTCTGTAGATGTGTCCTGCAATTGAGGTTGTGAGTTTGATTGTTGGTTGGGAGTAGGCGGCCGATATTCAAACTTTTGTCCTTTCTTGTTTGTATCAAAGTGATGCAGTAAAGCTTGTTCGTGAACCGCTCGATGTTGTTTGTTCCAGGAGAAGATAAAGCTCTTCCTACCATCAAGATACTCACTGCCGAACTGTGAAGAGACTTTCCTCTTCGCCCAACTTGAAATAACATCTCCATTCTCTTCCTTGTCGTCTTTGTAGTTATCATCTCCCCCGATGACGGTGATAACATTTCCTCCTGTGGATCGAGCAGATGAAAATGTAAATGAGTGCAGAGTTATTACACACTTCTGGTGACCAGATTTTACATATGGAAGAATATCCTTGATTGACTAGGCGCAATCAACATGTCGACAGGAAGCTGCTACCTGCGTAGAATGTGCATACATGAAACGTTCGATCAGTTTGCGTCACGCCAGGGCCTTGCAGACCTTTTCGGAATCGATTTTCGTACATTTTCTTGCACTCGTGAACATAATGCTAAATATCACTTATTTACTAAAAGGAAGATAAAATTTAACATAAAGTCAAGAGCACATCATGTTTTCCTGAAACAGTAAATACATATAATTGATTTCAATTTACCTGTCATCAAGTGTTTGTTCAAATGGATTTCATATGTTTAAAAACGACGCATTTGACCCCATTTTGGTTGTTATAGATAACTGCTGGTAATTAGTATCATTTGCAAAGGTAAACAATTGACTGTTTCATCCTGTCAAAAGCAAATTTTCTGAAGAAATATGTTTTGAAAGCTCAAAATATCCAATGAGAACTCTTGCTGATTTGATTGTTATGGTTGAATTTTTTTTTTCTCTTTGAATATCATCCAGTCTTGTTAGATAATATATTCAATATTACCTCAGCCTCAGCAAAATAATTCTTAGATACGTTTCTCGTTTCAATTCGTCTCATACTTTCCTGACGGTTAGTGTCGGATCATTTTCATGTTCTCGCCGAGAGTAACGTGTAATAGAAATTTTCAATATACTTATGGGATATACCTAACTTGAACGAGCGGCATCCCGATTCCCGGGCCCTATGGCTTTTTCATAAACTTTCGGGCGGAGCCGGGAAAGGGACTATGCTCTTTGAGTTTCAGCTTCTGAAATTACAAAACATGTATGCATGATTATCCCTCTAAACTGAGCTTAGAAAAAGGCAAAGGTTCTTCTCTGTCATAAGGAGTAGTCTCAACCCTAAGAGTCGAAGAAGGATCAGAAACAGGCGGTGTGCGCACGCCGATTGCGTTGCATTGTGGTAGCTCCATTTTCAATATGACGATGAAAGCGAGAGAAATCGGCAGATTTTGACTGAACACTTCGTAGAAGTTAGGCCGTTCCTTTTCCCTTTCACCATTGGTAAATATAATTTTATTTATTGAGAATGTATAAAGTATTTTTTGTGCGTATTTGTTGCGTATTCTATGGTTCTCAAGGACAAACGTAAGCACCGTTTTTTAGTATGTAATATGAGACCAGTTTTCGAGAATATCAAATTTGATGTATTTCGAAGTTTGGAGCCTTTCGAAGATTTGGATGGCCGCTTCAACAGCACTGACCAAACGCTCTCAAACACTCTCTAACGGTACATGCGTTTCTCGCATTTTAAGTGAGACCGATTATGACCGAGAAAAGGGCATAGGGTAAAATATGGACTGTATTTTTTTTTTGGACCATTTTTTGGACCAGTTTTTGGACAATTATTTGGAGAAATTTAGAAGGGGGGAAGCACACCATTAGTACTCAGGAAGAGGTAGGATGAAGTCTATCAGTACTGAGGGAGGAGTGGGAGGTAGAGTGTTATTACTCAGGGAGGGGTGAGAGACGGACTATTACTATGCAGGGAGGGCTGGGAGGTGATGGTAATAGTAAACACTACTGGTTAATGGAGCTTTTACTCGATCATACAAATTACTTTAATAGGTTTTTCAACTGACTTTCTGTATGCGTTGGGCCGCGGCGTTTCTTCATTTTTCTGTCACGCGAAAGCGAAACTGCCTCGTAAACACTGGACTTCAATTTTTGTTGAAAATATCGCGTTTACGATCCTCCACTGTTGAGTTATACGTGTGCCTTTTGACTCGACTTGTGCACCATCAGTTCCTTCAAGTTTCCCTTTGTGTGCACAGTATTTAATTACTAAATTTATCTATCATCCTTTTGTCATTGCTCTTATCAGACCAGATCACGGAATTTCCGGTCCTTAGCCCTTGACTTGGCGGCATATAGAATTCACAGGCACTATCGCAATTTTAACGTTTAGAACTTTACTTTATAAAAGCCTCAGGAAACGATTTCGAAGAGGAATCCATATTCTCGAATCGAGCAAAAACACTGCTGTACTTGCAATATGAGAAAGCGCAAATCTCGATTTCATCTGTTTCGCAAACAAAGGAGTTAATCACCGGCACCGGAAATCGCGACTAAGTATTGCTCGCGTCTCCCCTAGGCTTGTTTTCCAATTTGCCCTGGACGCTGCTAATCACTTCTTGCGTAAAAACCCACAAAACCTGCGAAGTGGAACTATGGTAGCTACTGTTGCATGCAGATATTCTCCGTCGGCAAAACGTAGTCATGCTAACCCGTGAGTATCATTTAGCACTGGCACAAGTCAACCTAATGGGCACACGCACAAAAAGTCAGTCGAAAAACTGATTAAAATAATTTGTACGATCGAGTGAAAGCTCCATTAACCAGTAGTGTTTACACTGTTCCCCGCGTAGTAATAGTCCGTCTCTCACCCCTCCCTCAGTAACACCGTGCCTCCCACCCCTCCCTCAGAGCTGATAGACTGCATCTCTGAGTACTAATAATGTGCTCCCCCCTTATAAAACGGTCCAAAAAATGCTTCAAAAAATAGTCCAGTCTATATTTTACCCTAAGCCCGAGAAAAGGCCTATTGTTGCGTTACACAGCGTTACTATTGTATACTCAATTGTGTTGTAAATCTACTTTCCAAAGTAAAGGCAAATTAGCTAGTCGCGAGTGTTGTATGGTAAATCTACTTTCTGGATCATTGAACGAAGGACAGTTGAATTGGAACAATGTCATTTCATCACTGAAAAACTCTATATTACACACGGCGACACGCCGGGTAAGCCGGAAAGCATAAGGCAGTCGATCGTTAAAAGGTGTTGATAGGATTCTGCGACTCCTGCCATTCGCTTGCGCTTTTAAATCTTCTGACCTGAAAACTTAGCTGTTATAAAGATAGCTTTTAATGACTTTCCTTTGCGATGTGATGATAAGGGTTAGTTTCCTGTTATTTCCCTGTCTGTATGTTCTTGAGGTTTGGCAAAGCCGGATGAGATCGTGTTACAAAAGGTAATATTTTCATACTGTCTCTCCCACAGAAGATAACTTCAGAGATACGGTTTTCATAACCTTATTCTGAGTATTCTCTATTCTTTTAAGCATATTTGAAAATCTGCGCGTTTTTTATTAAACGTTAAGCGTGACGAATTTTGGCTTCTCCTTTCGCGAATTCCATATTTACGCCTTAAGTACATGACATGAAAAATAGTTCGTGTACTAGAAGGTCGCTATCTCTGTAATTCGTTTGCATGTCAAGCGTCGATTCCCTGTTAAATAACTCGCGAATTTGATATTGTTCACCCAGCCATCGGCTGTGAGTGTGACTGCTACCAAATGAATAGATTAGTGGGCAAGGCTGCAGTTTCGATTCTTTCTGAATCTCTTCAGTTGCCTCCCAGCAACGAATTTGTCACGGAGGAGTAACAGGAGTCGCGCAGGCCTGCAAACACTTTTTAACTTTCGAAGGAACTGCAACAGAAAGTGAATCCTCGTTACATTCCACGATTATTCACGCTATCTTGCTGCCACCAAAGATGCTCACTCGACCGCGACAGGATGCAAATGACTCACTTTTCGTTTTACGATCATGATGCAACGCAATCAGAGTGCGCACACCGCCTGGATCAGAAAGGTCGGACAGCTAATAAAAACAAACTTGATTATTGCCCTGACGCCGTTACATAAAACAATTGTTCGCTGTTAGCCACTCTACAGGGTTGCCGTCGAACGTGATTTAACAGAAGCTATCAATTTATGATAATCTACTTTCGCTTTCAAGATTGGGTGTCTAATGGGCTTTTGTTGTGGAACACTATAGTACATCGCTTTTTTACTAAAATTTTACAAAGTTACCACTGCCTTTCCTAAAGAGAACTTTAGGTGCCAGACGAAGCGTTTTCGAGCAATATTAAATGTGTTTTAAACGAGGAAAGTTAATGTGAGTTTAGATAATATGTTTAATCCGGCAGCAACATGTACGTATATCTTCATCAGTATTTACTCAACTTGAACGTGTTGTATCCAGATAAAAAATGCAAATAATTTACCTATTTATAGACTTAAAGCTACTGAAATTTCAAAAGGCAAGATCAACCCCCTTTAGCCGAAAAGCCTTCGCCTTAGAGAACAAAACAGAAAATTCAGATAGCAAACTCACTCTGAGTGTTCAAGACTCTGACTCAGCTGCATAAAACAAGTCTTCACATTTTGCCACTTCGAGGAGCAACCGTCGACCTTAATCTATGATTATTTACTTTCGCTTTCACGTCTGATGTCTAACGAGCTATTGTTTAGGAAATATAGAAAAGGTTTGCACTAAGTCCCCACTACCTTTCTCAAAAATAGCCCAGCTTGCCCAAAAATCCGCGATTAAGAGCAATGAAATGCGTTCGAAAAGATGACTGAGTAAAATACTTCCGCTTCTTACCCGTCGCCATTAGTAAAGCTCTGTATATCTTGGCGTAACCAATTCCAGCGTTGTCTTCGTTGATCGAGAGTCGAGATTCATGCGCATGAACCACGAAAAAGGCCATATCCATCTCTAAGGTTGGAATTTTTTCTATCATTTCAGACATTTCGGGGAGTCTGAACGAGTGCTTCTCAACATGGATGCTGAATTGGTCAAGCAATTTCTCGACAGGCTCTAGCTTGTACGTATTATCACAGTTAAAAAGGTGAACTCGCTTTCTCAATTGCGACATCTTCTATCTATGGTTTTTTTGTCTCTTTGAACGTAGCAGTTCTATAGTCGTTGAAGAATAAGTCTGAATTTTCAAAATCGCCTAGAGAGGAAGACGACTGCTTGCGCAATGTTTCCGAGAAAGTCAGTCACTTATCTGATCGAGATGAGTCACGCAATCCCCACACAATATATACTGATTGGAACACTAGAAACCCATGATGGGTCCTAAAAAATTTATTCTCTCACAGAAATACAGCTGTTTCCGACAATCGATAAAACCGGACCTTATAACACAAAAAAACTTTCGCTTTTAAGTCTACAAACAGTTTGTCTCGTGGCTATAAGCTTTCATTGCTGCTCAGTAAGGTGAGAGAATTACTGCAATTTGTTTGTTATTAAGTTATAGGCAAAGAAATTGTAGTGCCCCGTGCACGAGAAATGGTATCTAACTTATAAAATAAAACTATTCTTGAATCCTCGAGTAGCAATGTACTACACCGCAAGCACTTACAGAGGAAGTTGAAATAACCACGAGAAAGTTTTTATAATAATATGAATCAAGCTAAATACCTTTAACATCGTACTTGTGCGAAATTACATCTAATAAAGATTGATTTCGATAACCATTTCAAAAGGAAAGTTCACGAAAATAAGTTATATAACGTTGTGATGAAATGTCATCATAACTGATATTAGATTGATTTTTGTATATGTAAACTTCACAACAAATTAAATAAGACAGATTGATTGCTGAAAGCTAAAGTTATTTCTTGAAGTATATAGGTTCTTCCTGTAAGCTGTTAGAAGGCAGCTAACTGACTTTAGTTCTGCCTTCAAAACAGACAGTGATTTACGTAATCATTACCCAATGACTTAGCATCAGTGATTTAAACATGGAAGACCTAGATCTTCCAAGACTATTCTTATCACTTTTTTAAGATCAATTCCACTTTTTATTACACATCGAAAATGTTCCGAGCCATTTGAAATAATGTACAGATCACCATTAGGCTTTTTATCTTTAGCTCTGAAATCATCGATAATGTGTTGCGGAATGCACGCGTTTCCATACTTAAACTGTACAGCAACATCTTCAAAAGACACCTCTCCGTTGCGAACACGAGTTTTCAATATGAGTTGTTCATCAGCAGCAAGCTGTATTTCCCCGTCCAACGAAAGTTCTTTTAAATTTGGGTCAGTATAACACTCAATTTCGCCATCACTGCGCTTAATGACTATCACTCCAATCAAAGGAGTGTTGCGGAGTTTTTTGAGCAGCCTCTCTTGTATGTCATCGGGAACTTTAAATTCGGGGTCCCATATTTGAAGGTCGCCTATCTGATCAGGTACCTTTCCATAACGAGCGAAACCTCTCAGTAAAACAGTGGGAGGAGATTTAACTGAGAATTGTGTCGCCCACACCAGCTGTTGGGTATTTTCAAAATGGATACTTTTATCTTCTGGAAAATTCCTTTGTGAATAATCTAGATCTCCTTGTGCGTCTCTCTGATTACTAAAAGAAGGATCCGACGACTCCCTGCCTCTGCTGCGCTCAGAGCTACAGTCGCCACCACGGTGTGAATCAGTCTGCCTTTCTTCAACCGTTGTCAATTCAGAAGTGGCTTCATCATTACGAGGAGGACTTTTGGGTTTCTGCGGATTTTTCAATTCGGGAGATTTTGCTTGAGATGGAAGTTCTGGTATTGATGGTTGGTTTGTAGATGGTGACTGATGATGGAACATTTGTCCTTTCTTGTTTGGATCAAAGTGATGCAGCAGAGCTTCTTCGTGAATTGCTCGATGTTGTTTGTTCCAGGAAAAGATGAAGCTCTTTCTTCCATCAAGATACTCTATGCTGAATTGTGAGGAAACTTTTCTCTTCGCCCAACGTGAAATAACCTCTCGATTCTCTTCGTCGTCGCTCTCGTAATTGACATCTCCTCCGATAACGATGACGACATCTCCTCCTGTAGACAAAGGAAATTCAAATGTAAAGAAGCGTAACAATATTATCCTGTGAAATGTAATTTCCAATATTTTGTTGCTGATTATTGGCCTTCCAGACCTCTTCGTCACTATTTAAAATTTCATCCTTTTTTTTGCAACCGTGGCATTAACGCTATTAATACATAACATATCTACCAGAGGGTAAGAAAAATGCAACATATAATGGAGAGAAAAACATTTTCTCTTTGTTCAAAAAAAGAATCTAATATTAGGTTCGCCCTCTGTTACGTAAACAATTAAAAAAAATAATCTTAGCTATTTCACTGTCCCTTAAAATCGAGCAATAAAACGGCAAGGGAGTTTCAGGTGGCTTAAGAGAGGCATTTTGAATCTATTGTCGGTTGAAATGATAACTGCTGACTAGAGGCTTGCTTTGTCAGAGTTGAATTCTTTCTCCAATCTATTTAAGTTTCTTGAAGATACCCTGACAGCTTTGGAAGACTCAATTATTATTCAATGAATTGATCCTTGGAATAACATTTATCATTGCAGGCCAATAACTTTAATATTCCTTAGGCCATAATACATAAAAGTCCTTAGGCAACAATACCTAAAGCATCAGAACTTTTAAGCATAGATCAATCTCTATTTCCAATACTGCTCGCCTTTCCCTGAAATTTAATGCTAGTTTAAATCTTTTGTTTAATCCGGCAGCAACATGTAAGTTTATCTTTATCAATAATTACTCAACTTGAACGAGTTGTATCCAGATAAAAAATGCAAATAATTTGCCGTGTTTCCGAACCGAGGAAGAGGAATGGTTTTAGACTTTAAGCGACTGAAATTTCAAAAGGCAAGATCAACCCCCTTTAGCCAAAAAGCCTTCGCCTTAAGAAACAAAACAGAAGCTTCAGACAGCAAACTCACTCCGAGTATTTAAGACTAACGCAGCTGCATAAAACAAGTCTTCGCATTTTGCCACTAAGGGGAACAACCGTCGACCTTAATCTATGCTTATTTACTTTCGCTTTCACGTCTAATTAGCTTTTGTTTAGGAGGTTTCATGTCTTATGAGCTATTGTTTGGGAAATATAGAAAAGGTTTGCGCTAAGTCGCCACTACCTTTCTCAAAGGTAGCCCAGCTTGCCCAAAATGCGTGACTAAGAGCAATGAAATGCGTTCGAAAAACTTACTGTGATTAAAATACTTCCGCTTCTTACCCGTCGCTTGTAGTAAAGCTCTGTATATCTTGGCGTAACCAATTCCAGCGTTGTCTTCGTTGATCGAGAGTCGAGATTCACTCGCATGAACCACGAAGAAGGCCATATCCATCTCTTGGGTTCGGATTTTGTCGACCATTTCAGACATTTGAGCAAGTCTGAATGAATGCTTCTCTACAGGCTCAACATGGATGCTTAATTTCTCCGACAATTTCTTCTTCGTTTCCTCGAGCAATTTCTCAACGGGCTCTAGCTCGTATGTGTTGTCACAGTTAAAAATATGAACTCGCTTTTTCGACTGCAACATCGTCTCTGTGTAGAACACAACTACTGGTGAAACTCTGGCAGATTTCATATGAATGTCCAAATTCGAAGTGAAGAATGGAACTGCGAAATATTTCCGAGAAAGCCTGTCACACAAATCCCCCCCCAAAAAGTCACGCAACAATGCAGTCTCATAACGGGTCGTAACACATTACTTGTCGCAGATGATAATAAAAGACAGTTGAAAACTACATGAGGATGCTGGTAGTGATTGGAAGATTGAAGAATTATTAGGAGATCGTAAGCTTAAAAAAAAACCATAAAAAAGAAAAGGTATGCTACCAGTTCAGTCAGTCAGTAAGCATACACAACGTTATTGATGAACTCAACACATAACAAACTAGAGGGCAATGTAAAACTTCATTCAAAAGTAAGTCAAAATTACACACCATGAAAAGTTCCCAGGTTTACTTAAATGTACCAGGTGAAACAGTGAAATAAGCTGTGGTACGCTTAAAAAGTTTCACCCTTTTTTTTTCATATATTTTTGTAGTAAAGTTTGTCTGACTCAAATTTTATGCTTTTGTAGTAATAACTTTTCAAAATTTGAAAGTGCGAATTAAATTTATAAAAACATTTTGTAATGTAATGTAAGCACTTGGGGTGTCTGGAGGTCAGGGACCTCCCTTCCTTTCTCCTGGATCCGCCATTGATGAATAAAGGAACAATGTAATGTGGGCTAAGTAACACAAATGGTTAGGTACTTGTTTAGTTTTAAATAAGTTCACTTGTTTGTCTGGTTCACTGCAGTGGCGGATCTAGGGGAGGGGCCCGGAGGGGCCCCCCCTCCCCTTATTGGCGATAATTTTGAGGCCTGAAGGGCAGGAAACTTTTTTTAATGCCCCACCTTAATTGTAAGGCCTGGAGGGAGGAAAAATTCTTCAGGCCCCCCAGTTTAGAATGAGGTCAGGATCTGCCACTGCACTGTATATGTTTATCTCTTAGTTGCAATATAATACTCTTTAAGCAGTTTAATGGGATATCAAATAATGATATCTGACAGTCTGTTGTTTTGACGAAGCTGCTTATAGGAAGATTAAAGGAAGTAAAATTGGGAATGGTTTTATGCTGCATTGATTGCATGATCACCTGAGCATATAACTAGTTTTGCAAACGCTTGAACGAGTGGTTATGATGCATTTGTTACAAATTACAGTTTTGCAATAGGTTGTAATTCACTCATGATCATAGATGTACTGTAAAAGTAAATATTATTGTAGAGGCAAGAACTGTGAAATTACTTGGGTTGTTTTGTCTGCTAGAATTTTTCTATCACCTGCTCGCAACACGATCTCCTTTAAATCTTGTAGTGAGATGTCAGATAATGACAAGTTGACAAAATAATTTTGTATTGCACACACTTGAAAGAGTAGTTATGCTGCAATTGGTACATGTTACAGTTTCTTCTCCTAGTTGTGTCTCAGTAATGCTCACGTTTCATACTAAGCAACTCGCACATCATTTGATATGGACACCGATGCAGCGGCCTTCTATTGTGTCGTCTGTTATTTCTGGGCTAATCAAATCGATGCAGGGTAGATCATCAATTTCTTTAAGGTCAGTGGCTTCAGTAGTATTTAAATACTTGACATTATCAAAAAACCCAACTTTTAATGTTTGAAATGGTATGTTTTCCCTGCATGAACTTTGTCAATTTGGTTTCCCACAAGACCAGTTTTACTGAGTTAGTTTCATCAGCTATAAGACAATAACTTTTACATTTGGCTTCCTCACATCCTTTATGAGAACCTGTTTATTCTCCTGCTTTTTGAGGACCTTGGCCTTGATATCTATAGTTTCATACAAATCTTTTCCAAGTGCTTCAGTATGGTGTATAACTGGTTGCTGAAGGCTTCATTTAAAAGAATATGAGAGAGAAGTTGGACTGTCATTTTTGCATACTTTGGAATAGTATATTCTTTTTCTTGTGTGTGGAACCTTTTTGATGGTGTAGGTTTTACTCCACTGATCTTTACTGGTAACTTATTTAGGTATGCTTGGTTTGTTCGCTTTTGAGGTGAATAAGACAGTACGCACTACTTCTTCTAGATCTTGAATGCGACAATTTAAGTATTTGGTTGTGAAATTTCTTGCTGTTTGTACCTCTGTTAACAAGTGCACATATCCCTCAGCAGATTCCTCTAAGAGAAAATTTGGAAAACAAGTAGTAATTTTCTGCTCATTGAGTTTTGTTGAGGATCTTGTATTAACACTAATCTATTCAGGAACCACTTCTTATTAAGCGCCAGTTAACAAATTCCTGAAATAATTTTTATAGCGCTACTGTAAATAAAAGTGATATAAAATGGCCAGTTCTATATTAATAAGTGTCGACAACCACTATTTAGCTGTCCTGATGCTCTATTGTTTTTACACCTCTTTAGCAGCCAGCAAGATTGTAATTTGAAAAGTTTGGCTTTCTTTTTTTTTTCTTAACAAACTTAGATGAGAGCCTAAAATTAGAAGTGATGAGTGATAAAATAATTCAAAGACAAGTTTTTCAAATAACCTGACCTTTCTAAATGGGTTATTTTATTTTTCTATCTGAAAAATTCCTTTTGAGGAGGGTCAAAAGGGTTATTAGCCGCTGGCACAAGCAGTGATTGCAGTTGTTGTGTAGATGAGAATGTGTGTAAAGTCATGTGAACTGGAAATAAAATGTTCAAAAAACAATTGTCCTTCTCTCTGAAATCTGTTTGATGGCGTATATATGGATTTTTCAATAATGTCTGTGCATGCAATCAATTGCATTAGTTTTCAATGTTTGATGATTTTGGAATATCATTGAAAGAGGAAAGGTCAATTGAGCCTCCTTACACCAGGTATATCTCCTTGAGCTATCAACATCTGTTACATGGACACTTGTAATTTCTTTTATGTATGTGCATGTTAACTGTACAAGTTTATTTTTTTTACCTGACTCTTTACTCTTGCTAGTCTATGTTGTTGTTAAGGAACCTTTACTAAAAAAAGGAAAAATAACGGATAATTAAACTTTGAGTGCAATTGAATGTACTTGTAATTGATAGTGATATAATTAGCTGTCAGTAATGGCAATATGTATTTAAAGATTGATAGGGTCTTACTAGGATACAAAAACTTACCTTGAGTTTGATGCCATGTTTTGAAATGTCAATTACTACAAAATAAAAGTAACACAATTAAGAGATTTTTTTATTTTTGCACTAAAATGCAGTACTTTGTAATGCAAATGATTTTCTTTATGTATGTGCAATGTTTATGACCACGCACATCTTTTGTGTTAGTCAAACACAAAAATTACTTTGAGGTAAGCTCATGGTAAAAAAAAATAAAGTTATGCTCACTTATGTTCATATGGATGGTGTACCAATGTATGGAGACATTAGATAAATGGAATGCAATGCATACAGGAGCGATGACGTTACAAAATAGTGTTTCAAGGTTTCAGTTAAATATACTGTAGCCTCATGTATTTGCCACTGTTGTTCAGCAATACTGTTTTATGCATTAACTGATTATGAGGAGCCCTTTTGGCTTGGATTTTATTTTATTTAAATTTTTAGATTTCCTGGTATATATATTGTGGCTGACAAACATTACAAAATATTGTCATATGAGACAAGATACAAGGTTGTCATTTTATTCTAAAAGTAAAATCGTACAACAGACCTACAAAGTAGAAAACAATTTTGCAAACTTTACAGCTGTTCTTATGGGAGGGTGACTTGCACTTTTCATTTGCATATAAAGAAGGACTTGTATTGTGCACCAAAAATAAAAAGAAGTAATGTTTTTTCGGAGGTCCAGTGATTGGGAAATTTAAGAAATTAAGTTATGAAAGGAAACTCGGTTTGTACTTCTCACTATTAACAAGTCTTGTTAAAATATATTTTCAGATCAGAGTTTCAAATAAAGCAAATTAAAGAAGTCTTTTAAAAAAAGTGACCACCTCTGTGTGCGGATGATCGATAAATATTGGAACTCTTACAAAAATGTTTTGTAAGAATAAAAACAGCAAAACAAATAGCAGCAATCAGTCACGAAAAAAAAACAGTAACAACAATCATGAAAAAAGAAAGATTAATTTGGTGTTGAATTTGTTTGTCTAAGGCATTAAATTTCTACTAAAAATAATCTGAAAAAAATGTCTGTGACACTGTGTTTGAGGCAACTGAACTTGACTTTTCCAAGGTTCTCTAACACAGGCAACCAGTAATTTAGATTAGGGAAGTAACCTATATTCACATCTAACAAAGTTCTTTAAGTGTAGATAATCAATGTAATTATTGTTACACATGTGGAAGTTGTGTACCAAGGAACAGCTGATGAATGTTTGATGATTTTGGTACGTCTGTGAACATGAGACGTTTTGCATCACAATAAAAACTATTATGATCATGGAGTTCAAGAGTGCTTTGAGGTTAGAAAGCAAATCTGTGATATGATTACATTGGAGTAATTGGCAATTTGCATCGAAAACTTAGTTCGAATACTAAATTTCATGATCTTTAGGTTATAAACATATACATGTATGAATATCTCTCAGTACATTTTGTATAGCTTACCTTTTATGAAGCTAAAGTTTTATATAAGCCTCTAAAATTACTCCTTGTCTTAAAACCTTCAAATTCAAGGTAGTGAGAATTTCTTGGAATTTATTTGGACTTCAGGGTATTTAAATTGCCTCAAATTCAATTCCCAGAAATTCCCAAGAATTCCACCCCTCTTAGTGTATAGCTGAGAATTCCTAAGAATTCCAAGTACTCACAAAACTGGAGTTTTCCTTTCCCAGAAATTCCCATTATTTGAATTTGCCTATTATCTAGTTCCAATAAGTCAGCATCGTCTAATGGCTTTTCACAAGTGATTATTTTATCCAATTAATGAAGTCACTTTGCTATCACTATCTTCCCCAAATACAACTGCATTTTCTATCCATATGATCATGTGAATGTGAGGAGAACCTCTTTGTTGATATTCAACTCTATAAACCAGTCAGAGATTTTTCCTAATGGCTCAGCATTGCTTTGAAGAAATGCCTTTGGAAATTGTTCACCTGATAGTCAAAATGTCTGGCACATGTAACAGGATCACTTTGGATCAACCTACACTTTTC